TTTGAACGTCAACATTTAAAAATCATAACTTAAATAATTTGAGACAAATGAACTTCACGTTTGCTAACGGTTTTTTTTTTATAATTTTTATAAATCACAGTTGGCAAAATTCACAAATAATAATAATACATATTCTTTAATGAAATATCACGTTCGATTTCTCACCTTACGATTTACGTGCGAAAAAACGCAATGATTGATATATTTTGAAAATTAGGCACTATTACCAGTTAACATAGATCGCCATCGTTATGAAAAAAAAAAAAATAAATGATTTGAACAATTTAAAAATGTATTTAGAGTTTATTAAATTTCGATATAAATCTAGGGTTACGTGTTAAGTGGTTCCTAAACAATTTACGATATTACTTGGGACATTGTTTTCGTACTTTTATGAGAATGGAATAAGAAATGTAATCCTTTTTTTTACACTCGGTCACCTTTTACATTACGGCGGTGATATATGTGTATATGTGTTCGTCTCGTCAGAGTCGAGTTGGTAAAATTGAAATTTTCGTGATTCTAGAGTATCATTATATGTATGCTCGCACACGTCTTTGATTTTATACATTTCTTATATATGAATACAAAATATTAACCTTGGAACAATGTGTACAGGTACATACCTAAACCGTTTATATAATAAAATGCACATCTTTATTGTGTGTGTAACGACCATTTCCTAGACGAGTTCTAAATAAAAAAAATAATAAATCGATGGCACAAGAAACAAATAAACGTATATTATTATTAATTATATTACTATGATTTAAAGCGTTATGGCTACGAGTATAATTTAAACTATGACACATGATATTACTAAAAATGAAGGTGAAATTTAGAAGGTAATAATGGTGTTATTCTGTGTGATCGGTATCCATCGCAAAACAAAACAATGGCATCGAAGATAAAATTACATTAAATATCACTTCCTTGCCAGCGTACAATTGAATATCTACCTGTTTTATATTCTGAACGTAGCGAAGAAGCTATTGGTTTTACTGGGATCTAAGATGTGTTCATTTATTCGGAAAATTCTTCTTCGGTTAGCAGAAATGCTCAAAATTATTTAAAACATACAAACCTTAAAGGATAAGGATTTATCCAAAATATGTCTAGATTTTCAAGTTTTTCGAAACAGTTTTTTTAAAAACCTCACAATAAATGTCGACACATTTGTTTAATATTTGTTGATTTCAGGGATAATTTGGCTACAAAGATAAAAACACGACGTACGTACCACATAATACTATTAATTTACCGAACTGGTTTTTTCGGTTTGTAATGATTAATCGTTGTTTTCAAACTTTTAATAATTTATCGTTACATACAAACTAAACTTCTTTATATTCCACCCTTTCCAAACTTTCCCACACATTTACCTAATCATGGTGCGAATTATGTAAGGCTTTTTTTTAATTTTAGAATGAGGAAACAGAAATGTTTTGGTTTTAGAATAATATTTATTTAGTTTTTTCTTTTTGTGAACAAATTTTGCTCCGATTTTTAATTGTAGCACATTTTCTGAAAGAAAAGCTGACCACACCGACTGGGGTGGAAATTTAGGGAGGTAAATTACTGCAATAAGCGTCGGAACTCGTAAATATATTTCAAATATGTTTTCACCTAAATCTAGAGTTTATCCCAGGGATGACTTATTTTTGTCTCGAAATTAAATCCCTAAATAGAACATGAGGGTTTTCTCATTTGAATTTTTACTTCTAATATAAAAATTGCACTTTTTTTCATTGTAGGTAACAAATCTAATATAATTATAATTCACAACTTAGTTCAAATCGACAAAATTATGAGATAAAAACAGTTTTTTTTTAACAGAAATTTTGCTGTAGAATAATTAATCTAGTTGATTCATTGAAGACGAAGTTATTTTAGATTCTAAGTGGAGTGAGATATTATTTGGTTTTACAATTTTTTTTTTTTAACCTTGCCAATTTTTCTACCAGCAATTATGTTCCGATTAACAAATATAGCATTTTTTCTAAAAGTAAAATTGACTTGTGGGGGGGGGGTACTTAAGGAAGTCATTTTTTAATTTTGGAAAAATTGAAAAAAAAACGTTGAAAAACGGGAAAATTGGAACAATATTAAACAAATATTATTAACGAAAATATATAATACATATTATGTAATAATTTTATTATAATATGACATATATATTATATACATATATATTACACATATATATATATATTGTTGACGAAGCAACACTATCGATCCAACTCCACTCAGAATCGTTTTTTGCGTTAGCAATAGTTAATCGTTAATATATACATTAAATTATACCTATAACAACGGCTGCACCCATCTCCGCATTATCCTAGGATAGCTTTTTACTTTTCCTTGTGCAGTCTTCTTGCCACAGCTTTGTAAATTTTATTAAAATTGACTTACGAGATGTTAAAAGATGACAGATTATTAACTATTGTATTTGTTCTGAACAAATTATTTTGACATATTAATATGAACATTTAAAAAGTACTAAATAACAAAATTTTTGAAGCGTGTTATCATTGAGTCTACTATCTATACTCAATGGTATTATTTAATTTATAGGCATATATAATAGTGTTTAAAGTGTTTAAACATACATTATAATTATTGTGTATCAGCATTTTCTAAACAGAACGAAGAAGCTATCGCTGTTTTACAATGATATGTGCTTTTTTCTATTCTTTTTTTAAATTTGAATTTTGTATTCATTTTTTTCACTATCAGAAAAAGATGATATGATAAAAAAAATAAGATAAGCATCATGAAAAAAACATTAAATTGCATAACCCTGTATAAAACTAACAATGTATTTATATACTTGAACGGATGTGTTGAACAAGTGATTTTATTACTTAAAATTTTTACTGACGAGCATGCAAAATTTACTTTGAGTAAAAGAAAAATCGTATAATTAATAATTATAGTAAGAAAACGAAAAAAAATATGTACATATAAATACATAAAATACAAGTAATTCATAAGAATAATGCAACATTGTAAAAAAATATTCACAGCAACTATCGTTGTATAGAAATTAATAAGTCTTGAGAACTGTACAGACAAAAAAATATAATTTTTTTTTAAAATTAAATAAACATAAGATAACATTAAGAAAAAAATATTTTGCTCGTTACCTACTTATAGCATATGGCGTATGAGTTATGAGTAATAACTTTTATCTTCTGTCCGATATAAAAAAAATTCTATTTAAGTGATGTGTCAGTAATTAAAAATTTGTTTGAATCTTAATACCTCTCATCTAACAAAACTGTATTGGGGGCTAAGTAATGACATCTAACTGTGTTTTAGATTCCGAGCGTAGCGAGGGAGTTACTGGTTTTACAATGATGTTCTTCTTCTTTTTCTTCTTAGTTCTAGTCTGTGGACACGTTTTTTCCTAGTAAACTTACTCTGATTTTTAGTGTAGCAACTTTTCTGAAAGCTCAAGTTGTGTATATTGTACTTCAAAGAGGTCATTATTTTGATTTTCGATGCCATTTTTAAATAATATCACTTAAGTGGGAAATAACGTAGGAAACCGTACAATTTCACGATTTCACTTTTTTATAAAAACACAGACTCCGTTTTCTACCAGAAAAAATAATTTAATCAAAAAATCACCAGACCTCTTTTTTATTTGTTTTTTGATTTACTTTGTTACAGTATCGTTGCCAAAATGTTTGAGTCACTTTTGAGCTCTTTAGGGGTTTTAATTTTTGGAAGGTTTTTTGCTATAATTCGGTTATAAATACACGTAGAGACTTAAAACTTAGTAATAATACTTATATTGGACTTACCAAATTTAAACGAAAATCGCGGAAAAAAATCACGGCACTTCAAATTATTACCGAACTGCGCTCGGAATCGTCTTTCATCAACAATGGTCTATTATTACTTACAGATATAAATGAAATAATCTTATGTATCCTACCTTCCCAACTTTTCATCTACAACAACGACGGCTCCCATCCCCAGTATCAGCTCTTTTTCTTTTCTTTAGATTCTGAATAAACCAAGGATTATATTGTTTTTTAAAATAATGTTTACTTTTTTTTAATACTGTGTAGACAATCTTCTTAAAATCTCACTTCTATCCAAACATAACAAAAGACCTGTTTTGTTATATTTTGATTCTAGTTGGTACACTAGAAAGGTCTTTTTCTGAAATTTTTATTATTTGAGATAATGAGAAAAACCGGTTCTTTAGGTTAAAAAAGATTAAAAGATTAAAAATAAGGTTGTCATGAACAACTATTTTTATTTATTTTTTGTTATTATCAAGTTTTTATTATTTTTATCTTTTAATCTTTTTTAAACGATCGTTTTTCGTTACCAATGATTAATCGTTGCGTGTAGATATAAATGAAATTTCCCTCTGTATCCTACCTTCCGAACTTCTCACCTACAACAGCGGTCCATCCGTAGTAAGAAGTATGTCCGTTCGTTTTATGATCAATACTTCAAGAAACTAAATAATTTCTAAATTATATATTATACCAATTTAGACGATTATTAATAGAAATATATTTTATAGAATAAATCAAAACATTTTGAACATAAAAGTCAATTTCTTGTGTCCAACAAAACGTTTCCTTCAAAATATGTACAACAAAAAAAATTAAATGTTTTTCGTTTGTTGTTAGTAATATTATCATCTTGAAAACAAAAACCTTCTTTAAATCACTACTAAAAAGAAAAATATTGCAAATAGATTATATTCATTTTATAAACTATTTTTGTGTATTCGTAGTAAAACCAAACAATTTCTTGCTAGTTGCTACGCTCAAAAATGATTACAGTAAAATTATAGGTTCCTAAATAATTATATTCAATATATTTGATCTATTCTGTTAAATTGTACATAAAAGGGTATTTAAATATCATTTTTCAATATTGTATAAGTTGATATCGCAGCCGAAAATTATCTCGATAAAATAATATTCAGCGTTCTAATAAAAACCCTGTAGCAGGTCTCTAGAAAATGTGTTTTATAAAGACCATTGGTGTACCACCGGATCGAAATTGAAACAGTCGGGCTGGTCGACATGACTGACTTTGTCGTTGTAATCGGACTTTGACCAACAAAATGGCCCCAGAGTGTTGTTGGTCCCCGGGGTCGGTCCGCAGACAGCCTTAAACTCCAACCGTTGAAACAACTTGCTCGTGGTGAGCTTAACGTCCGTAGCACCATGCAACCGATGTCCCATCGCCGGTATGGGATACGATCCGTTGGCGGGATTCAAATCACATCTACAGACGGATGATATAATATTTATTATTTTTACGGTTTATCGTTATCACCAATTGTGAGCAATCGAAAATACCTGGCCGAAATCGCGTTTTCTGCCGAGTATGGCGGACTGCAATCGCACCTGGACTCGGGATCGTTTTTGAAGTCGTTGGACCGCATCAAATGCCACATACACTGGTCGCAATGGATATTTACGTGATCCCGGGCGAATATCCGTGCCCGGGGCGTATCCGAATATGAGAACCTATGTTAGTATAAGTGACCGGCCTTTATTATTAATATAATATAATTTCGTACAAACGTATAATATGTATACAAATAGACGTTTTGAGATAGCCCCTCCCCCCTTTACAAATGTCAGATTGTTTCATTAGTTGTGTCGCAGTCACTATTATGTGTAGGTAATCGCGTGGTATTTACCATTTACCGTAACGCTGTTCCAAATCGTAGTTGCCGGTCCTGTTGAACACGAACGGGAAGTATGCGACGTTGTAACTAGCCCAATACGTTCGGTTGATCAAATGCCCGGTAAGGTCTTCGTGTACCACGTAACCGGGCATTTGTTCAAGAACGTGCAGCACATCCTTGGTCGGTAATGAGTTTCCCGGTTCGAAGGCCGCGTAGTTGATAATCATCCACTGGTTGTTATACGTGCCACTGTTGTAAAGTTTGAATGTATCCGCCCAGTCCGCCGGGTTTTCAGCTATCCGGTTGGCGACCATCGCACGCACGAATTCCAATACCTACATCACAGGCAACATAATATTATAAATTCAGGTCAAATAGGGACAAATGGACGTGGCCGTTTGGACGTCAAAAACAAAGTTTTAAACAAATTCTTTTGAAAGTAAAAATATTATAATTAAAAAATGAAATACATAATATTAATTAAGCGAAATATTTTAAACGAAAAATAAAAATGTAATATAAATTTCCACGTAAAGTTTGAATTTAGTTCTAGTTTATTTATTTAAATTATAGAACCAATAACGCGTACTTTAGTACCTACATAATATAACTAATCTTATCGTTTATTGTTGTACATTACATCCAAGTTTGTGGTCTTTTATCAATTTCTTAAGAAAAGTACAACTGGATGAGAAGTATTTTACAGCCAACTTGAAACAGTCTCCATAGAAAATTAAAGAAATTTATTGATGTGGATAAACGAATTTTAAGAATTGTTCAAAATTATGGCAAGCAGAACTAAAACAACATTCTTACGTGGAATCACTCAAAATATTTCACTTAGTAATATTATGAAAAATGACTTTTTAACTATTATATTTTTCTCTTTTTTTTAAAAAACATTTGTTGACTTATTATAATAAATAGATTTAGCACTTTATTTTTGATATTTTATTTTAATTTTTTTTTTTTTACTAGCCTTAGTTATATTTCTATATTTATTTAGCAACAACATTTTATTATTATTATTTTTTTTTAACATCTAATTATTATCCCATTATCTAAACGGTCATCACGTCTATTCGTCCTAGATCGAATATTTGCAGTGTGCTAATTGGAAAAAAATTAAATTAGGTCGGACGCTAATTTTAGTTCAGAAAATGTATTGTTCCCCGCACCTCCTATACACCAAGTAAATTAAATATTTTATTTCACAAAAAATAAAAGTGTGAAATACCTTGCTAAGAATTGTTGCCATTAACAAAATAATAACACTATCATCACATAAATTAAATTCACCTTGTTAAACGCAAAACACAATAAACGGCAGTTTTCACCAACGCAGAGTAATCGTTGATTAAACGAAGTTTACGAGGTAACCGATATCAGCCATACACTCGATTTACTAATCAAATAAATCAGCCTTCGTTCACATTGGTAATAGCGGACCTAGGTATTGAAAAAAAATAGAAAAAAAGGTAGAATTTTAGGGTAGTCTCTATTTTTAGGTCTAAGAAAACGATCGAAAAGTAAAACAATTGACAATCTTGTAAAATGACGGACTTTTTTGTTTGAGAATAAAATACAAAGTTGAATAAAAAGTATTTTGATATTTTTCGCTACGTCTAAATGCCAAATAACAAAAAAATGAATTTTAATTTTGGGTCATAAGAATAATTAATAGTTTTGTTGTATATAATAAAAACATATTTCTACAAAATAGTTCTAAAGAGTTTAGTTAAATTATAAAGTAGTAAGCTAAAATCTATAAAAAAAAATGTGAATTTACTCCATCCACCAGTGTATCTCCCTCCTACACACATTCACAAACACAATTGGAGCACTAGGTATAGGTCGTGTTAAGACGAATTAACTGTGGTTATGACACAATAATCGTCAGGTTTCGTGTTCAGAGTGATTCATTAAAGTGGTTACACTTGATATTTTGATAAGTATTGACTTTTCGAATATTTTTTTCTCGTTGATTTAAAAAACTAGCAGGTTTAAAATTTCACATGAAAATCATTTTTTTTTTCTTCCTTAATTTTGGAAATGAAACGACTACCTATACTTTTATATTTTCAAATAACCACCTTAAACTAAAAAATCCATATAAATCCATAAATATATTTTAGTGTTAATATTTTCATTTACATCAATCCGTTGACGAGATAATCCACATTTAAGTTTGAAAAGGGGGTCACAAAAATGGATCACCCCATGAATAAATAAGTTTATTTACCTGACCAACTGGCTTCACGTTGGACCACAGTGATTGGTTGTAATTGTCAATGGTGGTCTCCATCGTAGCTAGCCCTGAAGAAATTAGATAGAAATCGTCTCCGGAATGTATGGTGCCGGGGGAAGAGCTGAATGCCATGTCGAACCCGCGTATCAGTTTTTTAGACGTATGGCTTTTCTTGTACCGCAGACTGTATCGCTTTTGTATTCTCAACATCGTTTCGTATCTGCAACCCATTGTGTATATTTTTTTTAACCTCTGTTTATAGATTATTTTTATATAATATGAGCGCGTTTATTTTAAACGAACATACGATCGATATACAGTATAACGTGACATCGACAATTACCATGAGTTCAGCGTAATTAATTAATTTTTTATTCATTTAATCATTTATTTATTTTTTATTTATTTATTTATTTATTTAACGGACATCAGTCTAATTCACATCGAAACACATATAATAATATAATAGTGTAGATTGTAAATACAATATAAAATTAGGTATCATAGATGCTAAAATATATCAAAACAATAAGAAGATGAAATATAAAACACAAATAAGTATATAATAATAAGTACTATTAAGTTTGATTAATAGAGTAAAAGAAAACTAAATGATTTACAGAATTCCCAGTAGATAGCAAGATATTTACAGGTGTACATGACATATAATTTTGAGAATAATGTTTTATATAAAATAATTCTTTATTTCGAATTTTATTTTAATTTACTTTTAGAGTAATGTTATTCAGAAGGGGAGGTTTCGTCTATTTTATTATTAAGTAGTTTGAATAAGAAAGTTATATAAAATTGTTTTTTTTCCCTTAATGGTATTAAATTTAAAAAAATAAAAATGGCATTATATCGAGAGTGAAGAGAATAGGTATAAATACCTATATGAATTGTTTTTAAAACAGATAAAACGAAGCATATTATTTTGAATTTTTTCTATTTGTTCACTAATTACTGATGTTATATGTTTCCTATATGATTGGAGTATATTCCAATACCGAATAATCGATTGAAGTGTAAAGACATTTTAATATAAATGGATCATTAAAGTTAGAGCATTTTCGCTTAACCATGCCAATTAATGAAAGAGCTTTTTTTTTGCTAATATCTCGAGATTAAATAAAAGTTTTGAGTCAAAGATTACTCCAAGATTAACTTTGGTAAAACGAAATAAATTTTGGTTTAAGAACTTTTAGTCATTGAAAATACAAAATCGAGCAAGGAGTTGTTATTATTTAGTATGGTGTTGTATTGAGAAATGTTTAGTAACCATTAATAATCGGTATTTTAATTTAATATTATTTGTTTCCCTCATATTCATAATGTACGTCTATACAGATTTCATAATAAACTATAACAATATTAATATTATGTTATGAAACTGTTGTTCGTTCCTATATCGTTTACCCGTCCCAAGTGACGTGCGATACCAAGAGGTCCTTGTTTCCGGGTAACAATTTGACGAGAGCCGAACAAGAACCGCTTCCCAAAACTTTTATACGATCCACTTCCGACGGGTTCAACGCCTGGGATATGTCATCCAATTCGGATATGGCGTTCAGCCAGCTATAACGATATTTATATATATTAAAAACAAAGAATAATTATAACAGATAGCAGCATAAGAATATGATATTATTTTATTATGGCGACGGAAAAATCTCACAATAAATCGTTCCAAGACAAGTCGGGTGTGTGGTCTGACTTGCCGCGCATGTATCCTTCGTGCAGGCCGTCCAGTTGTTTGTAAAAGAGAGTCACCTTTCGAAAAAAATATATCAATTTGAAACGTTATATTATGCTACGAGTACAATAGATCGGGTCAAAAACAGTGGCGTCAATTTTGGATTAGGGTGTGCCGCAGTTTATTATTTATTAGGTACATCAAAATATTACAGTAGATGTACGAAAAAAAAAAAAAATGTTCAAGCTGTCGGTTGTGTCAATCACATTACTTCTTATTTTTGAAATATTGCATTTAATAATAAATCGATGGTTAAATGTTGTGTGCATTCAAATTTTAACAAAAATATATATTACATCGGAAGTTGGAATTAAACTCTATAGCCTATAAGATACCAATGGGAAAATCTAAAAATATCCGATGGTTTTTTTTTTTTTTTAATTTGACCTGTTCAAATGTTCGAAAACCATAAATGACGACACCATGACGGTGAATTATCGAACGCGTTCTATGGAATACCTGAAACCAGTAAGGACTGTATTTGTTAAATTTTGACGAAATCCAATTTTTATTAGTCGTTAAGAAATCTGTCAAGTTTTTACAGATAGTCGGCCGGTCAATGCAGTACCCTCTCACTGTATTGTACCAATGGCTGTATATGAGATCGGCGGTTAACGATCCTTCCAAAAATCCGGCCGCGTACGCTTGGTCTATGTCTCTGGCTAGTTCTATAGTCCGAATCTCCAAGTAACTCCATCTGAAAATAAAAAAAACCCGTATATCTTGGTAAAACTATGCAAAACTTTTGTTAATTTTATGAACTTAGGAGTTAAATATAAAAATCAAACACCCACTAACTCGTTTAAATGTGAAAATATTTGTTTAACGGTAACGAGTCAATTTTGAAAGATTATCGCGTACTTGTCTGCAGATAATATTGTTTTGTAAAAATGTCATTATGTATTATAGGTACCCATGAAACGCTTTTAAAAAAAACTACTTCAAGTTTAGTGTAAACTGTTTTTTTTTTTTTACCTCAAATTCAAACCTTTAGTGAACCTAGAATAAAATTGCCCAGAATTTCTGTTTGGCCAAACAATTTTATCCACATAAAAACCAAATAAAAACTATAATACAATCGAAATTGTCAAATACCTATAAATAACTCAGAAATAGCCAAAAAGTTTTAAAAATTTTACTCGGCTTATTCTGTGAAAATTTCAGGTCTCTACGATTATGTTTAACCGGATTGCAACATTAAAAAACAATAGTGATGAGCCGGTAATGTAATGTTTCCCGTCTTTCCTACGTTTTTTCCCTATTATTTAGAAAACGATACGGATTAATTAAAATGACTTTCGTATTCATCATTTAGAAAATATTTTTTTTCTGAAAAATATACTACTTTTGAAATTTGTATTTTGATTTTTATTATAAAACCAAAATTAAGAACTTTGAAAATAAATATTTGTCCGTTTTCCTACATGGTTTTTCCGGCTTTTCAATAAATCAATAAATGAGATGGTCAATACGCCAACTAAGTCCAACATTATACAAAAAAGATCTCTTGTCACTTTTTGATTAAGCAAAATTGTTGATAGAATAATTGTTATTAACTCCCCCCCCCCCCCCCCCCCCAAAAAAAAACAATACAAATATCCACAGTGAAACTAATACACTTCTCATAACGCTGATGATCTAAAAAATTCTAATTACATACCCCGTACTATTGATGTTATCAATAAACTTTGCTTTTCCGATTAATATTTCTTTGTGCTTAACGGTGTAGTTTTTATGTTGGAGTGTAAATCGATTTTTGGTAGTTTTCACAGCGAGTATAGTTTGGTTTTTTGGTATCGTTAGACACTGAAATCTCCAAAATGTAAACAAGAGCAATAGACTACTTTTTAACAACATTGTACTATAGTGGCACCTAAACAATTAATAATGTGTTTTAAATTAAATAGGTACTACCAAACTGTGTAATTGACTTTTGATCTGTTGGTTGATAAAAATAAAAAAAAATAAAAATATATAAGTAATCATAATAATTTCATTTCGGGAATTAATGAGTGTACCCATCTAGATAATACCTGAGCTACTACATAACCCGAATAAATAAATAAAATGAAGTGTTGAAAACATTTGTACAAATAATGATACGAAAAAAACCACCGTATAACTTGATATAGGTATTAGGTAATAATACTATATGTATGTTAAATTATTATTATTTTAGGTACATAATTTAACGTCTTATAGATCATTTAGTATAGTATAAATTTTATATTTTATCATATGATAAAAAGAAAATCCATTTTCTACTGTGGTAGATATTATTGTGATTGATATTTTTCTCCTAAGAAAACATTCACATCGGAAAAGCCTGAGAACTGTTATTTATACGGAGATTTAAATTCTTATTGAGTTATATATTATTCGAACGTTTTGATAATACGAAACATAGGTACCTAGGTATTTTAATTATTATGATAGATTTAAAGATGAACGAGGAAATTTGTAGAAATTTAGAATAGGCCATTGTATGAATAAGACATTATTTAAAAAATAATCATCATCACACTTAAAAAATTTATTTAACATAATAACTGGTTTTGATAACATACAATAAATCAGTTTTGGATAGCTCTACTCACATTTCTTTGCCGTCTAAAATGCAGTTGTTGATATTTTATGTTTTTAATGGCAATCGACTCGAGTATGGTTTAAACACACAGAAAGATAACGTATCAACTCGTAAGATAGACACCTACTTATTTAATATAAGTATCATCAAAATAGGTAAAGCGTAGTCTCGAGATTTTTGCTAGTATACAAACAGGCCATTGGAAAGGGGGAGGATCGAAAGGTGAACCCCCCCTAGTTATGTTTTTATAACTACCTACAGTGGTGTAACCAAGATTTATTTTCGGGGATAGGGAGGTTTATGAATTTGAAAAAAATTCAATTTCAGATGGTGTTTGGCGGGGTGAAGAGGGTAAGGTTAAGTTAGGTTTTTGAGTGAAATCTTTAAATTATTTAACTTTCATTTATAGACAACGCATATTGGAAAACAATTTAGACTCACATTAGTTATATATTTAAATATACTTTACTCATAAGACATAGTATAATTATAATAATAATTTACAGTCTAAGATTAATTTTTCCAGTAGTGTGCCTCGCAATTTCATCAAGCACTGAATCTGGATTACCTTCAATGTCTGTATGTATGTTAAAAGTGGCTATTATACACAATGTTAAAACATTAGTCAAATTAGTAATGAATCATACAACTACGTACTACGTAGAATTCATAACAACCCCAACCAAATTATTTTATAACCTTCTTTGTGAACTTGTAGGTATCTGCTGATTTTACATGACAGATGCATGCAGTAACAAAGAAATAATTTTTTAAAATGTGTAGCTTGAGGTCACGTAAAAAACAAATGAATATAAGCTATGCAGATAAACGTTTATTATTCTAGTACATTATCATAGAAAATCTTTAGGTATAGCTTTTTAAATTTATCATGGGTTTACAATATATTAGATATAAAATCCAAGTAGGTATCATATTTTAAAACAACTTATTGCAGTTTTATTACAAATGAATGCGTTTATCAAAATTATATTGCGGTTCACAAATTAGAGTATGTAGTTAGTTGAGTAGTAGAGTTGGTTCTTAGTTTCAAGTTTTTATGAGCTACCGATTAATTTTTAACCCACGATGCTTCACTGTATTTTAGTATCGGTTCTTAAACGTGTCTTAGATTATATCGGTAACAGTTATTACAAAAATTTAATTAATTTACGGTTGGGAAATAATATGTATACCAACATATTATGTACCTACTTATTATATGTATATAAATACATATTTAGGTTACGACAAATTCACGATACAGGTAATATCCATATGTTTTTTACCGATAAATCATAGGATTTACCGACTAAGGTTAAATATCCGAAATTCAGGCTTTAAACAATTTCCTATGTTAAACTGTAAAGTACAAAAATTAAATTTGATCAATCTTAGAATCATAATTCAGGCTTTTACAAACCGAATACTTTTGGTAAATCTCGGTAAAAACGATCAAGGATAACAGTAAATATCCGAAATATTTATTATTTGTTTTAAATGCAGCATTAACGTACATACTGTAATTATAAAATATTATTTGAAAGTATTTAAAGAGGAAATGCAATATCATATTATAAATCCCGAATACGTAAATGTTTAGTATTAATTATTTTTTAACCGTGGATTTGAAATTCGAAAAGAAAAACGTTAATCTTTTTTTTTTTTTTTATAGATAACAAAAATAATATTTAACAAAAAAAAACATTTACTCGTTAGATAGGTACCATACTTGTAAGCTATAACTCTTATCTATTGTGTGGTAAAATCATATTTAAGTAATGTGTCATCAATTAAAAATTTGACTAAATAAATAAAACCACTCGTCCGACAAACCCTAATTAATGATTGGTAGACTTTATAGTTTTATCTTTTGTAGATAATTCAAGATATTAAATTATCAATAGAGTATTAATATATTATTATTCATTATACCCAATTAGTAGATTTGTATTATTATTTCTAAACTAATTGTGTATACTTTGTAGGAGAAATACAAACACGCGGCACCATAAAAATCAGCTTATTGGGTACAACGAACTGTTGTAATCAATAAAACATGTGTATTATTAATTGTTTATTATATTATGAACGCAAAAAGTTTTGACTAAAAAAAAAAAAAAGTTGACACAGTTTGTCTCGAAAATATTGTTCTTATAAAGACCATTGGTGCAACACCTGTTCAAATTCAAAACAATCGGGTTGGTCCTGATGATTGACGTTAGCGTAGTCGGACTTAGACCAGCAGAATGGCCCCAGGCTGTTGTTAATCCCCAGGGTCGGCCCGGAAACTGCCTTAAACTCCAACCGTTGGAAGAGCTTGCTCGTGGTAATCTTCACATCCGTAGCGCCATGCGACCGATGTCCCATTGCCGGTATGGGGTACGTTCCGTTGGCAGGATTCAAGTCGCATCTATATATACGAGTAATATGCATTCGATATGATTATGATTGTCATCAAAATTTACCGTTAAGCTAAATGCGAGCGATGGATATTATCTAGTGGCGTCGTAAGCATTCATTTCAAACGCTAATCCTCATAACTATTGCTTACGATTTTCAATTATAATTGAAATAGTAAAACGCCGTTGATAATACCAATAGTACATTTAAAAAAAATAAATGATTTTATACCTGGCCGATATCGCGTTTTCTGCCGAGTACGGTGGACTACAGTCACACCTAGACTCTGGGTCGTTTTTAAAGTCGTTAGACCGCATTAGGTGCCACATGCACTGGTCGCAGTGGATGTTCACGTGATCCCGGGCGAATATCCGTGCTCGAGGCGTGTCAGAATACGAAAACCTAAATGATAAAAATTAAAAGGAACAGAAAATTATAAAAGTAATCACGAAGCCTTCAAACTAGATCGTGTCATCCAAAATGAGCTGTATTATTACAGTCGATCACGTGATTCTGGTTGAAAAACTGTTAGCCTATTGCTAGTTTAATCAACCATGACAAGAAATAGACAATATGAATATAAAAAGAATGTTACAAGTAGGTATATAATATTATGTTTTATGGTAAAATAATGAATTGACACCGGTGAAATTTAGAATTAACCGGTAAAACGTGGGTTTTACCGATTGGTTTCATTAAAATCTAGGATGCACAAAATATTTTAGTCAAACACTGAGTAATTTTTGTTATTTGAGCTTTTATAAATGAGATTCGGTAAATCCTAATATAAACCTAATATATTTAGTAAAAATATCCGAGATTTCATTTATTTTTTTTTATTTTTTACTAATATCGTGTTATTTTCCCCCCTTACTTTATACTCGTATGTTTTACAATATTATACGTTAGTTATATGTTTATACTGAGTGTTTCACGATAATTATATCAAACTTCAGTAGATATTTCTACACCTTAAATTAAACAAAAAATATCCTCATAACTATTATTGATTTCTCAATAATAAGAGAAATATTTAGATTTTTGTGTTTTTTCGGTTGAACGAAAGTAATTCATAATAACGTTCATATATAATGAGTTTACCATCAGGAAGTAAATTCTGAAGCAAAACTAATAGAGAGAATGCTTCAGGTAGCTATTGAATTGCGAAGAGTGACGACAGAAGGAATAATTGGGAGACAAGTACATGATTGTTTGAGACAAAGCGGTGGACACTTTGACAACTCTTGCAACTCTACAAACTTATTTTAAATTTCATGAATTACACATTTTTTTTTAACTATGTATTAGTTTTTTATCTTCTTTCCTTAGATATGAACTTGTACATATTAACTAATAAATTAAGTACACCATTAAAAAGCGTTTTACATTTTTTGTGAAATTTGCATCCGCCTACCTTAAAAATTATTTTTGTAAGATAAAATTAAAAGTTTTTAAAATGTTAACATTTTTAAATGATAAACATTTTGTGTTATTCCTTTTACTCAAATGTGGTGAGAACCATGTAAGGTATGTTTTCTAAATACTTATATGATGCTTTTTTCAGCAGTGTCTTCGAATTGGTTGTAGGTACGAATCGACAGTTTAGCAGAAGTTTAATAGAAGTCGAATGGTTTTTCTGGGACTTAGAAGCCAAGTGGAACATTCAGATGTAAGAAGCGAAGAAAATATATAAAGCCTATTTAATTATTTAACTATAATATGGCATATATATTGTTGAAAAGCATCACTATCAACTGAATTCCGCTCACAATCGTTTTTTCCGCAAGCAATGGTTTATCATTGCTCACAGGTATACAATAAATTACTTATAATAGTGCTCCTGTCCCCATTAACAGACGTCCCTAGGATGTCTATTTTTTTTTCTCTCTTCTTTTCCACTATGCAAATCTAAAATTTATTTCTGATTTTGATAAAATTTTGCACACTTCACATTCTAAACCAGAAAACGGGCGTTGTTTATTTTCTATCTCAAATTTGAACCAATTAATTGACTGACACAAGGTTTTGGTATTTTTTTTTTTTTTTTTTTTTTTTAATTTATAGGTTATCTTGACGACACAAATGAAAAATCAGTTATTTAGTTAATCTAACCAGTTCATTAGTTAATCTGGTTTTTATGGGCAAGAAAATATATTTACAAACATTTACAAGCAACAACGATTAACCGCAGTAATAATCATATGAAAACAGGGAGACACAGGTAAACACGTTTTTATTTTTTTCGTTTAACACAAACATGAGCAAAGCCATTCAAGACAGTTAAATATTTTAATTATATCAATTTGTTTAGTAATATTTAATAATAACATAAACCTATAAAGTTTTACAATGATGTTATTTTTTTTTCTTTACTGTAAACTTTTATATAAAATATACACATTTTTGTCAAAGGCTAACGGTTAAGCATAAAGTTGTTTTTGAAGTATATTTGTAATTTAATACATTGAATGGTCATTTAACATATTATTAGGTTTACCTACCTACATTTTAAAAATAATTATAACTTAAAATTTAAACTTTTTTTCGTTTCATATAATTACTTGTTATTATAAAGCATTTTATAACATTATTGACACTTTTGTTAAAATACAAAAATTCTTGCATATTTGCTTTACTTTTTGACATTAATTTGCTATTTATTATTTATTATATCTATTGGAATTTGGATTCATAAACCCTTTCATATTATATTTGAAACAAATTTGAATTGTTATATATACAGTCGAATCCGCTTAATAGGGACAATTCTTCAATTACGAAAACAAATGTATACTTGTAGGGTAAACGTTCAGCGCTTATCTGGGCCACGAATTCGGATAATTGGGACATTTTTATCGAGTATATTAATAGATCAGTAATTCGGACTACATTAGTCAACAATCAATAATACGCAAGAAACAAAGTAATATTCATAGTTTTTTTAAATAACATAAAATACAATGTACATTATATATGTGTATATATGTACTTTATATTAATAATGTATGTATGTATTTTTATAAATAACTAAGTTATAATACCGTGTTTTTCTTTTTGTAATGTAATAAAAAATTTAAATAAAATCAATAGTAAAACAATTTCAAAAAATGTATATGTCATTTTTGTATTTCGGATTATTGGGACAACCGCTTTATTGGAACAAAATAAAATGCAACCGATGTGTCCCAATAAAGCGGATTCAACTGTATGTGTATGCTTTGTAATAGATTAATAGAAGTTTAAAAGCTTTTACACGATCTAAAAAATCCTAACCATAACCAATATTATTTATATGGTTATCCAAAACCAATACATCTAAAATCAACTTAACTAAAACCAAACCAAAACCAACATTCAAAACCGAAATTAACCCTAACCTGAATAAATCATTTAGGTTCAAAATCTTGATAAATGTTAACTATATAAATCAGATAATGATTATTGTCACACACGTCACAAAATCCAAAAGCAAGAATTTATATTGTTATCACTCAAAGAACAATGCCTATAGGTAATCGGTGGCACCTTTATACTATTCCAACATATGTATCCAATAACAGTATCAAATTAGTTGTCGTCTAGTCACCATGACATAAGACATTTTCAATTTCTGTGGACGTGAAGTACTTGTGCACAATGGTTATATGTATATTTTTGATGAATTTAGTACTAATAAATTTAAAAAATTTAATATTGTGCGTGTAAACACACGGTATTTACCATGTACCATAACGCTGTACCAAGTCACTGTAACCACTCATGTTGAACACGGACGGGAAATACGGTATGTTGTAACTAGCCCAGTACGTCTGGTTAATCAGGTGCCCGGTGAGGTCTTCGTGTACCACGTAACCGGGCATCTGTTCGAGAACGTGCAATACGTTCTTGTCCGGTAACGCGTTGCCTGGTTGAAAGGCTGCGTAGTTGACGATCATCCACTGGTTGTTGTACGTACCACTGTTATAAAGTTTAAACGTATCCGTCCACTCCGCTGGGCTGTCGGCCAACCGGTTGGCGACCATCGCACGCACAAACTCCAACACCTATACCATCCATAAATATTAATATTATGTATGCAGTGCGTTCTTCAGTGTTATACTTATGCTAATATTTCTAACAAAATCCAGTTTTTTTTTTTAATCGGATTTTGTGCGAAGGATTATGTAGAGAAAAATAAAAAAATTTTTGCCGACCCTTAATAATTGAAAAAAATATATCAAGTTTTATCACTATTTTATAAAAGATGTTATTCTGAAAATTTTTATGTGACATATATTCATATTTGATCAAGTAATAGCCATTTTAGTTTCTTGAAAATTGGCGTGAAAACAATTAATTTTCAATGGAATAACACGTTACGCGATAAGGAATAACAACCATTGCGATAATTGAGAGGCTTCAATGCAAAACGTACTTTTTCCTTGTTTCTTATTTTTTAGCAGGTTTACTGTTTAGGGTATTTTGAATTGGTGTAGATCACACCTAAGGGTATTAAAAAAAAACTAAAAAATATTCTTGTATTGTGTATAAATTAATTATTTTCTATTTTATAATTTTTATTGCTTTTTTGAGATTTAAAAAAGTTGTTTTCTGCAAAACGGATCTTTTCCAGAATAAGTATATTTTGCATTAAATTTTGAAAAGTACGTTTTAGAAAATTGTTTAATAACCCTAGAGAGTGACCACATTGGGTCTCTAAACCCGCCTATAATGTTTTACACTTTTCCTTGTTACCTACCCGACGTGGTTTTGCACAACAAATCCGAAAATCCGAACTTCATGAAGTTTTCCCCCATAACTTCCAAATGAAGTTCATCCGACATTTTATTCCAACACATCACACATCCAACACATATTTTGAAAAAAAAACCCGAAAAATCGCGTGGGAGGTAAACTTGAATCATTCCAAATAAATTATACATGAACATTAATGATACAATTTTGGAGGGATCTGGTATATTAGAATCTATATTGTACAATATCTCACATAGACAAATAAAAAGTTTTTTTTTCACTGATTAAGGGATGAATATAAAAATTGTAATTTTTTTCTAAATTGAAAAAAAAATGTAAAAAAAAAAAATAAGAATAACACTATATAGAGCACTCTGTATAACACTAGCCAGGAAATGTTGTTAATTTCCTAAAAATTTCAAAATTATATAGGTACAAACTATACATATTACCCGATCAATGGCGTTAACGGTTCAAACAAGATTTATTAAAGGAGAGGGGTTCTTTGATAAATCTCTGCTACGCCATTGGACTAATGGTGTTCATGCACGTGATATTCCGAATGATATGTAGGTAATAGGTTATGTTAAAATACGATAACTCCGGTTAGCACGAGATAATCGTGTGGCAAACGCGTTTCGTCTAAATACGAGTACACTGCACTATAGATACTATACCTGACCGACTGGCTTCACGTTGGACCACAGTGATTTGTTGTAATTGTCAATGGTGGTCTCCATCGTGGCCAGGCCCGAGGACATCAGATAAAAATCGTCTCCGGACTGGATGACACCGGGATATGAGCTGAACGACATGTCGAACCCGTGTATCAGTTTGCTAGACGTATGGCTCTTCCTATACCGGAGACTGTATCTCTTTTGTATTCTCAGCATCGATTCGTATCTGTAACAGTCACGCTTTAGAAAAATAAAAACTTCAAAGAACTACAGATCCAGCCGGATCATTTCAAATCTAGCGCAGTTTTAGTAGGTACGATTTATTAACTATCCTATACGAGCTTGAAGATACCATTACAGATTCTTTTAAGAATCGTGATCGTATAATCCGTTGTCTGCAGTAGATGATGTAGAAAACTAGTGTGATTGACTCAAAATAACCGGAAACGAGTCAAGCTGTTTCCGTTGACAACTAAACAGTGACCATTTTTATTCGCAATTCTCAAAAAAACTATCAGGATATTCCATATGATAGATAAAAGTTTGACGTCATAGATCATGGTTATACTATTATATTAATTAATATATTGTTCGCTTGTTTACCCGGCCCACGTCACATGTGACATCAAAAGATCCTTGTTTCCTGGTAACAATTTGATGAGAGCCGAACACGAACCGCTTCCTAAAACTTTATCATCCACTCCCGAAGTATTCAACGCCTCGGAAATGTCACCCAAATCGTCCATAGCGTTCAACCAACTATCCATTTTAAGAAGAAAATCATAGAAGAGAAAAAATAAAAAATCGTATTGTAATATTAATATATTCTCGTAATATAATATCCCGACGGAAAAAAATCTCACAATAAATCGTCCCAAGACAAGTCGGGCGTGTGAGGTGACTTCCCGCGCATGTATCCGTCGTGTAAACCATCCAATTGTTTGTAAAAGAGACTGACCTTTTGATTGAAAAAATAAAAAATAAAAAAAACATCAATTTTAAACACTAGTAGGTCGTTCTACTACAGGTCGTATCAGTGATATCGAGTTTAAATTGAGGTGTTCCTCGCTAATACTGTATGCCATACTGAAAACCACTTTGATACCTGATACCAGAAAGGATCTGGTTTGATAAATTGCGACAAAATCCAATATTTGTTGGTGTTCATGAAATCTGTCAAGTTTTTACAGATGTTCGGTCGATCGGTGCAGTACCCTTTCATCGAGTTATACCAATGACTGTAAATGAGATCGGCGGTTAACACGCCTTCCAAAAATCCAGCTGCATACGCTTGGTCTACGTCTTTGGTTAGCAACATAGTCCGAATTTCCAAATAGCCCCATCTGAAAAAATGTTATGATTATTTTATTTCTAAAATATTTTCAACCTACATAGTATATATAACCCGTTCCGATACTAAATTTTAATTATATCTGAAATGAAAAAAGTTAAGTATAATTTATATTTCAGTATTAATAATATTACCTACAGGCTACAAGTATCAAATTTTTTTTCTTGTCTAGTAGAGCTGGCGGTATTTTTTGTCCACCAATAAGTTACCGCTATTTTTAAATACCAAAATACCGATGTGACGGTAAATACCGTAGTATCGGTACATACCACGGTTATATAAAATTCGTGGTGAATGCTGTCATCTCTTAAGACAAAAAAGAGACGATAAGCATTTAAAGACAGCGCCTCTTATCAGTATCACAATATTATGGCAGTTGCCCGGTTATAGAATCAGTCAATAGATAAAGTCAGTTAATAATTATATTATATTCTTTTTTATGATTCAACCCCGCGAATGTTTGTTTACAGATAAATTTTGTTAGCTCACGAAAATCTGAATTTTTGTTGGCTTGTTCTTGATTCTCTACACTATTTATATTATTTTTTAGAAGATAAAGTTTTTTTTAACTGGAATCTACCGTCGAATTTTTTGAAGTTGTTGATAACTAAATGTTAAAGCTTGTGACACAAACATACAATTGTTGAATTTTAAAAACCATACATCAAGGGATGGTATGCACAATGAGTTGTTGTACAGCAGACCTTTTCATATAAATTTCATTTTTACCTATTTTACAAGATCCAGTTATTTTTAATGTACGTTGCCCTTAACTTTTAATTTTAAAAACTACAGGCCAATGACAATAATATTTAGTGAATAGATAACTCATAATGTTATTTAATTTATATCTGTTAGCAACGATATACTATTGCTAACGAAAAATTATACTAATCAAAATTCGGTTACGCGTGTTTTGAAATGCCGTAATTTATGTATCATCTCATAAGTGTATACTGAAAATGCCGTAATACCGGTATACCAATAAAAATACCGAATACCGGTGACTAAATTATCAATATCTATACTATCTATTATAAGTTTCTAAGAGTACTTGGTCTTTATCTTAATCCCTTTTAAATACTATTATATAGACATTTATATCACTTTAAAGGGGAGGGGAATATGATACTAAGGGTTTAGCGAACTTGGAACCCAGAGCTTCTATATATGGAAAATCCAGGTAGATGATTCCAATAGGCATATGATATTGTATCTACAGAGGGAAGGAAGTCACTTTATAGTTGATAATACCTGTCTTAACAGGCGACAAATGGGGTTGCGTCAACACTCGGTATACAATTTATTCAAATAGCATGAATTTTAAACAAAACTTTAGCGAATTATGCCATCTCGAATGTACATGGGGACAACAGGTGAGAGGAGGTACCATCAGTGCCGCAACAATCGGGTGTGCAAGGTTTGCAATGTACATGGATCTCCAGTTCTAGAGGCCCTCAAAACCAAAATGATCTGTTTCAAATGCTTTTGACTTCTTCATAGCTTATGCCACGAATATTTTTCGATTTTATGTAGTTGCTTTTAAATTAAATTTAAATTCAATAAAAAATTATCTTTGTCATTCTTTTAGTTAAGATCGATTGAAAAACATAAGTGTTTTGAATATATAAAACAAACGGACAACCGAACTCAATATTGATAAAATAATAACAGACTTTTCCAACGCAAAAGCCAGAGAGAAAGGCGAGGTTGAGAGTTTTAACTACTTAGGATCTTTTAAACAAGGGTAAGGTTGGAAGGTAGAAAAAGGAACGAGTACCAACATAAGGGGTAACTCAGGCTTGGCGTCAATAATAGACAAAATGAGGGAATATAGACTGAAGATAGTTTGTGCAAGTCGTGGGGAGAAAAGAATCTGAAGCAGTAAAAACTATAATGAAAATAAATATTGAAGGAAATAGGTGGAGAGGAAGGTCAAAAAAGAGATGGTTGGATGCGATTGAGAATGATATGAGGACAACCGGTGTATGCAAGATGCGAAACAAGTGAACGTTTAAGAACGAGGGTGGCTGACCCCAAATATTTGGAACAAAGATGGAGGAGAAGAAGACAGGCTACAAGTGTCAAGTAAGTATTTTAATAATTTTAAACATTTATTATAAATACTAGCTGTCCCGCCCGTCGTTGCCCGTGCTAATTTTGTATTATTTGTTTTATTCATATTACTTTTTAGTAATGACCGCGTCAATAAAATATCTAAACACTGAATTTTGAAGGGGGGGATATTTCAAAGAAAATGAAGCCTAACTTAACTTATCGGGGAGTAGGAACGTTCGGCAGTGGGAGAACGCGTGTAATGTATTATAGTCGTCACTTGCAGATGGCACGGCGTTAATTTTCTACCTTTATCTACGTATTTATCGACAATTTATATCAATACAGAAGTAAAAAATCGATTGTCATGATTAGAGACCGGATTCATATGATCTTAAAATCCACAAAAAACAACTGAAATCGTCAAAAAGTATTGAAAAAAATCATTTAAAAAACGCAAAAATAATAAAACGGGTTTAATAATCCCCCCTCCAACGGATTTAATTTATAAATAAAATTGTCTAACACCACAAAATTGATTAATGAAAAGTAATTTTTTTTTATAATTTATACAATTTTATTTAAAAGAAATTATTTTGTATAAATCAATTTTGTAGTATTAGAAAATTAAATTTGATAAGTTAGAGCCATTAATGAGGGGACTTTTAAACTCCTTTGTAATTTTTGATTTTTTTAAATGTTTGTAAATACTTTTTTCAGAGACTTTTTGGTGTTTTAAAGCACCTTTTTACGAATTTAAAAAAAAAATAAATCCGGTGTCTAGTCATAATCTATATGTATTATGTATAAAAATGAATCGAAATTTTGTCGGTGACGCATTGACACCATAACTTGAATACCATCCAAATTTCCAACTTTTCAGAAAAAAAATAATTCTTGCGAGTTGCGTACGTAAATATATAATTTAACTGTAAATTTCGGTAAACTAACTGCGATGAACTAACACTTCTCAAAAAACTCAAAACTGGATGAACGTTCAGACCGAATGGACTGTGCACTAAGAAATTAATAAATTATTTTTCCATAGACACTCACACCAGTACATGGATTTCAATTTTAAAATCGATATTAAATTAAACTTTTAATATAAGACGTAAATTAAAAAAATTCACTCAACAAATTCAAAACCGTATAAACGTTCAGATCGAATAGACTGTGTATTAAAAGTAAATAAATTAACTTTTTCGATAGATGCCGACCGATAAAGCTGTTAAACGACATTTATCATATTCACCAAAGAGATGAAGAAATGACAATAAAGCACGTCAGTTAGACGATAAGTCTGTCCATAAAGTATATAAAGACTACGTCTGCCATAGAGAAAATAAACAAGTAACAATAAGACAACTGAGAAAAAATGTTTATAATGTTAGTGCAACGGTATCGAGTTCAAATCCCATTAGAGCTGTTTGTGTAACCCATTGATAATATCATTAATAAGTTTTTGCAGTTTTTCTACTTATTCTGTTGACTTTTTATACATTTTCTTTCATAAAATAAACTTGCCCGAACAATTACGAATACAATAAACGAAAAAATCAGCAAAATTGGTCAAGCCGTTCTCACGTGATTCGGTGACCAAGGAAAATAGAGATTCATTTTTATAAATATAAAAGAAGATATATGTATAATAGTTTTAAATATAACAAACTATTTTAAAAATATGATATTATTCGTGCTTCAATCCATGTGCGGACAATTGTTGCAGGTGGAAAGTTGATACAGGATACAGGATATATATAGAGTAATTTAATTTATATCTTTAATACCTAACGTTAAACCGTTGCTAAAAAAAAAACTATTCTCAGCGAAGTTCGGTTAAACATATTTTGAAATGCCTAGATTTGTATAATTTTTATAACAATTTGGACTATAAATTACTATAAAAAAACTTGAGTACGGATTTTTGATACTGTTATAGAGCTATAAAAACCATTTATGATAAACCCTATATTAAACTTCCAAGTACTTTTAAGAAGCTAAAAATTATTTGCTCAACGATTTCGTCAAAATTTGATAATAAAATTCCTCTATAAAAATTTTCTTTTTTTAACCACAAAGTAAGACTCTTAATGAACCTCTTGTTAAATTTTAAAGCATTTTGTTAAGTTCTAACCTTTTTACCAAAGAGTACCACCGAATAAAAATTACGTAAAATACTCGAAAAATTAAAATGTCTATAAATAACTCAAAAATGGCTTAACTTTTTTAAAAATTTACCACGTCTAAAAAAAGAAAACATACATGTTCTGTTCAAATGTTAAGTCCATAGATCTGATACGAATATTTTTAACTAAGTTTCAACAAAAATATTAAACTTTATATAAAAAGCTTAAAAATGGCAAAAATGTTTCGAAAATTATACCATATCTAGAAAAGGCAAATTTAAGTTTTCTGTCCAAATTTCAAATCTCTAAGAATATTTTAAACTGAATTACAACAAATAACAAAATTCAAAAATAATGAAAGCATTTTTTTCATAAATTTCTCGTTTTTCTTATGTTTTATCCTAGTTTTCCCCAGATATTATAAAAACCGCTTGGAAAATCAAAAAATTACCTCCCTAAAGTACCATCTGGACAATATTCTCTTTTATAAATAGTGTCACGCGTATATATCTGAGCAATATTTATGATAGAATTTGTGTACACAGTATAAAAAAAAACATCTTAGTAAAACCGATATATATTCTTCGCTATACTCAGAATCTAAAATGTAAAATGGATTAATTTAAAAGTTTTTTAAAGTCAATTTTTTTTTTCTATTAGATGATAATTAAATTCACTGATAGGAATTATATCTAAAAAAAATCAAGAGTTCTGCTAACCACGGCTCCCCCTATAGTGAAAGCGCCCCTATGTTATAACCTAGGTAACCTAGTTCTAAATTCGATATTGTTTGTAACGCCATGCCGTAACATGCCGAAAAATCCAATGATAAATGCACGTATTCAAATAATTGTATAAATATTTATTATCCATAAAAAATACACATAATTTAAATAAACAGATGGAATATTTACGTAGGGACCTACACTTAGTTTTTATTATAACCATCACCGGCGCCGCCCGCCACAATAAAGAAAAACTAAAATGTTGCATATTATGAGTGAAATTCCAAGAATTCCCATACCCCCGGATTTAAATTTTTTAAGTGACTTTTAAAAATAAAAATCGTGAATAAGATATAATATTGTCAACAGTCCGAGTAACGTGTGTACAAGTATATAGTTCCGAGTTTTTTAATTTCTTTGCAGGTAGGTTAGATTAAATATACTTGTTGAATTATTATATTTTCGTATTTAAAAATAATCTTTATAGATACGTACCCCGTACTATTGATGTTATCTGTAAATTTGGCTTTTCCGATCACCGCTTCTTTTTGTTTAATGGTGTAGTTTTTATATTGGATTGTAAATCGATTTTTGGCGGTTTTCACCGCTAGTATTGTTTGGTTTTTCGGTATCGTTAGACAACGAAACTCCCAGAGAGTAAAGAAGAGCAAAAGACAACTTTTCAAGAACATTGTGTTAATGATATTAACAACAAATGCGTTTTAAATTGAATACCGTGTTACCGTACAGTTCGTAATTGACTTTTGGTCGCTTGTTGATAACAAATTAATAATAATAATTTCGTTTCAGGAGTGTACCCGTACAGATAATTACTGATTAATTTGTACGCGTAAAACGTAGGAGTAAAAAATCAAATGAAGTATATTGTGTACAATTGTTTAAAAATATTTAATTATAAAGTTAAAAAAAAAACCCTAATCATTTACCGTACGTTATATTCAATAATGTATTAGTTTTATTGAAACCTATAATTTATCAACGTATCGTTGATTATCATATTGTAGCATATTAATATAATAATAATAACAACTATACTTGTTTATAAGAGTTGCATACATAATAAATATGTATAATAATAACATTGCAGTAAGGTTTTTTTTTTCTGAGACCATTTACAATATTTAGTGTATAAATGTTATTTTATTGTATTATATAGTTAGAAAGAAAAAATCGTATACAGATGTTTTCTGTTGATGTGGCTAATAATAATAATTATGAACTTTTGTTTTTAAGTACCTACCTACCTAATATTTTTCCAGGCGTATTAAATATAGTGTTTTTTTTTTGACTGGTCGTTTACAAAAAAAGAGAGTTAATACTGTTTTTTACATAACATAACATTATCGGCTTTTTTTTCACTTAAATATTCTTTCGTCGAATGCAGTTGCTACTATAACCGACGAAACAACAATATGAAAAGAACTGATTCCGTTACAATAGGACAGTTATAGCTTAACAACACAATCGATTGGCCCGTAGAATAATCCATGGGCTTTAGTGGACTCATAACAGTGGTGTAACTAGGAACATTCTTTGAGAGGAGTGGAGGGGGAGTGATATGAACATTTAATAAACATATCAAGAAAAAACCATAATAAATATATAGGAACTATATATCACATAATTTTATTAGCATTCAAAATCAATAATAAACGAACAAATATTTGCAATGTGCCGTGGTCCACACTTGATATTTTCCATTTTGCTTTGTAAATAACAATTAATTGCAAAAAAGAAAAAAAAATGTCTAGGTTCTTTACCCAACGATAAATCATTGTTAACGAAAAACGATTTCCGGAGTTCGGTGAACATGTTTTGAAATACAAAAATTTTTACGATTTCCATTAAAATTCTAACTTTAAACACTTATAAAAAAAAATTAGGTACCATATATTACGCTAATTATTTTTTTCTTTACCGATGAGTACAAATTAAAATAAACCTCGTAATAACCAAGTACAAACTTAATCAACTCAAATTTTCAAATGCCTATAAAAAAATATTTTTTGAAAAATGTTCCACTTCTAGAATCTAGAATATAGTTTAAAAATCGATTTCCGTAAGAAATGTAGTATAACAATAAAAAAAAATAAAATAATATTTCAAAATTCGAATAATCGATTAATGGCCAAAGCACTTAAACTCGTATATAGTTGCTCTACTTTTTGTTAAAATATCCATCAGCTTTGGATAGCTCCACTCGATACTAAGATACGTGTTGAGTATAAGTGCGCAGTGCTTGCATTCAGGGAAACGCGGAGAGATTTTTGGAATATTTTTTTTTTTTTGCCTTTGGCTTTGTCGTTATGCAATTTCGAATGTTCAATTATTAAATTCATAAATTTAAAAAAAACAATCGGAAAGAAGTAAAAATCCACTTAATCACTAAACCATGCTAGGTCAAAATCGTTTTTCGTTTTTGGCGAATGCGATAATTTATTTACATTATCATTATATTTATATAGGTACATATTAAATTATCTTCTCGTATAGTGAATTCTCAGTTTTCAACAATTTTTATTGCATTTTTATTACACGAGATATCGTTTATCGAAATTAATTATTATATATACTTATATCGCGAAATATAACAAATCTAAGCATTGACTAAGTTTATTACATACCTATTAATTTTTGACCTGATACTCTTTTTCAGTACCTATATAATGAACAATGACTAACGTACAATTTTATCAGTAACTCTAATCTAACAATATTTAATTGTTTTGATTAATTTCATATTTTACGGTTGGAAAGCTCCATATATAAATATACTGTATGCATATGCATATAATATGTATATAAACATTAGCAGATAAATGGTGTAATAATTTGATAACGAATTTTTCGCCCATCATATCATAATCTATTATTGTAGAGGGATGTAATATGCACACAATTAACGATAATTATCATTTATTAATATATTATGGACCCACAATAGGTACCTAACGAGGAAATTTGTATAACATCGTGTAAGTATACAGTTCATCATAACCATAGGAGTGTGAAAGATTTTTTTACGGGGTGTGCAGAATAGGTTTTAGTAGGAATAGTCTTTAAAATGGAGGGGGACTCAGTCCTTTTACCTCTGACCAAATTTTAATATGTCCCCTTTAATATTTTTATAATAGAGCACGGGAACGCTCGACTGTAAATATAAATTATGATCCCCTTTAGATTTCCAGTAGCTCCAGAAGTTTTAGTAAATAAATATTTCTTCAATCGATTTTCTGACAAAGGTTTCTTCATACTTATGTTGTTTTTTTATATAATAAAAGTAATAGTTAAAAACTAAAGTAACCTTTCATAATTTGTAAATAACTAGGTAGTAAATAAGTTCATAATAACAGTATTGATAATGACTAACGAGTGCTGACAATCGAGAATTATCAAAAAACCACGGACGAAGATATACTGGACTGGCATCGTCACGGTCACGGGGGGTAGTAGAGGAACGATAGTCAAATGTTTCGACATCGCCACTCCCCAAATCGCCAAGAAGTACAAGTAGGGGTAAAAGCGCTCCTAGTAACAAATACCATACCTAACTAATTTGTATATTTAGATGTTTTCTGATTTATAATGATTGATTATTTTTATCATTGCGTTTTAATAACATATGTGTAGACGGCGCTTTTAACTTTTACTTGTATCTAACGGCGGCTATCGAAACATTTGAGAGCCACTGTTAAGGTCATCGATACCAATCCAGTCCATGCGAGAAACACATTTGTCGTGATTAAATAATCTAAAACTATATTGTTATTACATAGATAATTTTTATTTATGGTTAGATCAAAATGATTTTTACGGTAGCTGATAAATGTGCGGGTACATATTGTGTAAGTGTGGCCGATAGGTACATAAATATAATATAGATTATAAATATTATACTTATAATATTATGTATGGGCATAATATGAGCTGAAAATAATAATTGAAGAGTTAACATTTAAAATATAAATATAAATATGTATATTATACATTTTACTTGAAGTAATATTTTAATTTACAATGAAAACAAAAATTTTAAGCAGGCAGAATTTTGTGCAGAATGTGCAGAACAGCTGCACATTTTACACACCCCGTGCGCACGCCTATGATTCATAACAGTACGTATATTAATTGGTTCAACGTAATCGTTATTTAATATAAAAATTCAAGCATTGTCAATGAATAGTCTTTTTAAACAAAATAATGTTGTTCAAGTAATTAATTTGTATGATAGATATTATTAAGTCTAAAACTATGTTCTATAACGCGGCATTACAGTATAGGTAGACCACGAGTACCTTATTGCCTTACAATAAACGAACTTTGATCATAACTATATAATATTATATTATGTGGATATAACAATAACCAACGGATGACGCAATTATTAAAAATGTTATAGAAAATATTGACCTATTAAAAATAAAGTGAATTCATAAAAAACTAAATAGCTCACGGTCAACGCGGTATTTCAATTATACACACGAGAGGTATATTAAAAAAAACCAAAAGTCAAATAATCCCACGAAAAATTCACTTTGATTTTACTGTTGTTTTATAAAAAATCATTATAAAATGTATTTTAAACTACAAAATTATATTTATTTTAATATTAAATGTTTAATGTTTAATGTTATACCAATACACATTATCTATCCTCAATTATCCCAGTTCAACCATATTATAATGCCTATTCGACCATTTAAGAATAACAATTATTATTATAAATAGACAATTATTATCTATTAATTCATTATCCATATAGGTAATATAAATTGTAGAATCGTTAAAGTTAATGTCACACGAAGATTTATTAGTAGTTCCAAAATATCACTAAAAAAACCTAAATTAAGCATAGACGAAAAAACAAATTTCAAATTCATTCATTCCATTGAATTTGGTTTGCAATGATATTTTATCGTTGCATTTGGGATTTCGAATTACCTACCCTTTATATACTAATAGTTACATTACTACAATAACTTTCTTATTTCTCTCAGAAACGTTTTCTGTCAACTTAAGGACTACTTTTGTAACGCATATTATATTGACAAGTTGTTTTGTATTAAAACGAAAACTCAACCGCAGTCCATGTAAGGCAGTGTTTCTCATCCTTATTTAAATTACCGCCCCCTTGAGTAGCAATCAATTTTTAAACGCCCTTCTATTTGAGAATTCTATAATAGGGAGCTCTTTATATAGAAAGAGAGTTGATTTAGAAAATTTAAAAAAAAATTGCTAGGTTTCTTTGGTTTTTTAGATATGATTTTTGATTGTTGCATGCAAAATTAACTTCAGTGTGATGGTTAAACTTGGTGGTTTTTAGTAAGTTTTTTGACATTAGGTTCAATATTTGTTAACATTAGTCGTAAGTCTCCTCTTGTCAAAATATCCATATTTCTTTGTAATTAAATCTGTTACAGTGCTGAACTCTCACTCAACGAGATATGAAGAAGGAAAGGCTATTAAAATTGTTTTAGCGAGAGTCCAAAATAGTAAAGATAATAAATTAAAAAACAATCAAAGATAAGTTTTTGTGCATTGCCAAACATAGTACCTAATAGTGACTGATAGCTATCATATGGATTATCAAGTATGTATTATTTTTAGGTCGCATCATGTACAACGTTTTTGCGTGTACCCGCTCGCCGACCCCCTACCACCCAAAACTAGTTCACCGCCCCTCGGTAACCCTTCACCGCCCAATGACGAGTGATTTCGTCTCCATTGAGAACCACTGATTTATGGAACCGGGCCGCGGTGCAACATGCTATTCTTATCACTCGTGTATTTAGACATTTCAAGTTATGAAATACTAAATTCACTACTACTAATTCAATACAAAATTGAAGAATATTTGGTCTAGCGGGCACCGGGTCATTTAACTACATAGAAATGGCACGTGTAATTTATATTGTAAAAGTTTTCTTTTTCTCAATTCGGGCGTATAAATTAATTTATTATGAATTACTTTATAAGTATGTCTACATGTGCTCCATCTCACATGCGTATTCGAATGCGGTTTTTACTTAACGATTAGTTAGACTCTCAAAAAATTCCCCGTTAATTTTAGTCCAATCGATAAAAACTAGATTTACTCATTGGGAGCTTATACTACTTTGATACTTGATATCGATTCTTTGTACAATACATAAGTAGACGGTTTTCTAAATATTCTTTTTGTGATAATTATAATTATGTGCCGTCAAAGTAAAGATCCATCACTTCGATGTGTTAGTTTTTACGTTGTACACATCCCCCCCAACTCACCTGATGTCTGCCAAAATCCCTATATGCAATGATTATACACCTCAGATTATAGATGACGCTACTTCGAGTAAAGACACTTATCATTATAATAATAATTCGCTTGCAATTTAAATGTACAGTCCATCATGCGCTACATTATTTTAATTAAAATGAAAAACCAGTAACTTTACGTGCCGATACAAAGAAAATGTTTGTTAAAAATGAATTGTGGCGGGCGGGGGGGGGGGGGAATAAGTAATAGGTTTTTGTAATTTGTGGCTATTTGTTTTCGGTTTGCAGTACATAATTATATATTGTATACTAGCCATTACTATACCTCTTATTGTTATTTGAACAATGGAGAACTTGGCAAAAAACGTGTTTACCGTATTGGACCGATAATTATTATTATGACGGTGCATATGCTGCGGAGTCAGCGTCGTATTGGCAAATGTTACCATAATTACGGGGGCGATATTTGCTCCCACGCCCCCATCACCCAGCCGCAACCGTTAACTCCAAACAGTCGTCAGAAACAACTATATACTACCGATATTTATATTATATATAGTAGCTATTACACGGTTGCAATTTTTTAGCGTTAAAAATACACACACGATTTTATGTGTTGCAGTATAATGTGTGACGTAACATATTGTCCACGTCTAATATATTGCCTGGCTCTCGTAGGTATAAATGTTTATAGATGTGGCTATAATACGAGAGGATAATAGTCTCCGCCAATTGGATCATTGGTCAATAATCAACAACAGTTAAAATTTTATTTTAGATTCAGAGCGTACTGATTTGAAAGCCATATTTAGGTACAATAAAAACCAGAATAAAAAAGGTCATAAGAAAAAATGATTTAAGAATCGTTACCGTTAAGCGTATCCTAATGATACTAAAAAAAATAAAAATGGACTTTAACGGTAAAATAGTAGAAAATTTAAATTTTGTACCAGATCAGGAATTTTCAGTTGTCGAATTTCGGTCTAGACTTATAGGTACTACTTGACGATTATCAGAATATTGGTACCGTCCATAGAATTTATGACGAAAGATATTAAAAACGCGAAATACTGGTACTCCTCAAAATTTAAGTTTCAAGGGTATATATTTATTTACTAGCTTTAAGTATAAATAAAAAATAATAGTAATAGCAATCAAAATTAAATCAAAATCTACATCAATATTTTCTTAGCTCATGGTAACATTTTTCGAATTTAAATCATTATTAATTTCATAAAAACAAAATCGAAAAAAAAATAGATTTTGACATACTACCTGCCAACGTCAAATAATTTATTTTAATTCTATCAAATTAAGTAGAGATTAATTTAATTTAGTATAGAATTTAATAAATGTTTAATTAATGGTTTGATAGGTAGTTTTAATATGTTAGAAAGTTGGATCATTTCCCAGCGCTTGTAATACACCGAGAAAACAATAATTTTAAGTAAATTTTGCGTTGATTTTATTAGGTAAAGATAAAATATATTAACATCGAAAACCTAAAAGAAATTAAAACTAAAAATATACCGACACGCCATTATAAAAAAATTACATTTTTAGAATATATTATAATTTATAAGTTACGAAGATTTACAAATGTACACAGTGTTATTTAGTAATTAATAATAATATATTTTATATGATATTATTATGTAATTTTAATTTTTTATTGCATTTTTAACATAATTATACTGCAATTTTAATATATTTTCATTACAATTTTGACATATTTTTAACGCAATTAAATCCGGTCTATAATTATAAGTATATGTATAATAATAGGACGAGCTTGTAACTGATAGGTTAGCGTTGCACAGGATTAAAAAAAAATATGCAAAGTTCAATATCATGAATGATATCGTACAGTTTTGGCATTTATTTAGAAAACCCATTTGTGGGTTTCCGGCTCGAAGTCCCAACAGTCCGGAAGTCCCAGGTGACTCACGTTCGCCGAAGCTCTGCTCCAACAGTACGGACCGAGACGGGACGAGGTACCGGATGTTGGTCCGGAGATTGCGACAAATATCAGACTCTTGAACATACGGTGACTGGTGATTTTGACGTCCGTGGCCCCACGGTTCGAATAGCCCAACGCTTCGAACGGGTACGAACCGTTCCTGTCGTTCAAATCGGCCCTGCGGCAGTAACATTAAAACGAAAATCAAATCGTGAACATGGAAGTGGAACTAGAATTTATTTACGGTGTATGTGTGAATTTTAAAAATGGAATTTTCTTTGACTAGAAACTGAGCTAAGAAAATTGTTGAACTGCACGTTCTATTTTAAAGCTATACAGCTGGAAAAAATTTGATAGAGCATATTGCTCATGGAGTGACTCATGGACCCCACTAGTTTTTTTTTTGTATGTTGACTTGTACAATTCTTCATGTTATTGTTATTCAAAACTTCAGAGAACACAAATATATTGGTAATTTTTTACCTTATTTACTGAATAAAATAATTCTTAGTATTTGTTTAAGTACTGAACACGTTAACGTGCAATAAACCCTGTGTATTTATATGATAATATCTTTGTTGATAATAAACTATAATAACTACCCAAGATTTATAAATTATAGCGTAGGCCATAGAGTATACAGAGATACACTAAACGATATAATATGAAGAAGAAACAGAAACAGAAGAATAGAAACAAAACATTGTAGGAACTAAAGAAAATATTCGATTGCATGTGAAATATGTAGTAGGTCCGATATTTATTGTATTTAAATTATTTAATTTATTTTGAATATCATTAAAACCATTATCATTTCATTACTAAATTTACATATTACAATAAATATTTTAAATTCTGAGTGGAGCGAAGAAGCTTATGGTTTAATAAGATATTTTATTTTTTTCCATGGACATTTTTTCTACCAGAATACTTGCTCCGATTTTTACGAGTAGCAATGTTTCTGAAAGGAAATTTCACTGGGGAGAAACTTTAAAACGTTCGTTTTTCCATTTTCCCCGGAGTTTTCTCAGCAAATGTGAAAATTTGGAAAATCGGTACAACATTAAACAAATACTATTAAAGAAAATATATAGAGCCTATTTAATTATTTTTACTATAATATGGCATATATATTGTTTGCAAAGCAGCAGTATCAACTGAACTCCGCTAAGAATCGTTTTTTCGTAAGCAATTGTTCAATTGTTGCAATTGTTGCTTTCCTTACAGGTATACATTAAATACATTATATACATTGATCTGCGTCTATTGGTTTTTAGGTTATCTTTACTATATAAGAAAAAAAATAACTTGACTGACACCTTATCAGATTTTTTGACTGTAGTGATTTATCGTGGCTTTTAGTATATGAACTAAATTACCTTATTCCCTATACCTTCGAAACTTTACACCTATTGATTTTAAAATAGTAAGATATTAGCGCTATCTGTTTACTACGTGATCAATTATTGGAAATAAGTCCGCCATTTTTCACTTCATATTATTTATAATATTTAATATAATAGGGCATATCTATAAATTGTATAGATTATACAGTAGTTAATATTTTACACAACTTGACAATTATCTACCGTCGAATGTCATCTCGCTTGTATATACAATAAATATCTAAAATTATTTGATAAAATGTCTAAATTAGTTTCAATACAACTTAAAATACATAGATCATATCATTTAATATGGTCTAATAAGTACAAATCAATCAACAACGTATAACGTAGGTTTCGTAAAAAAAAAAAATTAAGTTGCGCAATAGATGTTGGAGGATAAGGTAGACAATTGTGTAGAAAATAAAAGTACCTAAATGCTAAGTTTTAATATTTTCTCTATTATTATGAATACCTGGACGATACGGCGTTTTCGGCCGAAAATCTGGGAATGCAATGCTTGCACCTGGACTCGGGATCGTTTCTAAAATCGTTCGAACGCATCAACTGCAACATAGTCTGCAAATCTATCACGCTGGCCTGGTCTCTGGCGAATAAACGAGCTCGTGGAGTATCGTGATACGAAAACCTGGTAGTCCGTTACGGATTTATACAAAAAAATACATAAGTACAATATGGATAAAGTTTAAATACACAATGCGTATCAAAACAATTATTAAGTAACAGTTTTCTTCAGTTGGCTATACCTATTACACTCATCAAGGTAAATAATGGACATGATTAGGAAAATACCATTTTTGTCGAATATTGAAACTATTGCACTGTATAATGTACATGTTTTTCCCCGACACTTCCCACTTCTCAGTGAAATGCTCGAACTAATAAAATTAATATACTGCGAGTTCCATAGAGTAAGATCGAATTGCATTTATTTTAGAGAAATTTGCAGTTCGGTAAAAAAAGAGGTTACCACAAATATTTTTGAAAAAAAACTTAATTTAAAGTCGCACTAATTTACCTTTCCATTTGAAATTTAACCATTGGCGTTGTACTCATAAATAGGATTTTCTTACGTACATATATTATAATAAAAAAAGCGTTTTTTGAGTTTAAATCATTATTATTTATAAAAATCATTTTTTGTAGAAATCTAAAACAGTTGCTATAAAAATGTCTAAGTAATATATATATAATATTTGGTTTAAGTATTTTATATTCTGTTTAAGTCTGTGATACTTAAACAGATTATTCCTAAGGCTGTGTATGAAAAAGGAAAAGAGTGTTTTTTCAAAACTTTTAAGTATAATTTTTTAAATATCACTTTTTTTGATCTAAGTGCAGTTCAGCCATTTTAATTAAAGTAATAGTGAAATTCGGCTGTCCCCGTTCCTTCATCTGGCATCATCCAAAGTACCATTTTTATATAGGTAATACAGGTGATATATTTGATGCAGGTAATAGGTGAATGTAATTAGTCAACAAGGTAAACGTATAAATCAAAATATTAGAATTAACAAAAAAAAAACAAAAACAGAAAAACTTTGTTAGTCCTATACTCTACGTCTGCAGAGTGTAACCGACTAACGAGTATTCCTCATCAATATGTACATCCTGTATAAATATGTTATTAATAATATTATTCGAGATATATTTTCATCATACCAATTCCCGTAGCGATTCATCATGTCTTGTTGACCGCTCGTTTTGAACACGGCTGGTATAAAGGGCACGTTATAGCTCGCCCAGTACATCTGGTCCAGCAACATTTTGGTCACGTCTTGGGTTTTCACGATCCCTGGCATTTGCTCTAGGATGTAGAGTAACCCGTTTTCAGGCATTTGGTGGCCCGGCCGGAATAATGAATAGTTGACCACCAACCATTGATTGTTGCGCGTACCACTGTTGTGATTCTGGAAATACTTAGTCCAGGCCAGTCCGTCAGACGCCAATCGGTTCGCCACCATCGACCGGACGAAGACTGATATCTATTGCGTTATACGATTAAAAAAAAAACATTGTTGTAATCATGGACACCGAAGACATAGGTACCGCAGCGCTTAAGCATTCCATGAAAAATATAACCATATGTAAACAAATATTGCGTACTACCTTTTTTTGTTTATACAATCCTTATACGAAAATAATTACATTTAATGTTTATATTTTTTTGCTGAAAATCCATTTTAGTTCTGAGTGAAGCAAAGAAGCATTTGGTTTTACAAAGATGTTTATTTTATTTTTACTTTTTTTTTATCTGTGTGGAACTTTAAAAATAAATAAACAAGAATCTTGCTCCGACTTTTAAGTGTAGCACTTTTTTTAAAAGGAAATCGATGTGGGAAGGTACTTTTTCGATTTTTCCAGGAGTTTTAACTTTTACTGGCAGAATTGGACATCTACGCCTTGGGCTTCATTTAATCTAGCAAAACTGGTATTGAACGATATCATCAGACATCGTATCGATTTTGTAATATAAAATATAGAAATATAATGATTATATATTATACCACGTTAATTTGACTGTAGATAGCAGCATTCGTTATAACTTGTATCATTGATTAAGTATACATAAATAGCCCACGCAACGTTAAAAATTTAATAAGAAATCGAGTAATGGGAGCCCAAAAATAATAGTGTGGGACACTGATATCAAAAAACGCTAGAGTAGTTTTTAATAGTAACCATGATTGTGATGCTGGTTTAATTTTTTTTCGGTGTTAATAACAGTTTTGATAAGCGATATATGATAACGTTCCATTTAACCGATTTGACGGTTTCATCTATACAGACTGTTCTTACTTCTGGAACGATTCTAGTTAAGCAACCAAGCGATTTTTCGGGGTTTTTTTTTTCCAAAATGTGTGTTTTTGCGTATGCATTTAAAATTTAATAAAATGAAAGTCGGACGAACTTCGTTTGGAAGTTGTGGGGGGAACTTCATGAAATACGGTTTTTCTTTTTCGCGTATTCCTTAATTAGAATTTAACATTTTGAAATTTTTTTTTTTTCCAGAATGTGTGTTTTTAGACGCTTAATCCATTAGTATAATCAAAACGTACCCACATACTTACTTTTAAAGTTTTTGTGTATAAACCTTGAAAAATAGCATTTTCGGAACTAATCCAAAATGTGGTCAAAAATAGAAATTTTTCTTGTTATTATTATTTGTAGTTATTTATATATTTAGATAAAACAGCTTTTTTATTGAAGTCAGAATAAGTCTATCTGGCTTAGGTTTAGAGTTACAGACGTTCAAACGCGCCATATTTTCCTACGCTCACTCAGACAATTTTAATCGAAAACAACCCTCGATTTTTTGTACAAAATTCCATTGGGTAATTAACAAAGAAAAGTGAAAGGCACATAGGTGAAATTAGAGACCCAATGTGCTCACACGCTCGCTGCGCTTATTCGTCATTAGCACGTCACGTTTGAACGCGAATAACTCTAAAATTAAGCCAAATAGACTAATTCTGACTTCAATAAAAAACTTTTGTTATCTAAATATCAATAACCACAAATAATAATAATAAAACAAATTTCTATTTTTGACCAAATTTTGGATTAATTCCAAAAATGCTATTTTTTAAGGTTTATACACAAAAACTTTAAACGTAAGTATGATGAGTACGTTTTGATTATACCAATGGATTAAGCGTCTAAAAACACATATTTTGGAAAAAAAAATGTTTAAATGTTAAACACTAACTAAGAAATACGCGAAAAGGAAAACCCGTACTTTATGAAGTTTTCCCCCATAACTTCCAAACGAAGTTCGTCCGACTTTTTTTTTACATTCTTAATGTACACGCAAAAACACACATTTTAGAAAAAAAACCAAAATATTGCGTGGTTGCTAAACTAGAATCATGCTTTACTTCTTTCTATTATTCAAAAATATTATAATTATAATTTGGTTTTTGTTCTAATAAAAAATATGTCTCGTGATTGCTATAGTAAAAGTGTTTTAATGGACTGCAGTAAATCGGCACATTTTTAATGGGAGGTGATGTAACAAATAAAAATCGGGAATAGAGAGTAAAATCGTCTTCTCTATCCAACTCGACTATAGGAACTGGTAATTTAAAAGCCGGATCATAAAAAAATGTCAATTTCTAATAAATACATCAAGCTTTTCCTCGGAAATCAGCTCAAATGTATGTTTCAATATTTGATTACTCATATTTTGATGTATTTTTAAACCAATAGGGGGGAGGATATAACCCCTAAATTACCCCATCCTTCGTACGCTACTGGGTATGAGAAGCGTTGTTATAAATTGCCAAGATTTTCTAATTAGGCAAAAATATTGTATTGATATTTGACGAAAAAAAACCTAAGAAAACATGGAAATGTAATATTTTACTAATTTATTATAAACAATAAAAGAACAAGTGACAATTGCTGTGACTATAATTTTGTAATATTATAAATTATTAATTAATAATTATATGACTGGTGAGAAAAGGTTGTTTTCTTATCGTAGACTTCTGTCCAAAGTCCAAACTGTGAATTGTTTATGACGATCTGCTTACTGACGTGATTCCCTCCCGCCATCTAATAATTTCACTGCATATCTAATTACGATTATAATTATTTCTTAAATATTGGTATTGCTAATGCCATCTTTTGATAACTCTTATTTTATTATTAATTACAGAAATACATATTTTATATACCCGTGGGTATATATTTATATATTATATAAATATATATTATTATATATTATATATTATATATTATATACCCGTGGGTATATATTATATATTTAATATATTAAATATAGATTTAATCATTGCTTAAATTATACGTCATTATATTTGAATTAAGGCTTAAAAAATGTAAAGTTTAACATTTTCTTAATGGAATTACTACGTCTTTAAAAATTAAAATCCGCTAAGTACGTGTATTGTTTGCAATATCACCTGTATGCGATATTTTCCGTGGTTATTTTTGTGTGCATTACAACACACTCCGCGTACTACAACAACTACAAATGTGCACCTGCTACCTGCATTTGTTATATCCCAACAAAGACCCTCCGTAAACTAAGTAAAAAACCTTCGCTAAGAAAAAAAAAAACTCAAGTCAGAAATGTTGTAATATCAAAAAAAAAGGTAAGTAATTTCTTAAATTCATTATTATTGAAATTGTTTATTAATAATTAATAATTTAATACAAATAATTTAACTTAGCTTGGCGGGTACTAATATTTACGACTATAAATAAACATACAATGCAAACATGAATATTTACATCCCCATTACTATAATTTATTAATATTACCGTAACACAGCGTACTATGAGTAGCCGCCAAGCTAAGTTAAATTATTTGTTTTATATTATTAAACTTCATCAAATACAAATAATTATAAACAATTTCTATACTAATAAATGTAAGAAATTACTTAACTTCTTTTTGATATTACAACTTTTCTTTCTTAGCGAATGTTTTACACGTAGTTGACAGAGGGTTCTTGTTAGGATAACACTAATTGTTTTATTAAAATGTTGGATATGTACCATAGTTATCTATATTTTTTTTTTCATCGAGTTCCATAATCTAAATTATGGGGACATAATCTTTGCTGTTTTATGGATTGAGTAATTCAATATAATATGATATCTGAATATACGAGCTCGTAGCTTATGAATGTTCCTAGAAAACAATACTATAATAATACAGCGATAAAATAAATAAATAAATTGTTTTTACCGCTACAAACAGGTGATAACGCGTACAACATAAGTGTATATTATTGATAAAAAAAAAAAATAGCGTTTCGAGTAAAAACTATACTAATACTTTTGCTTATTACTCAGGCTGTAATCATCCGATCAATTTGAAATTTACAAAAGTAGTATCTACATAATATACTGATCAACCGATATAAATTTTATAAAAATTAGTCCATTAGTTTAGGCTACAGAGAGGTCGGACTATTTGCCGTAAAACTACACAGGTTAAATAGGAGTTGACCGTCTCGTGTTATGTAATATGGTCAACTTTTTGTTTCACTTAGTTCTGCGCCGCGACCGCGTCGCTGGATAGGTAACTGAATCTACTACCACAAAATAATTATTAATTAGTAATCAAATTAATTTGTACCTAAGTACTAAAAACTGTATCACAGGTCAGATTTAATTTAATAATTATTTTAACTAATTTTTTATTATGAAATAGGAGCTTGTAAAATGATAAACGCATAACGAAATCCAACAAAAATACTAACACAGTTTGATACGAAATTCACTATCGAAAGTAATAAATCGAATTATAAAGTTACAAAATGCATTCAGATAAAACTTAATTTTTTTTAAATATTCAGTTTTTCTTTTTTAAACCTTTTTACCTAATTAAAAAAAGGGAAAACTTTTTTCTCAACAAATGTGAAAAACCGAAAAAAAAAAACGGAGGAAAAACGATAAAATGTTCGAAATGTATTGATTAAAAATATTACGGCCTTCGTTTATCCTGTGAACAATTTTTCTACCAGCAATTTCGCTCTGATTTACAATAATAGTACTTTTTCTGAAAGGAAATCTGACTAGGAAAGTACTTTAAGGAGGCCATTTTTCAATTTTTCTAGGAGTTATTCCAATAAATGGAAAAAGAAACAGGATAATATGTACAATATTAAACAAATATTATTATAAAGAAAATGTTTAATGCTTATATATAATCATTTTATTATAATATGGCATCTATATTGTTGACAAATTATCACTATCAACTGAACTCTGCTCAAATTAATTTTTGTTTCAATGGTTTATCGTTGTTTACAGGTATACAATAAATTACCTATAACAGTGGATGCACCCGTCTCCATTATCTTAGGAAAACATTTTTCTTTCTTTTTTTTTCTCAGCCTTATACGAATTATAAAAAAAAATTTCTATATTACGCACAACTTTCCACCTACAACAATGGCACACCCGTCCCCAGTATCAGCTCTTTTTTTATATTTATTTGTGTATTTATTTTACTTCAAATTTTAAGGATATTTTTAACTGCTGTTTGGAAATTAAAATTTTTAATGCATTTTATATAATATATCTTGAACATATTATTCATACGATATGTTCTGGTACTCGTATTGCGTCCAACTAATAATATCCGTATTATGAATAGACAAGGAATACCTATTGTATTATTATATAAACCCAAAGCTTGAAATTCACGTTTGTCGTTAAAAATAAAAACTATACAATTCAATACAAATAAAATACATATCTATTGATTTTAATATACAGATTGTCAGTTATCAGTTATTATCTTCAATAATGGTATATCTATGATGTGTGTCTTTGAGAATTATATACGATTTCTACAGCTGGTACCAGCTTTACTACATTTTTCAAATTATATTTTTGTATTTTTAAATAATTGTACGGATTTCTCAAAGAACACTACACGCGTGTATAATGGAATAAGATTTTATAGACAAGTAAATCATATTATAATACCTAGGTAATCTTTAGACCCCGATCGTCGTGGTTCGATTAATCCCTGATAATAATATAATATACTATGTTAAGTATTACGACATTATGTGGTGAATTTATATTTTTTATAATCCAATGATACGCTCGTATTTCTATATAGTAATATAGGACCTACCTGTCCTATCGGCCGAACGTTAGCCCACAACAGTGAATTGTAAACTGTATTTGTCGTTTGCGTGACTGCCAAACCCGAGGATATCAAGTAAAAATCGTCCATCGAATACAAAAAACCGGGATACGAACTAAACGAAATATCGTGTCCGTAAACCAATTGATTGGACGATATACTTTCCTTGTAGTTGAGACGGTACCGTTTTTGTATCCTCATCATTGTTTCATACCTGACAGGGGGGGAGGGAGAAACAACAACAGCATAGTATAATATTTTAATCAGGAATACAGATCTCGTCTCGCTCACCAATTCCACGTGACGTGCGAGAAAAACAACTCTTTGTATCCGGGCAGCAGTTTTATGAGAACCGAACCCGATCCGGCCCCGAAAGGTTTTCGATGCGGGTGCGTCGAATTAAAAGCGTCGTACAAATCGTATAAATCTTCTTGAATGTTCATCCAACTTAATATGTAAACAATTTATTTTTTTAAGGTTGTATTTTTCTTTTTTTTTTTCTTTATAATATGTGGGTAGGTATATTCGGTTAATGGGTTAGTATTAATGCGTATACACTTACAAAAAATGTTCCCATGATAAAGACTGCATTCCTTCTTTTATGTTCGCATTGTATCCGTCGTGTAAGCCGTCTAGCTGCTTATACACCAGGCCGACCTAAACACGATACTAACATATTGATATTTATCGTATACCCCTACGTGTAATATAAACATAGGCTTCCTTTATTTAGAGAGAGGGAGCTATAAGCTCTCCAAAATCTAACGTAAGCCACCCTCTCACAAACAATTTTGACATAGTAGTCACTAGAAATATATTTCTTTCGCGTTGTTTTTACAATCAAAGACCTTTGGCCCAAAAGGACTTTTTCGCTCGGAAACTTTGAGTTTGCCACAAAAATCCTCCTCCCAGTAACTGTTAAAGACGCTATTGTCACGCCTCGAGTTTTAAACAACAACAATCAATAATTATTTATTTAGTTTTGAAGTATTGTTCAAAGATATTTAATTGTTGGTCCCGGTGAAGAGGGGCTTAAATCGATTTCGTGTAATTTTCAATACAAGCAAATTTAATTTTAAAAATTGTTCAATAGCAATAATGGCATAGATTTGCTAAATGGCTAATAATGGCTTATTATGACAAAAAGTGCATCATAGTGAATTAAGATATTTTAATTTTCAGTATACCGTGTGTTAGAACGCAACACCCTTCGTCCCTTGACCGTATTTATTTATTACAGTTATATAATAATATGATAAAAAATAAATGATTGTACAATATGGCCAAACATAACTATGTAAATTTCATAACAATGACGAGCTATGATGATAGTTATTTATAAGCCACGGTTATTGATATAATTGAAAATTTCCCTATACATCTCTGTAGAGATATATAAGAACATCATTATCACACATCTGTCCCAGTGAGTTTTCTTGTAGGGGATAGGAATATACATACACTTATGTCATTCAGATAAAAAAAAGTAGATGCAAAAAAGCCCAGCCTACTGGAGAAAAATCCGAAATCCATCAATCAACCCCTACAGCATAAACCCTATCATTATTGATTGTTAACCTCCATAATTCGTATTTTTTTCCGCGTATGTACGACACGATAAACGAAAATTTCGTCACTTACTTGATACCAATACGCGTCCGATCCGTTTTTCTCCGTCACTTGGGCCTCGACCCAATTTCTATTTGTCCGCAAATACTCATGCAGTGTTTTGCATACGTCTGTACGCCTGTCGCAAAAATGTCGAAACATATTGTACCAATACATGTGTATCGCGTCGGCCGTAATCCATCCTTCCAGCAAACCGGCTGCGTACGCTTGCATGGAATCGTCTTCTTTTCTGGACGTGAATATCTCTAAGTAATTCCATCTGAAACACAAAAAATTAAATAAAATAACGTCCGCATACTTATGAAAATAAAATAGGTGGTAATATGGTCAGATTAAGTGTTTCGGAATTTAAAATTCACCGTCAATCGGGTCTTCGAGGTTTTGAAAATCCAACCTCGAATCTATAAATTATATTAACAAAACGATCCATTTTGTTATTATTAAATATTGTTTTTATATTAATAATAATAATGTGTTATTTTGTGATGTTGCAGATAATTATTATAGATACTTATTAATTTCACTATAATATAAATATATAATTTTAGACCAATCTATTTGGTTCTCTCTTCTCCTATAAAATATTTCCACAGTCACTGGTAATGTTGAAAAAACAAAACGTTTGCCCCCCCCTGCCCCGTCATTAGTGACTGGGCACGCCTGTGTGTATTTGTGAGTATGTGCGCGTGTGCGTGTGCACGTATATGTTTTTAATATGTTCATTTCTGAAACGATTTATGAACCAGTAGCGTGTTGACAATGGTTTGAGCAACCACGGTTCCATCAAAATTTAAGCGGGTTTTAGACGGATAATATTCAGACAGGTATATTTTTCAATAATAGTGAAACATACCTAATACTCGAAAAATACAATCAACTATAATAAAGAGTTAAATGCACAAGAAAATTTGAATACGTCATATATTATAATAGCTGGGAATATAATAAGAAACTATAAGAAACTAAAAAACGCTTTGTTTCTCTGAAAATTCTGTTTTTAATAATTTTGATATGAATTGACGGACATGAATTCCTAAAAAGTTTTACCGGCAGAACTGGACATCTTCGACTTGAACTTCATTTAATCCGATCCGGCAAAACTCGTATTAAACGGTATCTTCATACATCCGTATTGATTTTATAGATATAAAAAGAAATCTGACGATTCTAATTATGCCAAATTAGTTTGGCCGTAAATGGCACCACTCATTATAACTTGTATTATACGTCATAATATTTGAATTACGGTTTAAAACATTTTTCTCAATAAAATTACTACGTCTTTAAAAATTAAATTACCGCTGGGTAAGTGTATTGTTTGCAATATCACCTGTTTGTGACATTGATATTTTACCGTGACTGTTTCTATGTGCATTACAACACACTCCAAGCACTACGAAAACTACAAATGTGGTGCACCTGCCACCTGCATTTGTTATATAGGTAACTAGGAATCCACTACCTACCTTTCTCGCAATAATTATTAATTATTAATCAAATTCATATACATGTGTTCACTGCGGAATGTCAGAAAAATAGCCACTGTTGATTTATGTTGCTTTATGTATACATACGACACATAGTTTTGCATCACAAATGCATAATATTCGGTTTATACGTGCATATTCATGCACGCTAGTAAACCATATAAGCATTGAATCTTCCAACTTGTTCTAGAAACAAAAAGGCCGGTGTTGTTTTCGTAATACGCTTCTTATTTAATATCTATGCATTTAAGCAACGATACTGTGATTTTATAAGTACTAATTAGATTAGATTCAGTCATTCAAAAAAAAAAAGATCGCTTTGCAAACGGAAAACTATTATACAATAGTAGGTGCGTTCACAAATTCGCAAACTAATTTTTTGTTTTTTGTTACTCAGTTTTATTAATTTTTATTGACGTACATTTGTACCTAAGTATTAAAAACTGTATCACACGACAGATTTAATTTAATAATTATTTTAATTAATTTTTCGGTATGAAATAGGAGCTTGTTAAATGATAAACGCATAAAGAGATCCAAGGAAAAAACTAAAACCCAAAAACCTTTCTCGAAAAGGTGTTACACTCTATAAATCGGAGCAAGATCTGTAGTAAAAAAGTTGCCGAAAAACAAAAAAAACACAGTAAAACCAATAGATCTTTCACTGCGCTCCAAATTTAATCCTACAGAATAATACAGATTGCTTAATTTGTAAATTACTGCGCGTATTTAAAAAAAAAAAAAATTAAAGGTACACGATCGTATACGTGCGTTTTTGTACCATTTTCACCGAGTACACGCCAAGTCACCGAATAGTAATTGGGTGTACACCGGCACGCCGTATACCCTCCAAAACGTCACTGAATTAGGCCGATACTACCGATGATCACAGGCGTGCGCAGACTTCAACTTCCGGTCGAGCCTGGATACGATTAGCGCCCCAATACGTTTGAACCATTTACTTTTAATTTAATTAACGGGTCCGCTTCTTTTACGGGCTTTACGTTTTCTGGTTTCACAACCACTCCGTTGACTGGACACGTTTGAAGTTCTTTGTTCAATACGGTTTACGCAACGCCCGGTGTACTAACGAGAATAATATTAATACATAATAATGTCGGATCACATTGTTGTTTCGCAGCAGTGTAACGCGCAAACACTACGACAGTGGATGAGCAAAGTAAACACGGTATACTGAACAGACAAGTGACAACAGTGGACGGTTCACACACCGGTTAGATTGTCGTGGGGACAGTTTACGGTGTTTCATCGAAAGCGACCAATTGTAAACGCGCGGGTTTTTCCGTGGAGCAGTGCGTATGCGTCCGCGAGCCCGCTGGCGCAGGTCCGCGTTCCGCTCGTCTCAAAACGATTTAGGCGCCCCGTATTATGTAATGTTATAACACGATAACCGACTATTGTAGCCGTAGTACCCACAGAATATTTTCGTTGACAAAAATTGACGTAATGATAGGCACACGCAAATATTTTAAATTATATTTGACAATCACGAGAAATAAAATTTCAATCATTTCCACGAACATGTTAAAATATATACACACAGACATTTCACTATGGTTAGTTGTAAATTTTACTATGCCCCCCCCCCCGAAAAAAGTTCCGGTCGAGCCGGTGCTCGCCCCGTGCGCACGCCTGTGCTGATATGATGAACGTGCCGCTGTTTCACGGTAGCGAGTTTGTGGGAAGGATGTATAGAGTGATTTATTTTATATCTGCGTGGAACGGTAAACCATTGTTAATGGAACGATTCTGAGCACAGTATTATTAGTCGTGTTCTTCCCTTGTTGCCTACCAAGGTAACCTAGAAATCAAACGAAAATTCTACCAAAAATTGTCAGTTTTCCCCATTTGTTATGAAAAAAATATGGAAAAACACGACCGAGGATAATACGGACTGGTGCAGCCATTGTTATTGATAATTTAATGTATACCTGTAAGCAACGACGAACCATTACTAACAAAAAAAAAAAAAAAAAAAAAAACGATTCTGAGCGGAGTTCAGTTGATAATGATGGTTTGTCAACAATTTACGTAATTTTATAGTAAAATAATTAAATAAGCTTTAGATATTTTCTTCAATAACATTTATTTAATGTTGTACTGATTTTCCCAGTTTTCCTATGTTTTTCCCGTTTTTCAAATTTGATGGGAAAACTCCTGAAAAAATTGAAAGATTACCTCTTTTTGGAATACCACCCTAATGAAATTTCCTTTTAGACACATTGCCATCATTATAAGTTGGAACGAAATTTTCGCATTTGATAATAAAACTTTTGATAAAATCGAAAACACCGATTTCCTTTCAGAAAAGTTGCTACACTTAAAAATCTGAGCAAGTCTTCTGGTAGAAAAGTCGCTAACAGATAAAAAAAAAAATAAATAAACATCTTTATAAAACTATAAGCTTCTTCGCTCCACTCAGAATCTAAAATCAAAAAATGACCAACTATCAATGCATCAACTCATAAAAGCTACAAGAATGTAGGCACCGACAAAGTTTTTGATTCGCACAAGATTTCGGGTAAAAAAGCTTACGGGCCTGTTTTCGTGTCCGTAAACGGGAAACCTCGAAGTCGACGGTCGGACTGAGCGGAGCAAGACGTGCGATGGAAATGATATTATAACACGACAAGAAAAAAAAAAAAAAAACCAATACGATTCTGTCGCCGCCGATTAAAAACAAAAAAAAAAAAAGTATCGCCATAACAGCGTTCGACTTGCCCCGTGGTGTTTGTGTCGCGGGTGTAAATCGCTTTGCCCACGAACCTGCCGCCATCCGTCGGTTGTATGGAAACATTGCCAAAGTCGTCAGCGATCGCGTACGCCAATACGTTATCCGCGCCAACATCGTTCTGATGACACGAGCAAAACCGCGTTATCACGGCCAGCGTTGTTAGAAACCCGATCGTCGCGGCGGCCATAACGTTCGACTACCTCTACCCAAGAACGTGTCAATGGCAAACACGGCGACGGGATCGGCAATCGGCAATCGGATTACAACGGAGAACTGAACGCGATCGCATTTGCAACGACATTCCCGGCCGTTTTTCGCAGTGTTCTTGTAGACAATACAATTGTATTATTAAGTCTATTACGCATTACGATTATTGTTGTCGGCCGGTCGGAGAAAAACGTCGATGTCCTTCTGTACGCAAACGTATTGGCGGCGTCACTGAACAATTTACACGGCGATTATTTTACCGTGCATTTATCAGCGATTATCCAGTTCTATTGCCGTGTCGACCAATTGACCGAGTACTTATCCCACCTCCCTCCTCCCGGTTATTCGATTTTTAAAACGCCATTACACGATTATTTTAATGTTTCTCAATCGCAAGAAAAACATTGATCGAGTGGACTCCGAACGTGTGCGTTCGTCGTCTCAAATTATCTGACGTGCCGTGCGACGAAAATATTTGTATTTCCAACAACACTCAGACCTCGGCGGTTGTATAGTCTTTGGTATCGGTGCCAAAATAAAACACTACACGTTGTGTTGCTATGTCCGTACCGCGGTTTTTCCCAAACCGAAATCAAGTTTATAGTTTATACCGTCAACAAAGCCTAGGTACTATTGGAAATAAGCGGATAGAAAATTCTAATCCGATGTCCTCTTAATAAAGAGTTATAGGTCACAATTCAATTTTCAACCTACAGGCTAAATGTGAGTTTAAATACATCGTTATGGAACTTATCAGATTGTTGTCATAAATTATTATGATTAGAAAATGTATTATTAAAAACTGTTTACTTGCCCGTGTTAGAGATTATCGTGTATATGTATTATAAATATTGTCTGCCTAAAAATTGTTAAGCCACATACATAATATAAGTATATATTTGTAGACATCGAAAAGTGTACTGCTTTCTAAGAAACGCATATTTGTATAGATCATTATTAGTCAGGAGGAAGGTATCTCTATTTATTTCTAAGTCAAGTATTGCCCATTGTTATTATAATTCCTGCGCAGTGCAACAATACATTAACTTATTGTTTATATTTCATTGTATGTACATCATCAGAATTGAATTTTATATTTATGAAACTGTTAGACTAAAAAATGCTTTCCCGGTGTATTAATAATGATAAAAACAAATTATTTCATTTACATCAATATTATTATTTTATTTGTTTACTATCAAAAATTTTACTCCACTCAATATTGTTATTATATTTTGTTTTGTTTAGTAGATACATACATATAATTTAGCATTTATCAAAAATTTAAATAAATACAATTGTTATAATTTATTTTTCATTTAAAATTATATTACTTTATAGTTAAACAACTATTTTTTAGTGCAATATTGGACTATGCATTTTGTGCTATACATTATAGCTATGTGATAATGATAATCACCATAAATAGGTGCAGATGTTAGTGGATTTAAAATAATAATAAACATTTGTAGCCTCTTAACCCAAATCTTTCTGATAAATTAAGCATGTAGTATAATGCATATTATACTGTATGCCATCGTTGTATTAAAAAATAATGAAATAATAGTTTATCTGTATAACCTTTGGCGATTAATTAAATAAAACCTGCGCAAAATGGATAACAAATAAACTTTATAATATTATAATAAATAATCTTTTACACACAATATGGTCATAAAAGTAAAACACACAAAAATCGCAAATGAATAAAAATACAGTATAGGCATTATATAACATTTTCCAACAGTTATGAAACAAATTATAAAGTTATGAGTGGTTCTTGATTGTTTAGTTCTTGCTTTATCAAACCGAATCTCCATTCATTCCTGTCTCTAAGTATTGGTCTACCGAGTTGGTTGTGCAACTCTTTGAATGATTTACGGAATGATACAATATCTTTCCGCTGAGGAGACTGATGTCCTGTAGTTGGTTTATTAAAGGGATTGTGACGACCTCTAGGTGGAGGCTGTGGTGATAATTGTTCATTCGATTCTTTTTTTAATGACGTTTGATTGTTTGGTAATTGGAGAGATACCATGGGCGATTCTATACAAATATAAAATAAAACAATTTTACAAACATTTTGAAAAATAATAATCGAATATTGTAATACCACGGTCGTGGTTCATTGTATATATACCTTCTAATTCTTTTAGTTGTCTTTGTAAATCAGCGACCATAAATTTCATGTAATCGTAACTTGCACATGCTAACGATTTCATCCACTGTTCCATTGATTCCTGGCTATCGGATCCCAATGTATAACTCCTATTGTTGGGGCCATGGAATATAATTTTAAAACTGAACTGATCATCATTTTCGGCCAACTCTAAATCAATAGTGATATTTCAATGTTTACAACGTACCTAATTTAGAAAAATATTGAACTGTTAAATAAGTACATACCAATACTGCATCCTTCAAGTATGACTACGCCGAGTGGCTCCTTATCACCTTTCCGCTCGAAATAAAACAACAAGTTACCTTTCAGGACGAACCATCTCTTCTGGTACCCCTTGTTGAGTTCTCCTCGTTTGCAAAGCCATCCTTCTTTATCGATCGGTGAAGCCGAAGTCGAATATGCGGATAAACTCTTTTCGTTAATCTTCATCGAGATTTTTGAACTCTGATTAAAATGTAATTCTTATGAACATTTTGTAAAATAAACACAACAATAATTCTAACGATTGAACAAATAATATTATTATTCTAGACACTATTTAAACAGTTTTCCATTCTCATATCTTATCATATTATACAATACTATCTGATTATCACATAAATATTTTTTTAAAAATGATCTCTTCATATGTCTCATGGAGGAAACTATTTTGAAATATTGAAACAACAAATTTTCGGGATTTAATATTTTTTTCCACGAAATACATCTTCAAACGTAAAATTAATGGATTTTGAAACAAATGCTGTTTTTTTTTTTTAATGTAAATGTTCATCAGTGTAATTGAATAATGTTACAAGTTGAACAAATTTTCATCAGAATATTCGAATATTAAAATATTTCTGAACAATTGAACAATATTTAATGATCACTTACTTAACTAAATTATGCTATTATAATATTTAAATATAATCTTTTATTGCAAGAAACAATGGTTTCAACGGACTTTTATTCAATAAAATATTTCTTCTAGTGGATTTTAGTTTTCAATACTTACACTAAATTTTTGATCGGCTAGCAGTTAACACCATTATATAGGCAATAAATATGTAAAAATGCATGATATGCAGTCGTTCCGGAGGCGTTTATCAATAAATTCTAAGTAGAAACGTGTGTGGTGCTTTCAGTAGCGCTAACCGGAATTGCCGAGTTTTAAACTCGATGAAAAAATAATTATACAAGAATATTATAACTAGACAAAATAAGTTTTCTCCAATGGATAGCCGAAGACGTGGGCTTTAAGAAAGTATAAGTGATGGATAAGCGCTTCTCAGCTCGGAAAATCGCATAGGAGCTCAAAAAGAAATAATATAGTCTCATTAAAAAATTGTATACCCCAAATTTTACTGAATTGTTATTACTCATTTTCAGAATACACAAGAAAATACCATTTTTTGAAAATAATTCATATTATTCATAAATTTCATAGTTTTATGTATCTTACCTACCTAGCTTCTCACATACAACTATGGCACACCCATGCCCAGTGTCAGCTTTTTTTTTTTCTAATTAACTTAACTTAGTAAATAATAATTGAAGTTAATGATATTTGTCAACTTAATTTTGAATTCAACTGAAATAAAAAACTTAACCTACTTAAAAAATCATGAAGTTACCCGGACTTGCAGATGGATATACCTGCACTGTTGTAAGAAAATGTTTGAAAAGTAGAATATTATATTACAAAGTAATTGAATAAAATAGGTGCCTATTTATATTTATATGAAACAATAAATTATTACTAACGAAACACGATTCGGAGTAAAATTCAGTTAGGTTAGGAAATTTCTAACCGAATTATAACAATCAAACAAAATAAAAAATATTAGAAATCTTTAATACTTAAATTCCCCTTTTTTGATAACCTTTTTTCTCATTTTTCCCAGTCATTAAGAAAACTACAAAGAAAATCGAAAAAATGACCTCAACACACAGAAAAAACAAAATTTGCTACTATAAACAGCCCGAAAAGTTGATAACCGGAGCAAGATTTCTCGTAGAAAAAATGTTCACGGATAGCAAAAAAAAACCACACATAGTAGTAAAACTAATACATTCCTCAGTACGCTTTGGATCTATAAAAAAACAATTATTGTAATGTACTTACCTTCAATATCACTTTTAATCCCATTGACAATATATGCAGGTAGGTAATAATAATTTTCTATGGCTTTATTCAAAAATGTATCACAAATCACGATATTAATATTTTCGAAATTGGATAGATTTACGATTTCTTGGTTACGTATTTTAACGACAATATGTATTAGGTACTGGTATATTACAGTATTACGCTAATGAGGGAAAACAAGCGTGACGATAAATTCGTGTGACGAATAACGTTTAAACATGCACAAAAAAACAAATCAATTCTACGTTTCTAAAATATAAAGATATTTTTTTTTTTTTTTAAATCTTTGTTCCAAACGATTCAATGGATAGGTGAGTATTGAATATTGATTTTGTCAAGAGTTTTGAAATTTACGTTAATTAATGGACTATGTTAAAGTTAATAATAAGCCTAATAATAATACAGGATACTGAATAGTGTACATGTAATAAAATATTGTCAAAATTATTGAAAATCGTACGAGAATTTCGTGATTATAGTATGCGGTTTGTGTAATATTCCTATAATACAGTATAGGCAGTATATAATGCGCGGGTTAAGAGTAAAAAATAATAAACAACGTAGAAATTAAAAATATTTAAAAAAAAAAAACACTGACTATTCTAAAAAAATCTCCGAAGCCAAACGTTATAAATAGTAAAACGCTTACGGACCCCGGCATCGTTACACAAAAATATATTATACTAGTCACTATACTATTACACTAGTTATGACGAGCAAATCGCAATAAAAAGTTCAAAACCTTCATCACGGACACAAACGAAACGAATGACTTGAGAGTAAATAAAGATCGTGGCAGTAATTTTTACAAGAGTGGGTGACGTAAGATTTAGATAAAACTGTACATATGTTTATAAAATAGTGAGCCCTCATGACATGTTTAAAACCTAGCGCCTCTGTATTTTTTTTTTTAAATTATAATCATCATCATAAATTAACAATATAGATACATTAACTTATATACTATTTTATGATTATCAATCTCTTTTAAGTTAAGCTTGTGTTAGGGATTGAGAGTATACCTTTTATAAAAAAGATCTAATAATAATTTAATAAATTATGTACATTAAAAAAATATTAATATATAATGGATACACAACAAATAGATAAGTAATAAAAACAAACAAGTTGTTAACTATACACTATACAATTTCTTGAATTTTTACTTAACATACAATAATAATGAAGTTATAACTAAAAAATAAAATTTAAAAATTTAGACTAATTCTAAAAATAACCAGTTATAAATAATTTTTTTAACATTTCAATGATGTGTGTGAATTTTTTTTTCGCCTCATGAGGCATTAAATTAAAATATGTAGGCCCCAAATAGTCAATAAATGATTGACCAAAGGTTTTTTTTTAATATTTAACAGGAATATTGTAGACTCTGTTTTCTCTTTTGTTTTCATAAAAAGGGTTACTGTTTTTTTTTTATTAGACGTTTTCAAAATAAACTTAATTACAATTTTTTTATAAAGTGATCGAATTGGTAATACGCCCAAATCTAAGTAATTTTTTCTACTCGATCCTTCCATGGTACTTTTATTTTAACAAATTCGTACTATATTATTTTGATAAACTTTCAACTGTCTTAAAACCCCACCCCCCCAGACCACCCCATACTAATAGACCATATTGATAGATTGATTGATACAGTGCAAAATATATCATACATATAGTTTTTTTTGGTATCAAGTTTTTGAGTTTATTAAATTTATATGTTATTGCACGTTGTTTCCCTACAATATTATGTGAATGAAGATGCCATCTTAAGTTATTATTAAAAATAAACCCTGAGTACCTTATTCTTGAGACTTCTTTAATACGTTTGCAAGTATGTACGTTACATATTTTACTATTAGTGCAGGTATGTATAGTTATTCGATTAATATTTGGGAAAGTTTTATGTATGGAAAAGGACGTGAACATAGTTTTATCATCATTTAATATTAGATTTTTGTCACTGAGACATTTATGAACTTCGTTCATACCAATCGTGGCTTTAGAATGAACTTCTTTCCACGATTTTTCCGTGAAAAGTAGACACGTATCATCATCGTATGAGACCACCCGACTATCCAAATTTAAATCACATACCGAGTTTATGTATAAATGAACAAAATAGGACCCAGAACACTGACTTGAAGAACACCATATTTGATAAAGTTATCTTAAAGTATAACATTATTTATTTTGACTCTTTGTTTTCTATCTATTAGATAACTACGAAACCAATTTAGACTACGGTCATTAATTCCAAAACTAGGTAGTATTCGTAGTAGAGTTTTACGATTAACTGTATTAAAGGCTTTAGCTAGATCCAAAAAAATAGCTATTACTTTGCTTCCATTATCTAGTTCATTATATATAAAATGTGTCGTACTATAAAGGGCGTCATCAGTACTTAAGCCATGTCCAAAGCCAAATTGATTTTTGGATATCAGTTGATTTTCTTCCAAAAAAGTAATTAACCTAGATTTAATTATTTTAACTCGTAAGTAAGGATATTGGCCTATAATTGTTCATATTTTTACAATTCCCACCTTTTAAAAGAGGCTTAACCACCGTAATCTTAAAATAATCAGGAAAAATACTTTATTATATACTTAAGTTATAAATGTAAGCAAGTGGATTAAATATCAAATCAATAATAAGTTTTAATATTCTAATTGTTACTCTATCAAAACCAGCCGCAGTGTCATCTTTAAAGTTATCCACAATTTTTAGAATATCTGAGTTTTCAATCTTTTTAATAAATAAATTGTCGAATGAGAAATTATTATTAACATAAGAGAATTCTTTGTTCAATACATTACCGGAGTTCTCAGCTAGTTGCTTTCCTATGTTAATAAAAAATTCATTAATAATATGATACTATTTCCGGCTCCATATTAGCATTATATACCTTGTCATTACTTATTATAGTTTCAAATGTATCCTTGCATTTAGTTTTAGATCCCGTTACTTCATTTATAAGTTGCCACGTTAGTTTTGGGTTATAAGAGACGCTTTTAAATTTCTTTTCATAGAAATTTTTTTTTGATAATCTTAAAATACTGGTGTAATTATTCTTATATTTTTTATAGTGTAGTGCCAATTTTAAATTATTTGGATTTTGTTTACATATTAATGAAAGAGCTTGCTTATGTCATGTGGAACGTAATAAGCCAGCTGACATCCATTCTTTTAAACGCTTGTTTTTGGAAGTTAATACTTTATAAGAAGTAGATTTCTCAGTTACATTATATATAATTTTTTGAAATGCATCACAACACTCATTAACACTGATTTCGTGACCGCTTATATTTCAAACCGCTTTTCTTTACACAAAATCCTATTAATTTTGTCATGATCAATTACTGGAAAAATATTTTCTTTAGTTTTGTAAACATTATTAATAGGTATAGAACAACAGATTGAAAAATGGTCAGTGATATCAGTCTGCAGCACACCAGCATTTACTGTACTAATTAGGTGGTCATTACTTTTAATAAAAATATGGTCAATACAAGAGTGATTGCGACCTATGGGCAATCTAGTGTAATGTTAATAAAAGAAGCAATATCAGTTTCTGATAATAAATCTCGATATTTATTATTATTTGAATTATTGTCTAATATGTTAATATTCATATCCCCGATTGAGTATTGTATAACCTTTGTATTTATATTCATCTAGATTTTTTCTTAATATACTTATAAAGTTGCTTATATCAGTCGAGGGTGATCTATGAACACATAAAATATTAATTGGTCTACAGAGGTTTATCAAAGAAAGTTTCACTAAATTAGTTTCAACAAAATCATATTCATAAAATTCAATATTAAAAAAATCCTTAACAAAAATAAAAATTCCATCATTTTGATTCTTATTTATGGACGAATAAAATAAATTATAACCATCAACATTGTAATTACAATGAATAGATGCACCATGCCAGGTTTCAGTTATCACAATCATATATATTTTTTTACAATCTATCTCATTTTCTAAGAATAAAATCAATTCATCAAAATTTGAGTTAACACTTCTGATGTTACAACATAAAATATTTACATAATTGTTATTTAGATTATATTTCATATTAAAAAATTCTGAGAAAGATTTTAAATAATTAGTCTTATAGCTAAGATAACCTCTTATATTAAGATTGTTTTCCATATGAATTAAGGATTATAATACATTTAAAAGTATCTAATAAAAAAACGGTGGTAAGTTAAGTAAGTTTAGATAAAGCAAGCTCGTTATCAATTATAATGGCTTTGGTGCTTTCATTTTTTTTTTATGAACAACTTAGAGTCCCTAAAACCAAATATATTTATAGCCCACTTCACGAGCCAAAACTCTTGCTTTAAAGAATAGATTTCTATTAAATTAAGTTAAACTGTCATTCATATAAATCTTGTTATCACTCCAATTAGTCTAACAGATTTACCTGTTAATTTTCGTTTCCTTACAATGTCCATCGTAGATTTTTTGCTCTGGTATATCTGTACTTCTGTCATTATTTTCTTGGATTTATTTTAAATTTTCGAAAAAATACGAAAACCTTTTAGTATATTTACTTTCAACCCTACAGACTCAGCGATTGACACCGTTGTTTTTACGCAGTCTTCAGTATTTACCTCCGGAACACCTACAATTTCAACGAAATTTTCTATTGCTTTTTGTTCCAACACATTTAAACGTTTATCTAGAGTTGTAACTTCATATTTTAATTTATTATTTTGTTCTTTTAATACTTGATTTTTTTCCTTGATGTCTTAAATAACTGTTACCATTTCTTGCAATTTTTTTCAAAGCTATCAAATTTATTGCTAATAAAATTGACTGATTCTATTAAGCTTTTAATATCCTCATTATTAGTAGGTTCGATATTTTTCGTAACTGTATCATTCTTAGTATTCTGTGTTCTTGAATTAGGTTCACGAAATTTGCAGTTATTACAACACCAATTTAGTCTGGCATTATTTGACTTTTTACGAAAAGAAGCCTCCTTTAACCCAGTACACGCAAAATGCAAAAATCCACTTCACGTTGAACATTTAATATCATCACTAACAAAAATATCATCGTTACAGATTTTACACAACATTTTCTCTTTAAAATTATTAAAATGAAATGAGATAGATATAAATATAAGGTATATATAGGTAAACGAAAGTATACAATTAATATTAATACGGTAACACGTAAAGTGTTACCGAAAACTCCTCTCGAAAATGAATTCAAATTGTGCCACAGAATCACCCACCTGTGACCAAAAAAACAGAATAAACCTGTGCCTGTGACCTTGATATATTATGCTTGTGACAATAACCGGTATTTTGATAAGAATAATATTCAAAACACGACAACTGATAACAAGACTTCACTACAATTACCAAGAAATTAACTATTTTTTTTTTTTAAATTTACTTTAAATTTTTAAGTTAACAAATTATTGTTAACTCAGGTGTATTCAGTATTGACTTCTATCACTTGTATTGGATTTTTGTAACTTGTAATAATTTACACAGTCACTAAAAATGTCTTCTCGTACATTTGAATGGAACTGGTCAGTATTATAATTTGTTATGTAATTACCTATACAAAATCATAAATATTGTTTGTATCCTTAATTCAAATAAAATATAAGTAGCTATATTCACAATCTTTGACACTGGTTTTACAATTTATAAATGATTATGCTGCAAATATTGATTATCCTGTATTCCTGCTTTAGCAATCATTTTAAATTATTAATTTCGATTAGATAACTAAATAATAATGATTCAATAATATTTTACTTATATAAATTCGGTACTTTATTTTTATTTCTATCAAATCTCTATTGTATTATTATATTCAATAACATTAGACTAAAAATATGATTGAATCATATTAGATACCTATATAATTTATATGTAATAAAAAAAAAAACCTACTTATTATCTTACAAACTAAACCAATACAACGAAAATTATATTTTTTTTTTTAATCATCAAAAAGATTGTTATAAAACATACAAGTAATAATTAATTTGGACTTTGGATAATAGGTATATAAGATTTTATCCACAGATAAAAGAGTTACATATCCTTATATAATATGCAGTATTATTATCTAAGTAAATATCTGTGGTTTTTTTAAATTAAATAATATTGATTTTTCCTCAAAATCCGGAACATATTAGTGTACCAACATTTATTTTTGAGAGACCGGTATAACAAGTCAAAAATCAGGGACAGCCCTAGTTTTTCTAGACATATGGCAATCCTAGGTTATTATCAAAAATATATCAAACTTTAATTTTAATTTATTTTTAATTTAACAGGTGTAGTAAGCCAATAATGAACTACAATAAACGTAAAAAAGCTTGTATATTGGAAAAATGTGGTCACAATCATCCACTGAAATCGTTAACTTCTACTATGGTATGTAATAGGTAGCTATATAATTTTTCCTAAAAATGTATTCAAATAAAAAACTCAAGTTTTGTAAGTTATTATAAGATAACAAAATATTAGTAATTTTGCATAAACTATGATTATTGTGGTGGTTAAACATGAACACAAATTGATCGGCTTACTGTTTTAGACGTTTAAAAGACATTTAGAGTTTCTGGTTTAATATTATTTTTGTATTTTAAACGTGTGAAATACTTAGTCTACATTTCATAGTTTACATAATCCCAAACATCGTCTATGGTGATTAATGGTGCCGACAAACCCAAATGTCACTTTTAGAAATAAGTATTGCATAATATGTAAATTACATATAAATTGAAGTTTAACATTAGAATAGTATGTGATTAGTTCTATATGGTTTTTGGTGTAAAATAAGCATAATTTTATAATTTAATTTTACTTTTGCACTTTTTTTTTATCACTTCATTTCTCCATATATCTTCTTTTTCTATTTTTATTGCAATCTCATTTTTTTATTTAAAATTTATATTTTATTTTGTTAATTCTGTAGAATTTATTCATAATTAACTTTATTTATTGTATTATATTAAATTTTATTTTTCAGGTAGCCAATAAAAACTTTAATGATCCTCTAACGTGTAATATTACTCATGGAGATGATCCTCTTAGTCGACCTGCTCAATTAATCCCAACTGATTTTGATGAAATAGATTATAATTATTATGACAATATTCCATCTTGGTCTCATTGTAAACAAAATATATTGAACAGTTACACAACATCTGAAAAGCTATCATTCCACTCGTGTAAGTATGAATTCAATATAATAACGACAATGTGTTGAGGAATTAAATTAGTGTTTTATTATTATTATTATTTTAGTTTCAAAAACTATACAAAGCGCTACTATTCGATCACGTTTAGAAGAATTGGAAGAATTCGATGATCAAATGGAATATTCAGAAAAAGAACTTTACGATTTAACACAGCAAGAGTTTGTGTCGCATATGGATTACTTGGGTAAAGAAATTTTAGAAGCATGGAACAATGAACAAAGAGTGAAAGCGTTGAAAATAGTTATACAGGTTTTATTGATTATAGGTGTTATGCGTTACTAACTTATCTGTAAAATTCCATATATTTTTTTCAGTGTACTAAAATTCTGAGCTTCACTTTGCCATTACAATTTTATCCAAGTAAATTTGTTTTAGTAACAGATCTTTTAGATTTGTTTGGGGACCTAGTATTCAAGAGGCTAAAATCTAAATCAGAAATAATCGAGTAAGATTAAAAATGAATACATTTATGCATTATAATATTAAGTATATGTATGTATTTTAAAATTAATCAATTACAATTATTATGATTAAGAGGCCAGGTGTTAAAGCTTCCAGATCAATTTACTCCAAATATAGTGCCAGAGACAGCAAAAGAAACATGTCGAAATTGGTTTTTTAAAATTGCATCGATTCGTGAATTGATACCACGGTTATACATTGAAGCCGCCATTTTACGCAGTTACTGTTTCATCAACCCAGAGTTAGTATGTTAAGTAAATAATACTAAACTTTTATTAATAATTTTTTTTTTTTTTTATTAATCCACCTGAAAGCTTTTATTATAACAATCAAAGATCTTTAACAATGCATTTCAATGGTGTACATAAATACACATATTAATAATTATATATAATTTTTTTAGAGAACAAAATAATGCTTTGTTAAGATTAATAAAAATGGTTCGAGGTATAGGCAATCCATTAGTGGCATGGTATGCACGTTGTTATTTGTGCAGAATTGGAGTTTCTATAAATTTAAATGTAAATTATTTTGAAGCAAGTTTCAAAGATATTTTATTGACGTATAGACAGGTAAACTATCAAAAATATAAAAAGCAAAGCAGTGTTAATAACAATTATGGTTCCTTATTTCTCAAAGTTAAACAGTAAATATGTTTGCAAAGAAATTCAATCTCAAAATATGAGTATGGACAAATTTCTTCAATTGTTATGCCCAACTTTAGAATGGATAGTAAAGGGATTGAGTGCTGGTAAAGATACGCATATGCTCGATGAGATTGTCAGGTGGTGTACATTACAGAACCAACAGTAAGTAATATTAGCTTGTTTATGTAATTTTACCATACTAGTGAAAATTATTATTATTATATTAATAATAGAAATTATTTTCAGTGGGCTTCTGATCAACACTGTAGTGAGTACGTTTCCTGGAAATTATCTTGCGATGAAAGCTGAATATCTTATTAATTTGGTAGCCAAATGGGAATATGATGGTTTGTATTTAAATAAGTATAATTTAGTTTTAAAATCCAATTTTGAAACATGATTTTATTAATTATTAGCAATTTTTAAATTAATTTTTTTTTTCTTAGAAATTAAATTAATAATACATCAAATAACTGTACCAAATGTTGCATACATTCATGGTTAATAAAATAATATTTGAATTACTTATTATATTAATTAATATAAATGGTTGTTGTTTGTTTTGTTTTAATTAAATTATATAGTATTTTAATTTGGATAATGTAATAGTTATTTTTAAATTGTTCTGTTTGAGTTTCACTTAGATTTTGGCAAACAAACATAACGTGTTACTAATCTCATTAGGTTACACAGTTCTATGTTCATTGTTTAAACTTGAGTTTAGTTTAATTTTGTATGAAAATAAATAATCTAAGGTTTACTTATTTTACTTAGGGTTTTAAACTTAATCATAATATGGTGGATATTTCATTTATACTAAAAAATAGTTTTTTTTTTCCGAACAGTTTTTCCACAAACCTTAGTTATACAAAATCTTGGAACAAGCCTAAGAGGTCATATGGTACCAAATGCACAAAATGTATTAAGAGAAGCCTGGAAAATTGTGACAAAAGTTAAAGACTCTGAAAAATATATGGCATGTGCTGAGGCTTGGATATACTTCATTGTTAAGCATTTCAAGGTAAATAAATTCCCAAGCGTTTTCCTTATACCAACTCAATTTATATCTATTGTGAAGTTTAAAACCAAAGATCGCATTAATCAATTTGAATACCAATTTGAAAAAAACAATATTTTTCATAAAATAAACTTAAATGTATTAATTTTAGGTAAAATATGATAAATAAATTATATCATATTGCTTCTTTTTTTTTTTTATTAAATCTAATATTCTATTATTTTTATTACATAAGTAATTATAAAATGTATTTTTGAAAATCATTAAATACATTTTCAAGTTATATTTTAATAAACTTTTAAATGTTTTGAAAAAAATCTTTGTGCATTTTGATATTATAAGGCCCATTATCACCAACCTAAATGTTAATTTTTAAATGGAGTTTATAAGATAATCAACCACTTGTGGTCGGTTATCAGCCATAAACACAGTTTAAGAATCAGATAAACGCTTTTTTTTACATTAGTGAAAATGACCCTTAAACTACCAGTCCAAATTATACTAAAGTTAACTTGTACTTTTACCTACCAGCAGTTTAATTATTTATAAAAATAAATAAATGCATATTATGCATATACATTATAATCTTGCAACAACTGAGCTATTAAATTTCTAGTGTTACTGAGTATTTAGACTAATTTTCTATATTTTTATTTAACAGATAGTTTTTTGTTGATTGTATGAAAACTAGGTACTGTTAATATATTGTTTAACCCTCCATTGGTCGCTCTAAAGATATCGCTTGATTAGACACACAGTATTTATGATATGTAACTATGGAAAATAACTTCTCTATTACAAATTATAAAATATTTATGTTAGATATTTATACATCAAAATTATTTGTATATGTAAATTAGGTATTATGAATTACAAAACAAAACTACAATGTAAACCTATTTATTGATCATAATTACAAAGCTACCGGTCTTAGACAGTTAAGCAACCAACAGAGGGTTAAACTGAGTACTTATTATACTTTAAATTTAAATTATTGTTTTATTATTTTTTAATTTATGTATCACAAAATGTGTACCATCCCAATACTTTGCTTTTTCTACTGTACATTTACAATAGTTGTATTGCTATTAGAATAAAGAAATCAGTGTCTTCATAAATGATATAACAAGGCACTTGAGTAATCGTGTGGGAATAGAAAGATTTCACTCTCAACTTCACAACATCTTACAACACCTGCTAAATTACATAGAAGATTTTGAGAACACATTTCACATGGTAATTTTCCTAGTAGCTGTAAATTTGAATAAAATACTGATAAAAAATTTGGCACAGAATTATTTATTACCATACTTGGATATGTTTGGATCAGACACAAATAAAGCAGCTAGTTGTAAGATTGTGTTGGAAGCATACAGAACACGAGGCGAGAATGTCATATTAAGTGACCCTGTAATCAACGACTGTTTTATGTACATGTGCAAGATCTTACATGATTCTGTAGAGTATGTGATATTTTTAATTTATCCAATAAAGGAAATATAATTTAAATTATTATAATTTTGTTTATTTAGTTCGTTGACTGTAGATGATGAAGTACGTCAGATTGGCCGTTTGATAGCCTGTTTTATTTTCCGCGTTGATTATGGCAATGATTTGGAGAAATATTTGGATTTCTATATGGAAGCCCGAGGAACATTTATTAGATTAGATTATGTGCAGTCTGCATTAGTACAAGTAAGATTGTATTACATTACATTCATGTTACAGTTAAATACTTATTTAATTTAACAAATAATTATAACAATTAATCATTTTTATTTCTATCAGCCCATTGACGAGTTATTCTACTTTTAAGTTTGAATAGGGGAAAGTAGTAGAGCATTATTTAAACTCTGCATGACATATTGCCATACAAATGATGATCCACTACTTTTTCTACCCAAACATAAAACTAAAATATCTCATAAATTTCAACACCAAAATGTATTCAAACTATAATTCATCTATTTATGGAATTTTTAATATAATGAAAACATTTGTATGTAAATTTATATTTTATGATATAAACCCCCCCCCCATACATGGTCAGTCATGAATGACATTCAACGTGATTGACAGTTATGACTGATCGTGTATGTATGTGAATGATAATGACTAACAATCAAATTTCATGACTGATAGAATTTAAACATGTTTGAATTTTTATCATCACTCAAGATGATTGACCTTCATAACTGACCATGTATGTCTATGAATGTACAATTTATCAGCCAACCAAGTCGAATTGTGTGGAGCGGTCGTGTATTTTTGTTTTTTGTAAATTTTATATCTTCGTCCAAAAATGGCAAATAAATTAAATAAAGAAGAATTTTGGAGTTAATTTATACGTTTATATAGTAGTTTACCTGCTACGTGGAAAATTAAAAGTGATTTGTACAAAAGTAAAATTTTGAAACAAAAATGCTATGTACAATTAACTAATAAATTAAAAGAAATTGATTCAACAGCTGACATAAATACAACTAAAAAAAAATCAATATATTGAGTTAAAAAAAAATTCTGTAGTCAGAAGGAGAAGATAGTTGAAGTTAATCTAGAAGATTATGATGAGAAAACGTGTTTCTTTTTTTGAACCATTCTTTCATCTAAAATCTTTTTTTCTCTTGGTTTTTTTAATTTTATCACGCACAAGGTATATAGCAATACCAATAATACCTTCTTCATTCATTTTAATGCAAAATTTAACATATATAAAAATATTTTTTTTCAATAAATTGAAATTGAATGACAATAACACGATACGCCACACTTTCAACAGTAATCAAATGACTGAATATTGTCAGTCTTGATTGACCATATATGGTAATTATCAATTGTCAATCATGTTGATTGTCATTCATGACTAACCGTGTATGGGGGCTTAACAGGTAAAAAACTATAAACCGAACTATTCTCCTAATATTTCACTTCAAAATTCTTTATACTAATTTTACAGAGAACCACTACTTTACTATAAAAAATCAGGAATTATTTATTTTATAAAATATTTTGTACTATATTAATGTCATATATAAAAAATGTAAGAGACTCAAAAATAGATGAAAATGTACCACTTTTTATTAAACTTTATCCCATTTGAGGCGTGAGAATGGGTTAACTTATGATACTTACACATAACTAATATTATTTTTTCATTACGTCAAATAAAATTTTAAACTAGTTGGTAAAAAATGTATAAGAAAAAAATTGACCTCTATAGCTAATAATCACATACCTTTTTAAATTTTTTCAAGTGTGTCAACAAGCTGATGACATTGTACTCGTCCAAGTCACAGTCGCCTGTGAAAAACTCTTTTGCGCATGCTTGTTCTGCTTACTGTTACATTACCATTCCATCTATCAGTTCGCCACTCGACAAACTACGATTGTACATTCTAACTGGACAAACTTCGCTGTTGAATGGATGTCTTGGACAGGGTATGTTGAATACCATTACTTAACAATCACCCTCTCCCACCTATTATAATTATAGTGTGATTCTCAATATTTATAAACCATTGTACAATAGATTAAGTTCAATTTATCTAAATCTAAAATATTTTTTCTTAAATAATGAATATTTTTGAGTTGAAATAATATCAATAATATAATTTCTATAGGTGACTGCAAGTCTTAGATTCTCAGTGGAGCGAAAAAAGCTTATGGTTTTACAAAGATGTTTATTTTTTTTTTCTGTGGACAACTTTTCTAACAGAGATCTTGCAACAATTTTTAATTGTAGCACCATATCTGAAAGGAAATCAGACCGAAGAGATACTTTTTTTAAAGGAATTTTTTTTTTACTTTTCTCAGGAGTTTTCTCATCAATTATGAAAAACCGAAAAAAAAAATGGGAAAATCTACGAAGTTTAAATACCAAGTAAAATATTTCTATTTTTTTTTCTGTAGACAATTTTTCTACCAGCAATTTTGCAATGATTTACAAGGATAGCACTTTTTCTGGAAGGACATTTAACTGGGAAGGTACTTTAAGGAGATAATTTTTCAATTTTCTCAGCAAATGTGATAGCAAGGGAAAATGAGAAAATCGGATCAATATTAAACAAATATTATATAATGCCTATTAAATAATGTTACTATAATATGACATATATATATTGTTGGTAAAGCATCACTATCAACTGAACTCCGTTCGGAATAGTTAACAAATTATAATTTATTTATTAAAAAAAAAAAAACTTTTGTTTTTTGTAATTTAATTAAAAATAACCGTAAGGTTGGAATTCTCATAGAATTATATATGTTACCCTTTTCTATACGTGATAACACTTGTTATGTTGGCGATTTTTGAGCTATTCTATAGTTTTTATTTGGTGGATATTTATGTGAATAAAACTGTTTGTCCAAACAATGTGGTAATATTTTTACATCAGAGTTTTGATTTCAAATTTTTATGATAATTAAAGCATTTCAAAACAGTTATAACCAAACTCAGAATCTTTTTTTGTTAGCAAAGGTTTATCTTTGCTTATACATGTAAATTAAATAGCTTTATGTATCCTACCTTAACAAATTTCTACTTACTAAATCACACCGATCCCTAGTTATTATTTTTTTTTTTCTAAAAGTGAAGTACTAATCTTTTGCCTATTGTATTGACCAACTTAGTTATCTGAAAACGCTTTGAATTTGTTATTAAGCCTACTTTTCTACCTTTATGAAATTGAACCCTTAAGAAACTATTCAAAATTCTATTTGTTTAAGAATTTTAAAAAAAAGTGGTAAATTTGTCTTCAAGTAAATTTCATAGTGAATTCATGTCTGATTACTAAGGTATTCGGTATGATTGGCATAATTTAGCTCTATTTTGATAAAAAAAACACTGATCTCGAATCGCCCTAAATTAAAGAAAGTTTAATAATACTTTTATTGACATTATTTTTGATACTCACAAAAAAAATGATGCTATATCAATATTTACCGAATGTCATTTATAATTTCAGCGGATGCGTGCTTCAAGGCAGCGTCGGTTGCCATCAAAGACTTTCCGGCCACATTAGAAATTGACGGTTGCGAAATTAATACTGAACCCATACTTGTGTCGTATGTCAAGCAAATGCTATCTATTCTGCTTGTTGTGCCAGTACAGTGACATTTATAAATTAAATTTCTCTTTTATAATCTCTATTATATGTTGAGCTTAAAAAAAATATTGTTTGCAGCTAATTGCAAATATAATATAAATCCATATTTAACTGAAATTATTATTAATGTTGTATTATCAATACCTACTTAAATTAAAAACATCATAAGAAAAACTACAATTAAAAATTGACTAACCAAAATTAGCAGCACAAATATATTTAATATATCCGTGGTTATTACAAATTATCTCATCAATGTTCAATTCTCCTAAGATACTATACAGCAGGAGTGGCTAACAGGTTAATTGTGACTCCCTTCTGTATTTTCTTGAATTTTTTTCAGAAAACAAATAAAAAATTATTTTTATAAATTTGTGTATCTACCATTATGTACCTGTAGTATAAAAATTAGATTAATAACAATTAATAATTGATAAAGGCAATAAATAACATAAAGAAATTGATATTATACACCAAACATATTTAACTGATATGTATTCTGAAGATAGTTTGAGATTGTCATTGATCCCAGATTTTGTGTATCACATTAAATAATTTAACATATCCTATCAAATAATCAAATATATTAAAATACGTGTTGTGTATAACTGTTTCTTATTAATATTAAAAAAAAAAAAAACTGAGTAGCACTCATGTATATAAAATATATTTTTGTTTATTGATAACTTTATTTTTTTTGGTCAATCACAACAACCTTGAAAAACAGAAGTCGATTAAGAGTTTATTAAAGTTGGCCATTTCTGCTATACAAGATCCAATACTATTATTATGATAATTTATCTGATCATTATAAAAGAATCATTCTATATATTATTTCATCGTTCATTCCATTATTCATTTTAAAACTATATTACCAAAAATAATCTTTCTATGATTACTTAATTTTTTTTTTTCATTCTCTAGTGCCCTTGGTCAAGTTTCGTATGCATATTATTTTATTACTGGTCTTGCAATTATCCTCATATAACCTTATCTTAGATATTTTTTATTAGTTTTTGCTTTAAACATTTGGAGATAATTCATAATTTTGTCTGTGTCCACAGGACTGTCCCGACCAAGAGGTAATGCACCAGGTAAGGGTGTTGATAAACTCCGTCCGGCAATATCCGTGGACTGACCCTGCGCAACCACATTTGATCTACTTGCATGTGTTAGACATGCTAGCGACTGCCACTCTGGACACATACCCTTACGGCATACCAGACGGCAAGTAGTTTTACACAATATTATAATATTGAGAAAAAAATATACATATATATATTTATACATAAATGATTAATTAAAAATTTATTTTGGGGTGTAATGTATAGTGGACTCTAATGATATTCTTTACGGCCGTGATCCACAGTTCATCACTGATGTAGACTCTATGTGCACTGTGCTGCTGGACAATTTGCTCGAACGATTGAAAAGTCTTGCAGAACAACCAAACTACCAGGTAACAATGATGCAATTCAACAATTGATAATCAGAAAATACCAAATAATGATATGAGGATAGTGGGTGTATGTAACCACGATGTGGGGGATTAGGTCAAGTGTAAGTTAAAGACTAGGGCGTCTAACATTTAGTCAGGATGAAGTACAAGAATGTTATTTTTTGGATTCTACAGCTGCTCTATAAATAATAAACATTTGTTTTAAACACATTCATGCTTTTGTAGGCTGAACTAGCATTTAATTTATTTGTACACGTTGTCGTCCGAGCTGATTTAAACGAAACACAAATGGCCACATTAGCCCTGAACCTATGGAAATTGTCTATGAAAAACATAAACACGAATAAGGTATAAACTTAGGAAAACTTGATTTTTGTATAAAAGCTACCAATCTGTTGTTTATACTACAGGAAAAAGTGATAACCTACATCAAGGACTATTGTGAAAATGAAGATTACCAAATATATAGTAAATTCTTGCAGAAAGTCATGGCCAGTATATCGAATGTTGCAGTCCAATGAACAAAACCATGTGTGTAAAATAAAAATTTCACATTTTATTAGGTACACATTTGTTTTGTATTTTTTACTATTTAATTATTATATAATATAATAACAAATTGTTATGAAACATATTTTATAGTCTAAAATTAATTTCAAATACATCACAGTAAGTTTAATAAAATAACAATTAAATTAAATAATTATTAATTACAATTGTTTTACAATTAATAAATAATATAAAAATACTTTATACATGGGATTTAAAAAGCGAAAAATAAATTTTAATTTTAAGATCTAATATATCAGTCTTTGTTGGCAAATTAAATAATATTATCATCTAGTAAAGGTTAAGATCGTAGTTCATGATTTTTACATAGTTTCTCACTTTTAAATTTAATAGCGGGTTACACCAACCGTCAATACGTCCCAAATGTTGCAGTTTCAAACACTTGTCAATGAAACTTGTGATACTCAAATATTCGGTCTATATAAAAGAAGAAAAAAGGAAGTATATTCAACATTCGACTATATAATAACTATACAAATTGTTTGCCATAATGTAATATTTAGACTTACTATTGCGCTAGAGTTATTTAAACTGAACTCCAATCGTTTAAGGTTATTGCACATATACCAAGATGGTTTTTGAAATATTTGTGAATTCCAGTTCAGGTCTCTCGGATTATTTAGCAGCTATAAAACATTGATTTAATTAGGAATATATTCAGTTTATAATTCAAAAACAATGCACATACTCTCGCTTCTTCTAGACAAGGACAGTTCTCGAAAATCCAATCAATAGCATCAATAGTAGAATTTCGCAATTCAATTGATTTCAGTTTTGTAAACTGGTCAACTGGCATATTATAAATATCCAAACTTCCTTTAAGCACCAGTAAATTAGGACAAATTGTCAACAGTTTATCTACGTCAATACCAGTTTCCTAGAAAATATAAATATAACTGAAATCTTAAGCTAAAAGATTTTGAATTTTGAAATTGGAATTTAGGCGTCCTAAAAAGTACAAGTAACAAGTGTTAATTCCATAAAAAATTCAATATACACTATTTCACCTCGCATGATTTTCCCCCTAAAAAAAATATGTCCAAGTAAGATTAATAATTATAAACCTACGTAAGAAAAACATCAACCAAAAAACCATAGATGTCATTATGCAATCATTATCTTTATTAAATAATTAAATAAAATTTAATGATTGTATATGGAACTAAAAATACATGCCTAGTGATTTATACTATATCTTTGTATGTAAGTATAATTATGATATTGAAACAAACATTTGGTATTTCATTAAAGGCCATTTCAGAAGCAATAAGTAGATCATATAAACTTTCATTGCAATTAAATGAAATTGTCACATTTCACATCTATATTTTTTGATTCACACATAACTCTTATTCTATTACATACAAGAAAGTAAGAAGTGTTATTTTGTTCTACCTGGTCTAGAATAATAAGCTCTGACAAATTGTTTCCAAAACTATTCAAAAATTTCAAGAAATGTTCATTTGACATGTAGTCTAAATCAATAGTGAGAATCTTTACACGACCCCAGAACATTGAATCCTGTTTTAGATCTGTGAAATCTTGAGGTTTATAAACACAAGACAATCGAGTGTATAGTTTATTAAGGTGTGGCATACACTCCTTGAATATAGCAATTTTACTGTCTGACAATTGCATATCAAATAGTTCGGTCAACTGGAAAACTCGGGGTTTTGGTGAGTTCTTCCATATGGACACCAGAGCATCACCAATGTTTCTGAAAGAATACCGTACAATAACTATCATCAATTAAATATTTTAAAAGTTTTCTTTTTTTTTTTTTTTGTCTTACCTAAAATACAGAAAACCACCCAACGCTTTTAAACTCTTGACACACGCAAGAATCATAAGTAAACCGGCAACTTCAGTATTAGTATCCTGAATACGCAATTCCTCCAGTGTGAAGCAGCAATGATTCAACAATGACTTGTTATCGTACAGTTGGCTGAGTTGTTGACAGAGTTTATCGTTAGATGTGCTATTTGTATCCAGACACATGTCATTCTAAAAATACAACAATCACATTAGTATTATACTTATAATAAGTTAAGTAAGTACGTACTTTAAACAACAAATTTTGTAGGCCTATCTCGTCAACATTCCATGAACCAGATAAATCTAAATATTTTAAGCACAAGGCATGTTCACCGATAGCTTTCAATATAGAATTATCACAGACAGCTATAAGCTTGAGGAAAACTACTTTTGATGCAAGACCTTCATCTAATGTTAATTGAAGAGTATACATTGAAGCATACACTGCTGTTGTATAATCGTTCTTACTTGACATCTAATGAGAAAATAAGATATTGATTTTCATAAACGACAATGGAATACAACTTACTCGAAAATTCACATTCAATTCTTTGGGATGAACATTGGAATTATTTAATATTGTAAGAAATTGATGAAATTCTGTTTCCATACAGCTATGAAAACATATAGGAGGCAATCTACCGACACCAATATCCAACATGGTGTTTAATATAATTAACCATATGCCAAGGTTGGCACTCAATACTTCTTTCAATGATTCCAACAATTCCAAATCGTTTTCCAGATAATCCCAAATAACACGGCTTTTTTCACCACTATCTCTAAAAAAATTAATGTAAAATGATCAATATTGGTAATTGGTAAAAAAAAAAAGCAGTTATATTATATATAATATATTGCAATATATTATCGCACCAAATTATCCAGGACTAATAAATTTCTGGATAAAAATTATCAACTCAACCTATCTTCCCACATACATTATTTTTATTACAAATTAACAAATTACTAAGATAATAAAATAGTTGTTTTATTTGTTTATCAATGTTATTAGGAATTTCATGTTATTGTACTTAGAATACATTCAATAACAATTAGGTATTAATTAATATAAAATGAACTCACAGTAATAGATCTTTAGTATATTCCAAGATGTCAGTTCTGGCCCAAGCGTGCACATTTTTAATGAAATACTCACGAAATCCATTAGGATGCCTTTTTATTGTAGAACTAATTTGTATTATGTGCTTGGACACCTGTTCTAACGCTAAAGATTGCAAGCATTTTACTGATTTATATGGTGGCATAGTGATCAGTTATTACCACAAAATCTAAAATAATATAAATAAAAATGACATTTAAAACTAAAAAGAAAAAATTAAACAGTAATTGAAAAAACATGCGACTGCTTCTAGAAAAACTAAAAAGTGAACTTATGCTATGTGTTTATTAAACATGATTACAATATTTCCTGTAAAATCAATTAGTAAATACTAAAATAATAAAGGACTCTGTGCAACAACAATTAGATAAGTCTACTTTTAGAGAAACCCGGTTTTTGGCATTTTGAATACAGAATTTAATTCTTTCAATTATAGCCTAGATAAGTCCAATTGACATACACATAGATATAGGAAAAATGAACTTGTCTGGATTTAAAATAAGTATGTTCAAACACCAGAAATTCTTACTAAATAAAATAGACAATTCAATGTCTAAATTAACATTTTATGAACAAAATCCAGTCAAGTCCAAAATAATTTTTCTTCTAAACAATTTAAAAGTGGGCTTGTCTGGTTTCTGCAATTATTACTTAATAATACAAATGTGAAACTATAGCATTTTTAATATATAGATAACTAAACACAATCAAAACTTCAAAAATGTGAATTAATTTATATAGGTAATAATAACATGGTAATAAGCACGATAATACTAATAAGTTATGCAAAATAATGTAAACATCTTTTTTTCTAAACATTTTTCACAATTCACAAAATATTCTCAAATATGCAAAAAAAAAAATTTTTCCTACAACCTCAGAATTGGACGGATCGTCAATGGATTTTTTACTCTCATAAGACTGCACAGCTCAGTAACGATATGTAAAAACATATAAATCCGATCTTTATTTATTAATTATAATGATAGGTAACTATTGTACGATTAGCATATTGTACACTATAGTGTTATTTGGATATTCTTCTTGTGCTTTGCCCGCGTTAATAAAAAAATAAATAACGTCATTAGTAATATTATAATTTCGACGATTGTTGAATAATAATTGTTTGCTATTCATAACCAATATATTTTGTTCGAGCCCCGGGCGGCTACTAGAGACGAGAACGGATATTAGTATGACGACGACAACAAAATAATAGGTGCCTATAGAAAACGATAGGTCAGAAATCGGAACCCTATCAAAACGAAGAGGGCAAACACGCTTATCGGATTAAAAAACACTACGGACCTTTGAAATCGGGCAGGTAGCCTGCTAACATCCGTGTTTGTCGGACGTGTCAAATCCGTGTTGTTAACGTTGCGCGGCGTACACAAATTCGTTGACCACGAAATCAAAAACTATTTGATGTCGGTGCGACGGCATTGACTTCGGTCGGTCGTCAATAACCCGAAAACGAACGTACCTACCGAACAATAACAACAATAATGTTGAATAATTGGTAGTTATTGTCGAGGCCCGCTGAATTCATCTACATCACTGGCGCACGGCAAGTAGGGCACACTAAGGGTCGAGTGCGGGGGGAACGGCCGCGGGGAGTGATGCCGAAAAGTTACGGAACGACAAACGCTCATCGCACACCCGACAAATCCGGATCGGTCGCTTGAAATTTGAATGTTTCCGAAATGCGATCAGGCGATGATCGGACGATTTCGAATAATTAATGTCGGTCCGCGATCGTTAGTCAGACTGCAATCTGCGTACGTACTTCGGGTATTTTCCTCTACTGTACGGCGTTCACCCGCAACCCGATAGTTAGCGTTTTTTATGCGGCCACCAAGGCAGAGGGCTCATTAACGTTTAAACGAAATTACGCGAATTTTTATAAAACTGAAACCGAAATCATAGGGGAATCTATATTATAAAAGTACAAAATAACATTGTAACCGCGGTATATGTCGAAATCATCTATTCTGTATCGCCTGATATGAGTCAAACACAATTATAGATTATAGATTTAATCTGTGGTATACGCCGCAGTAGCGCCGCGGAGATAATATGCCAATTTGTATTTAAATCAAGCAGACTAACAAGGAAACGGATGGGTGGGCGTCCGGGTGTTCAAAAATACAACAAATTACAAAAATTAGACGTAAACCTAGATTACCGGGTACCCTTTGTTTTTCGATTTTTTTTTTTTTTTCTAATCGATAATACGTATAATGCTGATAACGATTTTGCGAAAAAAAAATTTACCGGACGAACTTATTTCAGGAGTTATAGACGTTTGGTTATCGCGCGTAACGCGAGGCGTCGCGTTTTTATTACATTGTAGACATTGAAATGTGTACCTGCCCGTCCGTCATGGTCCTTCCTATTTTTTTTTTCATGTCCATAATATCGCGTATAATCTATGGTAATACCTCGTCTGAATAACGATCGTGCACACAGACGTTCATCATTCACACCGATGCGTCAGACTAATAAGTCGGTGTACAAGCGACACGCCATCTGTGACGCGGCGTTTGTATTTTGACGCATGCGAGTCGTCGGTTGGCCGACGGAAGTCTATGTAAACGCGATTGTGGCCCCGAGTGTCGACAATTGCGGCAAACCCAACTCGCATTTTTTTTTCCGTAAAGGTTTTCGTCTAACTTCGAATCTTGTCCGTTTTGTTCGCACGATTTCTCGACAACGGCCAAGCGTACACGGATAAACCAGGTATATTCCGAACCGGGACGAGCTATAGTTGAACACGACCGAGAGGTTTTTATGAAATTTTGATTGTTTCGACTTTCAAAAGACAAACGCGGTTGTCGGGATACGCGTCACTTGAATGACACTACGGCGGCGGGGTGGGGTTCACATTATCATCATCGGTCTCCTCGTTCGAATGACGGGTGTACCTTTTTTTTTAGTTTTCTTAGGTAGTTCAATGTTTTTTTTTTTTACCTGACGATACTTGCGACGGTGCACTTTGTGCGCTACCCGATTTGCTGTTTGTCGCGAAGATTTCAACGACTCGACGCGTTACCGTTAATTTGGGTACCTATACACGAGAACGCACCGCTCGGCTCATCCGAATTTATCGCGGAACGACGTCCCCGTCCCCTTGGCCGAGTCTAGTCGCTCTGTATAGGTATACGGCGACGGATTACCAATTACGGTTATGGCGATTTCCCGGGCGAGTAGTGGCCAATCCTGACGCGAAACCCGATCCGAATAGTGTGTTCAGATTTTTGAATCTCGGCTCCTTGCATTAGGCGCGGTCTTCAAATGTCTATTACGCCCATTCCCTCCCGGACGTTCGGCAAATGTTTTTCGGCAGATTCGTGATCGGCATCAAACGTATAATCGATTGAAAACAAAATAATAATATAGAGCTAATAGTGGGTACGGGTACGGCCATTGTTATAAGGTGTGCAGTGGGGAAGGTGGGATACAAAAATTTATTTATTTAATACCTGTAAGGATGTAACCAACTATAAACCATTGGTAACGAAAAACGATTCGGAGCGAAGTTCAGTTTTACACTTATACATGTTTTAAAAGGCCGTAATATTTGCGATTTCGTCAAAATTTGATGGGACGTACTAAAATGCACGACGACAAAGATCAGTCATGATAAAACAAAGACTAGATCGCAAAGTGTAAACTGATTTGATTATACAGACTAAAATGCACTTCATTAGAAATACATTGCAGCTGCCCGAGCGCCTAACAAACAGTGTGACCAACAACCTCGATACGCCCCGAATCTAAAAAATACATACACATCATAGTAAGCCAAAGGGTGAACTAAGTTTGTTCTCAAACATTTTTCAATCGTATGCTCTATTCGGTTGCTTATTATTTTTACGAGGATTTTAGCTGAGTGAACCATTAGGCTCAAGTTTCTGTATTCGTTACATTTTTCAGCCGTTGCTATTTTGGGTAGAGTAATTATGATGTTTTTCTTAGAGTATTCAGGTATTTCTCCAGTTATATTTATATATGGCATTAACCAATTTAAACGATTCGTTTTGAATTTCCGTACCTGCATTTGGAATAAGTTCTGATGTTAACTCGTCTACACCTGGGCCTATTTTAGTTTTCATTGCCTTAAGAACTTGGTTGACTTCTTCAATTAGAATTGTCACACCTTGCATATCAGAGGTATTTTCAGTATTTGGACTTATTATTTCGACGCCTTGGTACAGAATTTCAAGATATTGTTTCCATACATAGACAATGTCTTCGTTGTCCAATAGTAGATTTCCATTTATGTCTCTTATTTTAATGTTAGCTTTTGTTTTTCTACTGACAAATTTTTTTATTGTGTTGAACGCTGGATCCATTTTGTTTCCTTTTATTAATAACTCTACTTCCTTACATCTATTTTCCAGCCATTTTCCCCTTGCTTCTTTTGCATCTTTGTTTATTTTGTTTATATTTTCTCAAATTTTGCGTATCTTTGGAGTTTTTGTACTTTCTCTTTTCCTTAATGTCTCTTAAAATGTTGTCATTTATCCATGGTTTTTTTTGATTTCATTATATTTTTTCTTGAGGTCTTATTAGCTGCATTATGTATAGTTCCTTTAATTGCTTTTCATCTTACATTTATTGAGTCATTTTGTGTAAATGTTTTTATCGCCTTATTGATACAGGGTACATAGGCTAATGTATTTTGGTCTTTCAACATATTTACGTTGTATATTATTTTATTTTCCGTAAGTTTTTAAGTTTTTTAAATGTGACACTACTTTTCATCATTAAGAGGTTGTGATCACTGTCCACATCAATGCCTGGATGTGTTTTACATCTACGGACTTGATTTCTGAAGTGTTTTATTACCAGTATATAGTCGATTTGGTGTCGTCTAATGTCTCCTGGTATTTTCCACGTGTATCGTTTTCTATGATGAATGTTTTGATATGTGTTTGCTATAACCATGTCATATTGTTTACTGAAATCTACAAGTCGGTCTCCTCTTACATTTCTAGTTCCCAATCCGTAGGTTCCTATTTCCTGCCCATCAGCACTTTCACCTACAACAGTGTTCCAATCTTCTATTATTATTAAGTTGTTACTTCCTTTCATTAATTTACATAGTTCTTCAAGTCTAGTGTACATTTTTTTCTATCTCAATGTCATCTGCTTCTGTTGTTGGAAAGTATAGATCTCACATTCCACGTTCCATTGTTTTGCCAAGGATTTCGTTTGATGACGACCTGAAAAGCCTTATTTCTTCTCCTGCCGAGACAACTGATATTTCAGAGTATATCTGGTCTAGTATCATCTTTTTCTTCATAAATTCGATTCATACTGCTTACTAGGAATATTAATGTACAGAGGTGGCCAAAAGTCGCGCAACAAATTTGCAACACAATTTGTAGTAGTAAAAAAAATCGTTTCTTCAAATAAAAAAAAAAAAATGATATAAAAATGAACATTACAAAGTAACATCATCTCACGGCAATTATAATAAATGTTCAAAATGATGTCCTCCAGCTTCAATAACTGCTCCAAAACGTTTTTTTACCGCGTTTGTGGCGTTGTAAAGATACGAATAACCGGTGCTCAAAATTTGGAATTCTTCCTCGATTCGCTTTTTTAAATGGATCAAATTTTTGATTGGCGTCTTGTAAACTCGATATTTGATAACTACACACGTGCTGAAATCACAAGGTGTGAGATCGGGTGATCTTGGGGGCCATTCCGTTGTCCCACGGCGACCAATCCACTCGTTGAAGTTTTTATTCAAAAAATCACGAACCACAACCGCATAATGACATGGGGCTACATCTTGTTGCCAGATAATTCGCTTACCACGGAAGATATCGTTATTGTACGTAAACAAGATAACGAGACCAAAGTTGCAATATGACGTAACGGAAACGACGTGGAGGGAGAAACTGCGCCGTAATGCATACAGGGCGGTAAGCGTTGCGCGACTTTTGGCCACCTCTGTAGTGATATCATACTCTTTTCTGACGAGCCAGTGTTTGGAGTATGTCCGAACTACCTTCGTTAAATCCTTCCATTGCCGCTGGTTCTGCTGCAGAACTCGCCAATGGTCGGTAACAGTGGATATTGCTGCTCTCCGCTACCTCCTTTTAATCACCTTTTACGATAAGCAGGAGTTACTGTTGGCCTATTCTAAACTCAGACTAATAGGGGGAAAACCCACACTACCAGGGCGGAGAAAGGTACCTACTTGTAAAAAGTACAATTTTTCGACTTAGTGATTTTTAATTCGAAACCGGTCGTAACACATTTCATAATACTCCAGGCGACGCATATTTATTTATTTACAAATATTAACGATTTAATCATATTTGATTTAATTTATTATTTTGTTAATTTATTATGAGTTTTATTAATACATTGTTACCATATATCAATATCATATTACATCTTGTCTACATATTTTATCGTATTGTACGACTTAAATTTTATTTGAGCCATCAGGTGTAGTCAGGCACAGAGGGGGTTTCGGGGTTCACCTTCCCCCCCCCGAAAATAAAAGTTATGTAATTTGTTTACATAAATTTAATAATGTTTTAATATACTTGCCTGGTTGTAGCTGTTTATACTCGTGCGGTGCATTAAATTAATTTAAAATTAATTAGAATTAGAATTTGTTGTTTTTTTTTTTAAGAGCATATTTTGGTAATTTTGATGGCCCAATTTTATACATATTTATCAGGTTTGTAGTGCATATTTCTGTCAGTCCTAGTTATAATAAATTGTATTCAATTATTTTAGCACAAAAATATCAAGAAAAAAATTGTGAAATTTGGACTTCTATAAAACCAGTCCCACATACCACACGACTCATAAACTCGGCCAGAGGTGCCATTTAGTAGGGTAAGAGGTCATGGGCCCCTTGGACATTTTGTTTAATTGTATAAATAGATGTAAATATTTTTTTCTAATTATATATGGGCATATATGTATATATATATTAAAAAATATTGGCTGCCCTATAGGCAAAGAATCCCGTTTATTATTTATTATCGTAATTGTGGAGTTTACTATATCCTGATTATTTCCTGTTTCCCACTCACGTTACATCACCACTCGCTGTTTTGATACAGGTTTCAATTGGAAGTCTGCAATGTTGAAATTTATGAAGGTAATTTACTACATTGGCATTCAATATTTTAACGAATTTTCAGTGTCTACATTACATTGATTAAATTAATATTTTAATAAATATTTAAGTACACACCATGATTGGTAAGTGTACGAGTCATATATGAGTGACTTAATCGTCAAGTGAAATAACTTAACAAACATGCGTGACTATGTTGCTCATCAAGTATACCAGTCATATGGGACTGACTTAATATATTGAACAATTAGTAAGAACCTGATCAAAAATAATGAGCTCTTCTAACAGATTGTGTTCAAAACTATAAAAAAAATTAATATTTATCATGCGGTCTAGATCAATAGTGAGCATCCATTCGATCCTCAAACAGTGATCCCTCTTCTAGATCTATAAAATTATACAGACACAAAACATTAATGGGTAATATTGAATCAATATTTTACATTGAATATAAACAAATTGTTTAATTTTATTAAATACAAATACTAGTATTCAATAATGATAATATATTATTATTATGTTATTGTAGACACACGTTAATTGGTGGTGTAACATAAAATATTAGACTAACAGATAAATATTTTTATATTTACAAATTTATTGAGTATTACAAAAAAAAAAAGTTTAAAAACTCAACATATTGTATTATTAAATATTTAAAAAATATATATATTTAATGTACAAAGAATACAACATGAGTTCTAAAATTCTGTGCATTTGTGTACAGTTAAAAATTGTATTCATTACTCTTAAATTTGTTTAATTAACTATAACATATTTTATTCGTGTTTAGGAACTAATAATATTATCAATGTCACACAATTTTTATGACACAATGGAGATCTTCTGCAGTAGGCCTATGTTTTGCTGTAATCTTTAAAAACTTTCTTATCTTTCTGTAATAACCAGGACAATTCCACGTAGTGTTATGTGAACCTCTTCTAAATCTCACAATCTGTTTTAAAGGGCCACAATAAGCATCAAATAAATTTGTCATCATTGCTGGAGGAACTAATGTATCCTCTTCTCCCGAAACAAATAATATTGGAACTTGCATTTTTTCCATTTTCCAGTTAGACATATACTGTGATTAAAATATTAATGTAGAATTAATTAGTAAATGTGTTAGTTTTATTAGGTTACCTTATTTTTGTATAAAAACAAAGGGACATATTTTAAAAGTTCAGACGACATAAGTACTGTTGCCATGTCTGGTATACTGGTAAATGTATTCTCAACAATTACACACCAAATTTTCCGCGAATATTCTACACGAGCAGCTATATCAATAGCGACTGCACCACCTTTAAGACAAAATTTGTGATGGGATTTGTTTAATAAATTACAACAAATTAAATCATTACCTAATGAACGGCCAAATACTATGATACGTCCAAGGTTCAAATCACTACGAGTTAAAATGAAGTCCATTGCTGCACTCGCATCCATGTAAAATCCTCTTTCAGATGGCGATCCTTGGGACAATCCATATCCACGATACTCAAGCATTACAATATTGCATCTCAGCTCATTATAAAAGCCTACTATATTAGTTAATCTATAGAGAAAAATTGAGATATTAATACGAACATTTTTGGTAAAAATTTTAAAATATTTTAACCTGTGTCCCATGTTTCCAGCGTTTCCATGCAAAAATAAAATAGTCGGTACTATCTTAGAAATTTCCCCCCGTTGTTTAATCAGAAACAAGTGTACGCGTGTGCCATCTAAACTTTTAATGAATATATTTTCATAAGGCAAACCATACATTGATGGCTGTGGTACGAATATACGTGAGTGATCAGGCAAGTCTGGATAATATAATAAGCAGTCTTCTGAATGGTACACAAACCCTAATAAATTTAGAAATGTAACATATTAATCAATAATAACACTTTAATATACTATGTTTTAACAGATCACCATAACTCTGTAACTCACCAATAATACTTATTAGAAGAAATGATAACGCTAGTAAGCCGCCACAGAACCAATATATTAAAAAAAATGTAATTACAGTGGCTCCAGCGCTGAGAGCACTGAAAGCCATGTAACATTTGGTTGACATAGTTTTCCATAGCGGTATGCACAATTTGTCCTTACGTACCAACAATGTTTGTAATCGTTCCATTATGAAAAATTTTCAATTTGTTCGGTGATCTGATGAACATTAAGAAAATGATTAGTATCTAATAGTGCGAAAGCGTTAGTAATTTGTTTCAATTTACTTACCTATTAATTAAATTTGATAGTTTTCTTTTTGTTTTCTGTTTAGCTTTCATTTTACATTGAACAAAATGTTGACGACTGACTACAGTCAAATATTACCATAAACATATTAAAATAAAAGTACTGATAAATTATCATTGACGTTTTCTGTTATCAGAACGGACTAGTCCATGGTTATCAAAATAAAATCAATAAACTTATACGTCTTTATTATCTATGAAAATATTATAAACCCACCACAGTATTACAGCTGATATATTTTAATCGGATTTAAGACCATTTTTCCCGGCAAAAAAACCCCGGGTAATTAGCCATCGTGATAATTTTTTAGAGTTTAGAATCGTGTTTTACTGTTGAGTATGTTTATGGTTTAGATTGACAATCGGTCTCCTACTGTAATGGGTCCTACTGAACAGGTTCGGGTGGGGGCCCATGAGTTCACAATTTTTAATAAGGAAAATAATACATTCAAATAATAAATTTAAATTTAACTTTTCTTTACAATTTTAAACTTATTAAATTAAACTAACTTAAACATAAACAATGTAGGTAACATTAATTAATATACAATACAGTTGGATAAAACACAAATGCAAGCAACTAGATTAAAGGTATATAAATATTTAAAGCTATAATTTGATTCATTTTGCAACCAGTTAGTTATTTTTTTTTAAAGTATTAAACGATATAGTTGTTTTAAAGTCTAATGCTAGAATATCATATATTTTTGGTCCTACATATAACTAAGTAGTAATATAATGATTTATTTTGTATTTTTCATGAAAATAAGAAAAAATCTTTAATTTTTGAACCGTGGTTACTACTACTTTTGACCATATTGTATATAAGGATAATGATAAATAGATAACAAAATTGATAGCTGTCGATATTTTGAATTTTCAAAATTTCCGAATTCATATTTTTATTATTTTCACTGTTTTCAGTATCTTCCATCAGTATCCTTTGTTTTCTTCATCACGTTTTTAACTTAACACATTTTTATTTTTTGAATAATTGTTTTTAATTTTTGAACAATGTGCTATTGTCTATTGTCTAAATCGTTAGTTGCCATAAGATCCACTTGTAAAGTTATCTATAATTATCGCTTTTATTCGAACAGAAATGTGTTGAAACTACACGAACGAGAAATATTACAAAGCATATTTCCAGAAAATTCTAGGTAAACAACGTTTTTTTTTTTAGATTCTTAACACTGACTATAAAGACTATAAAAACTATAAAGGTCCTGCACCTTACATAAAATTATTATATTATATTATTGCAAAATTAAATTGTAGTCAATAAACATGGTTGTTTAAATATCACAATTTATCAGTTTTACCGTAAAATTATATTTGCATTCAGTCGCCAGTTGTCCATTGATTATTGATACATATGTGTACGAATGTAATACTTATTGTTTTGTGCACAACTTGTTTTTTTGTTGTTAATACTTTGGCTAGTAATTAATATCTAGTAATAATACTTTTAATATGTTCTTATTTTTTGTTGTTTTCTTTAAAATTAATTAAAGTCTACTTTTTATTAATATTTCATGTAATATAATTTATCATAAATATGTAATACAATTTATTTCAGTAGTTATAAAACTATTTGTACATATTCTCTTGTTTAAGTACTATTGGTAGATCACTTACTAGATCAATAAGCAAAATGTCAAAATGTAGATCACTTACAAAGCCATTACCATTATATGGATAAAAAATTGTTCGGAATTGCATACATTTTTTAGGTTAAGGTTGCATACAATTTCTAGGTTAAGTAACCTATGTTAATACTAAGTTCTAACAGGAAATTAATATAAACTATACTAATTAGCAATATTATTATTTTTATTATTTTATAAGTCAAATTATTAATAAAATTTGTTAAAAACACAATAAATTATAAATTATTTTGTTATGGAATTTAAATTGGGAAAAAATATTTAATTAACCTCCATTTGGAATCATTTATTTGTTCTTAATAATTTATTGTTGCATTCAGTAATAAAACTATATTTGCATCTATATTACCTGATATCCTGCCTTTACAGTTTCCTATTTCTTCTTCTCCTTTGCCTTAGTCCCAATTATTTGAGGTCGGTCAACTTCCCACTTATTTTTCTGTTACTATTATAATAAAATCTCAATTTGAACATGTATTAGGTTTTTTATATTATGAGCAAGAAAAAATTCCAACTGAATTTATCAATACTATATAAATATGTTATAATTGTTTAATGTTTTATATTTTTTTTTTTTATTAGTAATGAAGTAATAGAATTATTAATTAAAAAAAACCAATGTGTTTATGCTGGGTTTGATCCGACAGCTGACAGTTTACACATTGGGAACTTACTCGTCATAATGAATCTTTTACATTGGCAACGTGCAAATCATAAAGTTATCGCTTTGGTTAGTTACAGATTACTTTATAATTATATGTATATATTTATTTCATTTACATTTATTTTTTAGTTAATATTCGTATTTTGTTTTTTATTTAATTGATTTTATTTAAAAGATAGGAGGTGCTACGGCTCAAATAGGTGATCCTAGTGGAAAATCTAAGGATCGAGATAAACAGTCATCACAATTATTGTCACACAATGTCAAAGGTATTACAAATAGTTTACAATCTGTATTCGAAAACCATGCCAAATATTTCTGGAAACAAAAGGATTCTTTACCAAAGCCAATGTGAGCGTTTTGAGGTATTCTTTTTAACTTAGAATGACTGAAATTAGTCAAGAGAATTAATTGTATTATTAAATTTTTTTTTGTATAATATAATATGTATTATTTTATCAACATTAATAGATATGTACAAATATTTGTTTTTATAGAATTGTAAATAATATGGAGTGGTATAAGGGTATTGGTGTCATTGATTTTATGAATAACATTGGCAGACAATTCCGAATGGGTACAATGCTGTCCAGGGAGAGTGTTAAGGTTCGTCTAGCAGGTAGTGGAATGAGTTTTACAGAATTTACATACCAAACTTTTCAAGCATATGATTGGTTACATTTGTTTGAGACGTATAAATGTCTGTTTCAAGTAAGTGTTATAGTATTGATGTATCCAGAGATATATCATTAAATATGATACATAATCAAATATATTTTATTATACCTAATTTATAGATAGGAGGAAATGATCAAATGGGAAACATTATGTCTGGTCAAGAATTGATTAGTAGACGACACAATACCAGAGTTTATGGTAAATTATGTAGTGGGATATAAATTATGTAAGTCCTCGTTTAACGTGGCCTCATTTAGTGTTGTTTTGTTATTGCGTCGTAAAAATTTAAGTTCTTGTTTTTTTCATTTAGCACTGCAACAGTTTTAGTAAAACATCATTTGTAATACATGTATTTATCAAATTTTTGTTATACGCATGTATTTATATATATTTTGTATAAGTTGTAAAAGTAATTAATTTCATAGACTTTTTTCAGATAATATTGTTTTGTTTTTTATTGACATACCTATCATATGTAGGTACTATTTTTATTTATTATAGGTAATATGTACTCCATAATTGTTTTTCATTTTATTGATTGTCAGTTGTTCAACATTTGCTGTCGACTACACAGTTTTCGTGTACATACATAATATCATTATTACTATTAATAAAGTATATGTTAAGAGTATTTCACTTAATGTTTTTCGGTTAACATTGTGTTTTCCAGGAACCTAATCTAGACGTTGAACGAGGATTTACTGTATAATTATAATAACTAGATTATCATATGATTACAAAATAAGTAAATAATTTGAAGATTTTAATAACAATCAATTTTTATTAAACAACTTAAGTTGTGTTTAGTCATTAAATAACATTTTTCTTTCTTATAATTTATTTTAATCTTTAGCCATGATTAATAATAATCCATTTTTGTTATATTAAATTTATATGCAATATATTCACATTTTTTTAGGAATATGCTAAAATAATATCGTCATTTTTTAAAATTTATTTATCTTAAAAAATTTATTTATACATGTTATGCATTTTTGTCATGTCCAAAAGTGACCCAAGTTCCGGTTTCGTCCATTCATAGATATATATAAAAAAGTGTTCAACTGGTATTATAAATAGTTTGGAGACACCATTATTTATGATTAAATCAAAATTGAAAAAAATTTAAAAATAAATTAAATTTATCACTTGATCATTTTTGACATGACAGCAATAATATTCATTTTATAATAAAAAATTAATTAATTATGCACATTTTTTTAATTGTATTATAGGGCTAACAGTACCATTAATAACCACAGAATCTGGAGACAAGTATGGTAAATCAGCTCAAAATGCTGTATGGCTAAACTCTGATAAGACTTCACCATTTGAGTTTTATCAGTATTTGATACGTACACCGGATTCTGATGTAGAAAAATTGTTGAAAATGTTTACATTCATTTCAATACCTGAAATAACCGAATTAATGAGAAAACACAAAGTAAATGGAAAAAAAATGCAATTTATAAATAAATTTTATAAATAAAAAAAATAATTTCTTTAGGAGTCTCCAGATAAAAGAATTCCTCATGAAACATTAGCTCGTTATGTAACTACTTTGGTACATGGAGGTATTTATTTAGTATTCAGGTGATTAAATCAATATCAACCATTATTATAATATTGCTTTATTATATTTGTAGAAACTGGTCTTCAAGAAGCATTAGTAGCAACTTCAGCACTGTATGACAATAATGTTGAGACCCTCAGTACATTAAATACCAATGACATTTACAAAATATTTAATGGAGCAACTGTTGTTGAACTAATGCTTGAACCTGGTATAACTGTACTGCAAATGGTGATGAAAGCAAAATGTTTCCTGACTGACAGTAATAATAATATTCTACATCTGTTGGGCAAAATGTATAAACAATTAATTAATGGACATTAAAACAATTTATAGGAGATGCATGTCGAATAATTACAGCCGGTGGACTTTATATTAATCATCAAAAAATAACCAATATAGATGAAATTGTAACTTTGTTTGTACATATTTTACCTAACAAGATTTCTTTAGTAAGAATTGGTAAGAAATTATTAAAATATAAATATTTTTGTCTTATCATGAGCACTGATTTATTTACAAAATAATTAATTTAATTTCTTACCACAAATCGTATAGATCTATCTTGTTCACATTCTTAATAAAAGTTATAAATGTATTTTTTTAATTAAACCTAATAGATACTCATGAAACTTATACACTATAAATCGCTAATACTAAAAAACTAAATATTATAATATTTTTTATTTAAATATATTTAAAAATTTGTTTAATTAAAAAGTAATTATCTGTTTGTATTTATAATATGTTAGATAAATTTATTAACATTTTTTTAAATTTAATTATGAATCTCATACCTTAAGCATTTGTAAATATTTGTATTATTTACAATATTATAAATGATTTACTTTAAAATAATACTGATACATTTTGTATTAGTAAATTAACTTTTAATTTTAGCTTTCTTATCTAATTATTAATTTACATTATATAATTCAATATTATTTTCAGGAAAACGAAACTATTGGATAATCAAATGGATCATGTAAATACACAGTATGGATTATAAATATAAATAACATGTCATGTTATATTTTGTAGGCAATAAAAACATATTTTTTAAAAACATAAATAAATTGTTTATTTAAAAGTCATTTCTCATCATATGAAGATCATATGTTTCGCAGTATATATAAATATATATCAATAATAAATAATAAAAAAAAATTTGTAAAAATATTTTAGCTATTTGGAAAATAACTTAAACTGCGTTAACTTAATCTATCTCCATGGAGTTTTGGAACACAGTAAAAACAGTCTTGTTCCGAGCAATAGTAAGTTAATAACAATATTTCACAATATCAATAGTTATAATTTTAAACAATTTCTTTGGAAATAAATATAGTTATGAACATTTTGTATCCTGCAGTAAAATGATTAAAATATCAGCTTTTAGCTAGTTTTTATTTGTCTTTTTTACATTTCAACACAATTATACGCCATTAAATATAGAAATACATAGTATTTGAAATATGTAACAAATCAATGTCAAATACAAATGATTTATTAATTTACATTCTCTCACACATTAATGTTTGAATAAAAAAATTAAACCTTTATTTAATTAAAAATATTTAAGAGAACAATTATTTAATTTTAGAGTACACAATTGATAAGTTATATTTTATCATGTTTTACCAAAAAATTAAGTATTTAAATTATAATGGATTTGAAAATGTGATTCATAAATTATATTTAAGAATGATAAATTAATTTTTGGTAACAGTTTTATCATTCAGTTAGTGATTTATATAATCAAAAATTACACTTTCAATAACATGCATTGGCTTTGGAAGGAATATTATATTATGTGATACTTATTTTGAATCATTAAATGGCCGTTATTTCTTGTTGGTGTAAATCTTGTGGAGAGCCAACTTTGTCAACACACTTCCATAAGCCATATGTTTTTCCAATAGTTGTCTGCCACAGTCGTAAAGTACCGTCTTCAGAGCCTGATGCATACAACTCGCCATCAGGCGAAAAACGGACACAATGTACAGGACCAAAATGACCTTTAAAAGATTCTGAAAACCAAAAAAATATAAATGATCTTATTATCTGAACTATTATTGTTGTCATTTAAAACCCTTACCAATTTCTTTTCCGGTGCTATAGTCAAATTTGTACATTTTAAGATCTTCACCTCCACATACAAACATAGTCTTGTCTCTGTGCAATGATGCCGTATTTACTAATGTGGGCACAGTAATTTCATTCACTTTGGACAAACTGAAAAAAAAAAAATTATTTGGTATTTAAAAAAGTAATCAAAATTAAAACATTAATAATAGTACCTGTCGGCATTCCAAAAGCTAACAGAGTTTCCATGTGCAATAGTCACAATTGTTTCATCTCTTGATACTTCTAAGCTTGTTGGTATAGCATTGAATTCCATTTTGTGAATTTCCTAAATAATCAAATATATTTCAATATATAAATGTATAAACATTGTTTTTAGTATACCTGTCCAGACAAAGGATCCCAAATTCTAACTGTCTTGTCGTCTGCACATGAAATTATTCTCCTGTCGTTTTGGAAGAACATGACATGTTTTATACCCGATGTATGACCATTGAATGTTGTAACAGCTTCTAAAAAATTGTAATAAAAATATGTATATATTGGATTTACATTTTTAAAAAAATATATATATATATTACACTCAACTTATTTTTTTACCATTAAGTGTAATTTAATTCATAAGTTAAACAAGCTACAAGAATAAAAGATTTTTTTTTAATAATCCTGTGTTACCTAAAGAAACCACAAATTAAAGAGAAAAACAATTCCAGTGTGAATCATTACAAAGATACTATGGATTAATACCATAGTATTTTGTTTCCAGACCATAAACTATTGATGTAACCTAGTTTCACAGAATTTAAAAATTAGAAAATTTGAATGATACATATAATATTTTTTTACCTATTACCTAATAGGTATATACTATATAAATAAATAAATTACTAATTGGAACCAATCAATCCAAAGATACATTTCTTTTAAGGCAACAGGGATATGTTTACACCATATGTGAAATATTGCCAAGGACAGCTTTTGTTATAGATCAACAACTGTAATAAATCTCACTGTGATAACCCAGACAACATTTAAAATGAAAATGTATGAATTATGAATGATAAGGTAAGGCCCTAGATTTAAATGATGTAAAACCAGATTGGTTTAATTATTATTAATTGTTTAATAAAAATGTTATCTAATATACTAAACACATAATTTAAAAATAAGAATTTATTTATTTACTTTAATGTTTAGGTAATGTGATAGGACAAGTACCTATTTACTTGCTGACAATTATAAATGAAAATGGTATTAAATATATAATTTAAGGTGTTAAATTAGTTATAAATTACATACCATTAATAATATTTTTATCTATATGAATATGTTTTTTAGTGTTGTACATACAAGACACAATCGTAATAAACCTTAGTATGATCACAGATTATTCTGTGGTATGAGACCTTTTGAAACAGGAAATAGATAACTGTTAGCAATCTTATTAAAGAATATGTTTACATGTTAATGATAAATAGCGACTTATTAATTTGTATTTTAAAGTTTAAAATTATTGCAATAAAAAAAAAAAACCTGTGGTGATACAGTATTAATTCAAGTATGGATAAACTTATTTTTAATAAAAATTAATTTTATAAATATTAATATACTACTTTTATAATTATGAATTATAACATAATATAACTCATTTTCTATTTATAATTTCATAAACATATATGTAGATATAATTGTCATATATGTTCTATTTTACATTCAGAGTACAATTATTTGTTTTGATTTGTAATAGAACCTTAACTGCAAATAGTGCTGTATTAGAAACTATTTTGGAATTAAAATATTATGTTGGCATTTTTGATATGGAAGCGTGACAAATGTGTTTTTGAAAATATATTTATCATTAATACAATTAGAAAAATCAACGTATTGAAATGTATATAATATCTATTATGATAATTGACAAAATAATAATAATCATAAGATATTTGATGCATGTTAAAAAGTTGGTTAAATAATATTTCTAAATGTCGGTTTTAATACAATATTGTACAATAATATAATCATTTAACGCGACAAACTCTTGAACTATTGTGTTTTGTGTTTGTATAAATAGCAGGCATGTATCTAGACATTTTTTTAGGGAGGAAGGAGCAGACAGATTTCATAAATACCATACAAAGACATCAGAACATCCTTTACTTTTATTTAAATCTACTATTGTCCACAAATTTGGGGGGTGTGTCCTCCCAGAAATATGCCCCTGATACAATATACAGTATCTACAATATTGCTACATACAGGTGTAAAAGGACTATTTGTATAACTTGTTCTATTTTAGGGGAGGGGATTTAAAATTTTAAAATATATTTTTTTAAAAATTCAAGACAGCTACTCTGTAAAATAGATTTTTAAACATTTTTTGGTAGTTGAAACTTTTTTTTAGGTATAGTCTTTTATTTTCTAAAATTGTTAATTGTTTGTAGATTTGACAAATGTGAATATTATTGTGGTTTATAATCTATTATAATATTTAATCAGTAGTCAGTAGTATTACTGTATGATATTAACTCATGGAAAATAAAATGCTTGTCATTTAATAGGCATTGACTATTGATTAAATATTATGATAGAATATAAGCTACAATAGTATTCACATTTTCAAAAACTTTAAAAATTGTAAAAAATAAATTACCGTTTCTAAAAAAAGAAAAAAGTTATTTCAAGTAGTAAATAGTTTAGTTACATCCTGTATATGTGTACTTATGTCACTATCTAATGTATAAAAAAAATATTGTTATTTTTCTTTTTTAAATCTAAATGTTGGATAAAAATAGCCCTGTGGAAAAGCAGTTTTTTATATGCCTCCTCTCAATTTCATACATAATAATTATTATTCTATTTTCTATCTAGACAAGGGTGGGATTTAAAAATTGCCTACTGTAATAAAATAATACAAGGCCAATAGGCCAGTGACAGATTGACCATGTAAAGTTTATTGGCTCATGCTACTGTTACAAACATTAGAAGTAGTGGACCTTGAATAAAATCATATACATATAGATAATAACACTTAAATGCATTAAAACAGTTCCTGATAAGACTAGGTAATATACTTGTACTATATTTAGAAAAATAAAATAAAAGAAACAATATTTCTTACTAAAACACATATCATGTCCTTATACTTATACCTAATTAATTCATTCTAATAAATAATAAATGTTTAAAATTCAAAATGTATATCTTATACAATGTGGAATACTAACCGGATGATTTATTGAGATCAAATATTCTAAGCAATTTTTCATTGGAGCCAGTGGCAAGTAAAACACTGTCTCTTGAGAAATTGACGCTTTTTACAATGTGTTTATGCTGAAACGATTGTACTTCACCACCAGTTTTAGCATCCCAAATCTAAAAATTAAAATAATATTATGTACAAAACATATTCAACCTTTAATAATAGTTATCATGTCAAGATCAATCAAAGTGATTCAAAAATTTAAATTTTATTCAAAAATTAATTTGTTAAATGGTTTCTAAACTATTTATGATATCACTTTAATACTTTTTTTCGTAGATGTTTAAAAATAATAGGTGGTTTTACAGGAACAAACAATAGCTTATAAATTAATGTGGTTAATAGTTTCACTATGATGTTTTAATTTCCATAAATGCATATTTTTATATGCATAAATTTGTTTAGTATTAAGTCTGTTTCTAATATTATCAGGTAGAATGCGTTAGTGCTGACCACAAATTAACAAACGGAATTTTATGAATTCACAGAAAATTGAACTACCAGTTAACACTAAACGGACACTGTAAGAAGGAACCTATAAGAAGTAGGTAATTGGTGGTTTTTACCTTTACTTATTTGTAATATTATCATAACTTAATAACAACAAATTATTTACAACCTAAATTCATAAACTATAAGGGCTTTTTATAGATTTAATCTTACCACAAACATTTAATATTAATGTTAACTAAAACTTAGATTAAACACTATTTAAGTGGTAAAAATTTAAATGAATATATTACATATATATATGTGTAATAATAATAACTTGTTAATTTAAGAGAAATAAATTTATGTATCATAGAATAATTATGATTTGAATACTTTTTTAAATTTAAACACCCTTGTAATTCATCTAATTGCTCATAAAAAGGCTAATAAGAAAAAATTTAGGTTATTACTGAAAAAAAATTGTAGTTATTTAATAACTTAACGCCAGTGGTATTCATAATAAATTACTAATAACATATTATTATGGTTCATATTAATAATAATATGTAAGTATACATACAATTACACATTTTTCACTAAAGAGCCAAATTAAAAAAGTAATTTCTCTAAAAAACATTACTAGGTTACAAACAGTATTATTATTTTATGTCATGGGTATTTAAATGTCTTAAATCATCTTTTATTTACTACTTATTTAATGTAAATGATATAGCCAATGATGTATCAAGACTTTTCTTATGAGTTGTGGGGATGGGCAAATATATTTGAAAATTCTTTAAAAAAAATTATGTTATAACTAAAACAATATTATTAATATATATGAAAATTGGACAATACAAATGTTATAATTTATATTTAATGTAAAATACATAATTTAAATTCATACAATAAGCAATTTTTAATGCTAATAGGTAACAAATTTAATAATAATGCACATATATTATACGGAATATGGGAGGGAGTGAATGTTCCAATCAACTCTCACTGTAATTACACATAATTTGATATAATAGGTGTTTAGTCAAATTAAAGTATACAATAAAATAAAAATGTTTTTTAAACAAAAATACATAAATCTAATATTTTAAAAATTAGGTTTGTCAAATTTACATTTCTATTAGTTTTTTTATATATAATATATATATATATTGTTTACTTATGATTGATAATAAAAACCATATAGTTTATCAACAAATTAAAGAGAACATATTATTGTCATAAAATAGAAATAACTAATTAAATGTTCGGCCACAGGTGACATTTTATTTATAAGGAGATAATCTACCTATACACCTAATACTTATGTGTTGCATATGGATAATATGAACAAAATTACTGAAAAAATGAAAATATAAACTCAAAAATATTCATTTTCATTTTTAAATAAATACTTTTAATAGTGGCCCTGTGTCATTATCAAAAGTGTTTTTCGTTAGCAATGATTATATATTGCATTAAATATAAACAAAAAATTCCCGTCTTCCAACTTACAACAGTGGTACTGTTGCAGTTAGGTTAGGTCTTAAATTATGCATGTGTTTTACTCTTTATTACCCTTTTACAAAAGATTATTGACACTTTATTCTGATAAACTAGTTCTAAATCGAAATATTTTTTGAAGCCTCAAATATTAAGATTTAACTAATTAATTATTACATTGTCCTAGAATTTTCTTTTAATGTAATGTAACAATTACTAATCATATAAAAGTTTATAATTATACATAAATAATAATTTATCAATTAGATGTTTTAAAACTTAACAGAAATTATAACTAGTTAATTAATGTAATAATACTATATACAATATATATGTATATTTTATATTTATATTAGTACAAGGAAGTGTCTGTTAATCTATGGGCGTTGTAGTTTTATTTAGAATTTTGTTTAGAATTTACCACATACAGGTCTACACATGTATTCACATTAAAAACCGGATTTCAGAAATTCAACCCCCACAGAGCAGTGGCCATGAAACAACGGGTAGGTCATTGTTGTAGGTGAGAAGTTGGGACAGTAGGATATAGAGGGAAATTTAATGTATATATATACAATGTATATGTTTATGTACACAACAATTAATCTTTGCTAACAAAAAAAGATTCTGAGCGGAGTTTGGTTATACATGTTTTGAAAGACTGTAATATTTACGATTTTAAAATAATACATTTCGTACATTTATCCATTTTTCCCATTTATTATGAAACCCTTGGGAAAATAAAAAAATTACCTCCCTAAAGTACAACCACAAGAAAATTTTTTTTCAGAAAAGGAGCAATTATTGATACTTTAGAGCAACATTTCTGGTTGAATTTTTATACACAAAATAATAAAAAAAAAAAAAAAAATAATAATAATAAATATACCTAAATTATTGTAAAACCAATACATTCCTTGCTCCGCTCAGAATCTCAAATATGAATTATTATAAATAGTTGATTTTGTTGTCACAGACAAGGAAATAGCGTTTTAAAAAAAAATTATTTACCAAGCAACAACAGTAGACTGTGAAAGGAATAAGGGTGGAGTCGCAAGTAAACACATTTTTGGTTTTTAAATGTTCAATTTATTTAATACTATTCACCAGCAAAACTGTTCGGAAAAGCTAGTATTAAATAAACAATACACTTAATAATTTGCTTACTACTAAGTTGTCAGTAGTAACAAAATAATTCATAATTAAGTGGAACAACAATTAATTGTATATATTCTAATTTAACCAAAAAGTTAGTTATTTTCAGCTTACATTTTAAAAACAAACTAAGACTAATTTACATTTAAATCAAGGTCCAGAATCTATTTTTTAAATAAACTGAATTGATTATCTACATAATTTATTTTTTAATCATAAAATATTACATGAGTTCAGTTTTATAATACTAAACACACAAAATTATATCCTGTTCTACACGCATTTATCCTTGATTAATGTATATATTTTAATCTCTGGCATGAACTGACTACTAATATTTAAAAAAAAACAAGAATAATTTGATCTTTATATATATAAATCAAACCCCGCATAAAAATATAAAATAATAAAAACAAAATTATTAGCTAATCAAATGTTCAAAGTTAAAACTCAGAATAACATAAAATAAAAATATATCAAATTAAATTAAAGATTGAAAACATAAATACAATTATAACAAAATACTTTTTACTAATTGCACACTTATATGTATTTTAAAAATATCTAGATACTATAAAAGATGTATTAGGTAATAAGAAATAAATTTGTGTATCTAATATTACAAGATTTTAAGACTAATGCAAGGCTGTTTTTTTAATAAAAATGTAAATGATTTTAACTATAGGTTGAATTTTTTTTTTGATCAGACACAGTACTCAAAAACGCATTTTTGGGTCAGTATACATTTTCAAAATGTTTTATATGGTTTCAATATTTACTAATATAAATTATTATAGCTTTTTGTATGATAATAAAAATTGTTTAATAAGTGTTTGCTAATAAAAATATAACACAGTCTAAAACGGTGAAAATATTTAGTTTTAAAGTTTTAACTCATAAAAAAAAAAAATAAATAATAATAAAATACAACTTGCTACAAATTAAAACTAAGTGAAATTATGTCCGAAATAAATATTTTGTTTGACATTAAAACAAAATCAAATGAAATAATTTTAATACCTAATTATCACAAAGGCTAAGATTTTATAACATTTGCTAATTATTATAGGATACATATAAAAATAGTAGAGTGAGTTACATTTCTTCAAATATGAAATTTTATATTGCTAGTGTTTGAATTTTTAAAGTATTGTATAGTTTTAGTGCTATTATTGAGCTAAAATTTATCTTGTATTTTTTATAAATAGTTAAAAAAAAACTGTCATTTATGTAAATCCATAGGAAACACATCTATATTTTCGTTTTATATTATAATCTATTAATAAGTATCCTAGTGTATTGACTCATTGAACAGTCTAAATGCATGTATTCTGATCAGATGTATTTATATATTTTAAAAAAAAAATACATTTTCTTGTAATTTTTTACGTTTAATGCCATATTATTGCGCTTTTTTATGGTTTATTAAGTCATATTATAGTGCATATTTCAGTTTTTAGTGCTATAAAATCGGAGCCTTGATTAACAAAAATTCATATTTGTTTTGATTTGTTGGTAATATTTTTGTACATGTCTTGACATCTACCTACCTAGGCATGGACTGATTAAAAAAGGCATAGAATGCTACATAATTTTAAAACAAATGACAAATTAAAATAATTAAAATATTACTTTATACTATAGTCAGTCATAAGTGGGAAGTTGGTAATTTAGGATAAAGTACATAGAATAATTTAAACTCGAATATACAATTCTGATAAAAATAAATTGTAAACTACTAATTAAAAACCAGGAACACTTTTAAAAATGTACTATGTCTAGAAAGTCGACAATGGTAATGCAAAATAATAAATTTTATTATATTTTAATAATTAGGGAATTTTAACTTTCTTATTAAAAATCCATATTAATCTTAAATAGATCAAATAAGGCAAATTTATACCGATAGGAGCAAATACATTTTGGGGTATGTGATATTGTAGCATCCTAGCACCTCAACCTATAACACAACAGTATAATGTACTAATATTTACATGAGATGAAACAAAAATGGAATTTAATAAAAATCAGCAATATTTTGGGTATTTGATATTATTATAGTACATTGTGTTTATTATCTTAAGAAACTACTAGTAGCTCCCTCTCAACCAAATAAGCTCAAACTCGTGAATTAGAGTTGTTTTATAATAGGATTAAATTTAAATACAAGTTTTAGCATATTTTTAGTCTTTGAACACCCCTATGGAGCATCCAAATGAAGCTAGGGGTATGAAATATTATATAAGCATGACGTTAGTATTAAGTATGTGTGTCTTAGGAGTTTCAAACTTTTCCTATACCAATTTATATTTTTCATATTATAGTAATTGGTTATTTGTTGTTTTAAAAAGAATATTTCTATAATAAAAAAAAACTTACATACATATCACACAGTGGGTAAGCCACTGTTATAAGTGAGAAGTTGAGAAGGTAGGATATATTGGGAAATTTAATGTATATCTGTACGCAACGTTTAATCATTGTTAACAAAAAATGATTGTGGATGGACTTCTGTCATACATGTTTTGAAAGGCCATAATATTTACGATTTGCTTCAAAATTTAATAATAAAATTCTTCATTACACTCAATTGTTATCATTTTTAACCACAAAGTACAACTTATAACAAATTTCCTGTTCAAATTTCAAGCATTTCTATTTGGTCTAACAATTTATCCAGAGAAACCTACTGAATAAGAATTATGTAAAAAACTTACAAAATTAATATATATGATAAATATCTACAAAATGGCTAAAATGTTTTGAAAGTTTTAAGATTTGTGGTAGAAATTTTGTACAGAATTTGAGAAAACAAAAAAAAACATCATTGTAAAACTAAAACATTCCTTGCTTCACTCAGAATCTACAATAGATTAAGAAAATCTGACTCGTGACTGAGCTCTGCTCACTGGTGTTTCTTTAATGTAATTTGAATACATACCAAAATTAATAATTACTATGTCTACCTTATACTTAAATAGTATCTAAACTAAACTAACTATAAGCTAAATTTCAATTTTAGGTAAAAAAAAAAAAGGTTAGAGTTTGTAGTAAAATTGTTGAAAAATTAGGTATTTAAATTATTGATTTATATACAGAAACAGTTGCCCACCAAATTTTTTGAATGTTTAGGATTATTAATACATGTACATATACATGTACACATACATACATGTACACTGTGAGATAATTAATTGTATAATATATTAGATGTCAATAAGTAATTTGAAGTGGAGGTAAAATTTAAACGAAAAGGGTATTTTCATGTTATCTCGACTACCAACAGAAATATATCATATTTTAAAATGTTAAAATAAAAATTAAATGTTAAGCAAAAATTACATAATTAAAATCTTTTGGTTGAAAGTAGGTCTTAACACTTAATATCTGATAGGATCTTTAGCCAAAGAAACTTAGTTTGATACGAGTATAAATGATGACTTGCTGTTCCCCTCTGTCTTTTATTTGATCTTTCTGTGGATCCCTTAAACAGTTTAATAGTTTGTGTATGTGCCTCTGAGGGTTGGATTAAATATATAGTTTGCTATATTGTAATCATAGCCAAACATTTTTCACAGCTCAGTTTTATACTTATAGTTTATAATTAACTTATATGAGGTAATCTTGGAAATATATTTATAGCCGAAATAATACAAAATTATTTATAAGTAATACTTGAAATACTTTATGTTGAAAGGAAAGAAAAAATAGTAAAATGTGTAACTGCCCTATTAAAAAAATATACCTTAGTTGTAATTTTTCAGCCTAAAATATATTATACAGTTGCATAATTATACTATTTATACAATAAATCAACTTAGACTTATAAATATATATTTTAGATTCTGAGCGATATATTGGTTTTAAAATTATGTTTATTTTTAATTTTTTGTATGAATGACTTTCAACCAAAAAATTTGCTCCAATTTTTAAGTATAGTACCTTCTCTGAAAGGAAATCTTCTTGTGGTGGTATTTTAGGGTCATCAGGTTTAACGTCATCTTTTAATTTCCCTAAGGGTTTTCATAATAAATGGTGAAAACCAAAAAAATGTATGAAATGGATTATTTTCAAATCGTTAATATTACGGCCTGTCAAAACTTGTATTACCAAATTCCATTCAAAATTGTTTTTTGTTAGCAATGATTAATCATTGCTTATAGATATGCATTAAATTTACCTCTATATCCTCCCTTTTCAACTTTTTACCTACAACAGTGGTACCCATCGCGCAAAGTATGTCAGAATTTTTAATCTAATAGTTGTCATTATATACCTATATTTAGAAATGTAAACATAGTTTATCTAAAATAACAAGGTACTATTTCAAAAATATTTTATTATTTATCAATTAAGACAAATTAAATATTTAATACATATTAGATAGGTAAGTTCATAAATATATCTTATATTTATAATAATTATTCTAAAAAAAATTATTATATTTTCAATAGGTAAAAAATAATTATTTTTCAATAGAATTACCATTATTTTATAGAAATAAATTAACAATGTCAATATATAAAACATGTACAATGATCTAGGAAGTAGATCAACAATAAACACATGAGGAAGTTAAATTCAAGGTTGAAACTAGTTATTTATTTCATTAGAAAAAACAGCAATCATACCTTAGCTTCAAAATCTGCAGCACCACTTGCAGCTACTGTCGCTTCTTTGTTCAAGGCTACCCCCCAAACAGCACCTTTGTGGCCTTCAAATGTACCAATCCAATCACCAGTATCTCCTTGTCTCAACATAGGTTTTCCATCTGATTTAACAATAACAAAATTATTTAATGAAAAATCAATAATAATGAGGAAAATGTTTCAAAATTTACCTTTACATGCAGATATTAAAAAATATCCATAGTCAGTGATATCGCTGAAATCCAAATGTACGACAGGCCTGGTGTGACCACTGCAGGTTAACGGTGTTTGCTTAAAACTCGACATCTTTACATAAAATATGAATGGCAAATTAGAAAAATAAATCAGATATAGACGAGTTTACAGAACTTCGATTAGGTCGAATGAACTTTATAAATTAAATAAAAAACTTTACTGGAGGATACATGAATGGCAAAACGTTACACGGTGATACGCAAACGAGTTACTAAAACTGAGGTTGTATTGTAAATAAATGTGTAAGCCAAATGATAAAAGATTGTATCATACAGTGTTGCCGCATAAGTACTACCAAATTACTCTATCGTCACCTTAAAACCAGCTGAGCACTGAACTCATGCACATATTTGATGTTTTTAGGGTGTTCCTATATAGTTTACTACAATTACGATAATTCACTACTTCCACTATCCGTGTGTTCCTCATTAGATTTTTGATCCATCAGATTCGCAATTCGATGGATTTCGATGTTTCTCCTCAAATTCGATTAATCTGATTACTAATCACGATTTAAGATAGACTATGCATCGGATTATCAACCGAAAAATTAGACAGTGCGAATCTAGTCGATGGAAATGTATTATCACCATTTAGCCATACCGTTTTTTTCCGTTTTAATCGCGTTATCAATCCGTGTGTTCCGTACTTCTGTTTCGTGTATTAATTTTGTTAATAGGTTAATTTGCTTTAATATTAAAACTAATTGCACAAAATATATTCCTACAGAACGCAAATTTGCTGGCTCTCGTTTATAAGACGGAGACAGTAGATGTCGGTGTGGCATCCTCTTAATTTAATTATTTGCTTGTTTGTTAAGTTTTGTTTCAAAATCATGGATCATCAAAATTAATTTGGATTAATAACCGTATTAGACTGTATAACTGCAATAAATTTAACATTACATTACCCGAAAAATCACTCGTATTGAATATTATAACAATTTATGCAATTAATTGCAAATTAATATGAAAAAATATTAATATAATGCGGACTAAGATATATTTTATAGTATAGATATACATTTTAGTCTGTATAATATAATAATATATTAAGTATCAATTAATAATTCTAAAATTCGTGATGGAGCACTTTGTGTTTTGACAAAAACGTCAAAAACAGTTTTCCAAGACTCAATCAGATGAGCAAAATTTTGAATGAGGAACACACGGTAAATGATACACCGAATATAACTGTTATCGATACTATCTATGTATAATATACCCGATAATTAATAATCATATTTACAATGTCGCGAATACTACTACTCCGATATTCTATCACAATGCAGTTCATATCACGGTTACAGTTATAATCTACGTAATTCCTTTAAAATTGATAATACTTGTCTACAACTGTTACGAATTACGATATTCACAACTCTGAAATTATACCTAACATAGGTAGGTATTCTATGATAGGTATTTTAACGTTACGAATTAAGATTGCTTTGATCTTCGATATTCAGATCATTAAATTGACGTTTATAAAAAACGTACGATTTTTTTTGGATTACCACTACTGATGTGCGGGGGCGGATTGGAAAGAGATATCGGCCCGGGAAAATACAAAAATACCGGGCTACTTATTAGTTTACCAAATACTGAACTTTAGTCAACATGTATTTGATTTCTTTTTATACAATTGAAAAGATATGCACTGTTAAGTTCTGTTATTTGTTAATCATATCTGTATGCTAAATTTTATATTATATATGTATACAAATTATTCTTTTTGTATTATTGAACACTCTATTTCATCACAAGCTAAAGCTTAAAGAAGTAAATATATTCTAATATATATATATATGTATATTTTAAAGGCATTTTAAATTTAATAGATACGAAATTAATTTCCTTTTCCTACTCTTCCGGTCTAAACTTTAAACTGTTAACTCATAAACGGTAAATTTGATAGGGGAGGACGAGCAGAGAAGTATTTAGAATTTTGACGTCTCAGGTAAAGTTTTATTGCTATCCCCCTACATATTGTCACCCCATAAAAAAAAAATGTAAATAATTATTAAAAAAAATAAAAAATATATTGACAATCTGACCATACATTTTATACACATAACATTATAATTTAAGCATCGATTTCTTCTCACTGAAATTTTGCAATAACGACAATGCAAAGTATTACCGGCTTACCATTGAAACACGTTTTATATGATTTTTCAAGATTGATAATAATTATTTTATCTATTGATTTTACGTGGTATAGGTAGGAAGTTGAGTAAGTAAGATACATAAAGATGTTTAAAAAACGTTAAAATGTTATTTATTAAAAAGCGATTCAAAGCAAAATTCGATTTTCGAAATTTGAACTCAAACTCTTTCATAAAAAAACTACTAGGTATATTACTCAACTACTATACATTTGAGCACTAAGTTAAACGCATAATAAACCTTGAATTCAAATTTCAAAAATTTAATCAGTTTTGATTAAACAGTAAGCATAAATTGTTTAATCGAACTAAGTAAAATAATGCGAAAGTATAAAATGCCTAAAAATAGACCATATATGTTTAGTGAAAATTTCAGCTCTCTGCGAATATTTTTAATCGAATTACAACAAAAAACCTAATTTAAAATAATGAAACCATTTCCGTAAACTTTCCCATTTTATCTACGTTTTTCTGAGTTTTACTCAATTATTAATAAAACTACATAGAAAATCAAATGAAAAACTGTTTATAAATATCTAAGATGATTTCACTTGATTTAAATCTCTAAGAGTATCTACCTAAGATAAATCTAAGAGTAGAATGCTTTGGTCTTATAACAACCTCGAAGATTTTAATGTTAATTACAAATGTGAATCTAAACTTCGGTATTTATGTTTAAACTTTTGAACTGAGTTGATTGTTATATAATCTTTCGCATACTGCATATAGTTTATTGTACAATTGAAGTATAATTTTCTTTTTCTTATATTAATCTTGTAGTTTGTATTGTTCAGTTTATAACCTTAAGTTTTAAAATAATTCTTTGTACACTCAATATTGCCTTCGGGCGTCATATAAATAAATATATATGTGTATATATACTTATATTATATCTCTATTGTCTATATATGAGTTTATAATGATTCAATTGTAAAAATTGCAGCTATTTGCGTACTAATACCTACTATTTTTGATTTTGTTCTTAAATAAAAGCAGTTGAAAATTCAACCCAAATATATGTAATATTGTATAATATAAATACATTTCTAAATGTTTAATTTAAAATTAAAATTCTTTTAAATTCTGAGTGTAGAGAAGAATTCATTGATTTTACAATGATGTTTATTTTTTTTAGGTAATTATACTATAATGACAAGGTATTTAATTATTTTACCATAATCTATATTGTTGACTAAGCATCACCATCAACTGAACTCCGCTCAGAATCGTTTTTTCGTTGCTTATAGGTATACATTAAATTACCTATGACAGTGGCTGCAATTATTTGTCCACCCATTATCCTAGGGAAGTTTTTTAATCTTTAATATTTACTGAAAATAAATTAGTTTAATATCTTGTTTTTCCTAATATTTGATTACTAAACTTAGCCAATTAAGTGTTTGTTTGTTTGTTTTTTTTAAGCATTCCTAATTTATATTTGAAACCATGAAATATATTTAAGGTTATTTGGTTTGATTTAATTATTTACGTTTTCATTCATTATTGATTTTAGCATATCAAGAAAAATTTTCAAAATTAGGGCGAGACAACAAATATTAATTTGTAATTTGAATATTAATTTATAAACAAGTTTTATTTAACTGTTTAGATTATTTCAAATTTAACAAAAATAGTTTATTATTGTAATATGCAGTAAGTTATTATAATATTTAAATATACTACAAAATCATATTTACTTACAAAGGATAAATAAATAATTTAACTAAACAAGTATTTATATTCATAAAATACATACCTACCTAAGTATCAATATTTTTGTTTGTTTATATTCAAATATTTTATATGATATCTTTTGTTTTTGATTAAATAGTATATATTATTAAAAAAATGTGTTATTGTATTATATTTATTTTTACATATATTATATTTATGATATATTTACTATTCAGAAAATACACATAATCAAATAATGTATAAGTAGGTAAGTTAAAATAGAATTTATAAAAATGCCTAAATAATTTCATCTAACAACTTAGATTTACAACAACTAAGAATTATTATTTGAATTTTTCAGTTTCAAAAAGTTATGAAAACAAATTCAATGAAGGATTGAAATATTAATTTTTGAAAAGCTCAACTCTGTGTACCAACCAATGGGAGTTTAAATTTGTTTATTCGACATTCTTTTACTATAAATCTTTGATAATCTCTCTTTTTAGTCATATATTTTGTAAATATTATAATTTTTTTTTAATTTTTCAGTATAATTATTGATTCTTACATTTACATTTTAATAGTTTTAAATTTATATTTATATTATAATTATTTTTAAATTTAAATTCTAAGTAATAAAATATCCCAAATAAGAAACATTAAATGTGTATTTTACTTTTAATACTTATATAACTGTTCGCAAACAATTTAAACCGGGTGAAATGAATATTTATTTTAAAATTAAAAAGAAGTTAATTTGTTTTGAATTCTAATTTTCTAATTAAAATACTTTTACCTAGTTAGGCTTACACATTTTATTATTATTTTTTTTAAATTTAACTCATATTTGAATGAGTTATTTGAAGAAGGGCACACATCTAGAAATTCAAATTTTAGAAGAAAGTCGAAAAATAATTTTGCTAATAGAAATGATTTGGAGAATTCAATTTTTTTTTTTTTTTGTAAATATTTTAAATGTAAGATCTTATACTCTCGTAAGGTATAACATTTTTTTTATCTAAATCAGTAAGAGGATTAAAAAAAAAAAAATAAATAATAATAATAAAATTAATAAAATGTTCCTATTTTCAGATAAATTAAATTAATTTGTGTATGCTAGATTTTAAATTTTATCAAATATATATACAATATATTGTAATGTAAGGTATAACATTTTTTTTATCTAAATCAGTAAGAGGATTAAAAAAAAAAAAAAAAAACAACTACATGTTGTTACTATAGTTACACCATGGTGTTTTGTTTTCCACATCAAACAATGAGTTTAGGTACAAATAATAAACTATTTCAGTAAAAATTTGAACAAGTTCTTTTTTCTATATGACCCATTAATTTGATACTTTTATTAGATAAAAATATTAAGTTTCAATAACAATATACTTGAATTTCTATTCTATATTA